TCCAGCACTAAAAGAGTATTAGAACTAATTCAAGAATTTGGTCAGGTAGCAGGTTTTAAGTTGAATAAGATGAAAACTAAGGTTTTAGAGAAGAATCTAACAGAGATTGAGAGAGATAAGTTTCAGAAGGAGACAGGACTGACACTGGCTAAGAAAGTGAAATATTTAGGGGTTAACATGACTGCTAAGAATGTGAATTTATTTAAGGATAACTATGAAAAATGTTGGACTGAAGTGAAAAAGACTTAGAAATATGGTCAAATTTGAAGCTATCGTTGTTAGGCCGAATTGCTGTGATAAAAATGAATGTATTGCCAAGAATGCTGTTTTTGTTTCAAACACTGCAAATTTTGGACAAAATGGACTGTTTCAAGAAGTGGCAGAGAGATATCTCCAGATTTGTCTGGCAGGGCAAGAAGCCTCGTATAAAATTTAAGATATTAACTGATGCTAAAGAAAGAGGTGGATTTGCCCTGCCAGACTTAAAACTTTATTATGAATCAGCCGCTTTTGGTTGGCTGAGAGAATGGATGCTTCTTGAAAACACGGATGTTTTGGATTTGGAAGGTTTCAATAATGTATTTGGTTGGCATGAATATTTGTGGTATGATAAGGTTAAAGCACACAAAGCGTTCAAAAACCATATTGTAAGAAAAGCACTGTTTAATGTCTGGATAAGATATAAGGATTTGTTAGAAAATAAAACCCCAAGATGGTTGTCACCAATGGAAGCAAAGGCTCAGAAAAAACTCAACATGGAGGCCAAATGGCCGAAGTATTGGGAAATTTTGGAACAAGAGGGTGACAGATTAAAACTGCAGAGCTTTGAAAAACTAAAAAACAGAGTACAAGATTGGCTCCATTATTATCAAATAATGGAGGCATATAACTTGGATAAAAAACTAGGCTTCCAGGTGGAAAAATCAAAGTTGGAAACAGAATTGTTAGACCCTAAAGTTAAGAATTTGTCAAGAATGTATAACTTGCTGTTGAAATGGAATACTCAAGATGAAATGGTGAAATCTGCTATGATTAAATGGGCACAAGATGTTGGACATAATATTATGATGGCCGACTGGGAACAGTTATGGACCACTGGTATGAAGTTTACGGCATGTAATGCCTTAAAAGAGAATTTAATGAAGATGATTTATAAGTGGTACATAACACCAGTCAAGCTTGCAAAAATCTACCATCTGCCCGATAACAAATGTTGGAAATGTAATGAAACTGAAGGTACATTCTTTCACCTTTGATGGACACGCCCAATGATTAAGGCATTCTGGGAGATGATCTATAACGAAATGAAAAAGGTATTTAAATATACCTTCCTGAAGAAACCAGAGGCCTTTCTCCTGGGCATGGTTGGCCAATTGGTGCCAAAGAAGGATAGAACTTTCTTTATGTACGCTACAACAGCAGCAAGAATACTTACTGCAAAGCATTGGAAGACACAAGATCTACCCACCAGGGAAGAATGGCAGATGAAGCTGATGGACTACATGGAACTGGCGGAAATGACTGGCAGAATCCGAGACCAGGGAGAAGAGTCGGTGGAAGAAGACTGGAAAAAATTCAAAGTATACTTACAGAAACATTGTAAAATTAATGAGTGTTAGAAGGATGCTGGAATGAAGTTATATGGTTTTAGTAGAAATGCAACAAAGAATTAAGTAAAAGCTGATTGATAACGGGTTAAAATGAAAAAATTTAAGGTTAGATCGTTAAGATAAATTATAGAAAAAAATTGAGAAAGATGGGAAGAATTTGCTGAAATAGTGAATTGAACTAGAATACAAAAAAAGGGAGGTGTGAGGAGGTCGATGAAACAAGTAAAGGACATGGAATATTGGATGTGTGTTTTAGGTTTTTTTTCTTTTTCTTTGTTTCTTTTTGCTGTATTGTTGTATTGCTTTTCTATGTTTTTTTTCTTTTTTATTGTTGTCTTTTTTCTTTTTTCTGTAATTTTTAAACTTTTAATAAATATCATTAAAAAAAAAAATACAATTTACAGGTCTCTGCAGTCAAAGCGGCTGCTGTTATTCTCCAGTGGTTTAACTTCACCATTGTTTCTCGAGACAGACGGATACCAACAGCAAATTACTTCCCTTGAATGGTATACTATACCATTGATGCTGTTGTTGCTGACTAGAATAAGAGTTTTTTATGCTGCTGCATCATACTGTTGACTCATGGCAAACCTTTGGTCTACTAAGACCCCTAGATCCTTTTCACATGTACTGCTGGCAAGCCAAGCGTCCCCCATCTTATATTTGTGTAGCTTGTTTTTCCTGCCTAAGTGCAGAACCATTCATTTGTCCCTACTGGAATTCATTTTGTTTGTTTGGAACCTGTTCTTCAATCTATTAAGGTCATTTTGAATCCCAATTCTGTCTTCTGTGGCATTGGCTACCCCACCCAATTTGGTGTCATCTGTAAACTGGATGAGCATCCCCTCAATTCCTTCATCCAAGTCGTTGCAAACCTTCATTCTGAGCTCTGGCCCTTCTGACCTCCTCCCTACAACTGTTTGCTATTTGTATACACTCTTCCTTTCTGATTTCTCCTTTCTTCCATTTCTTATACATAGCATTCTTACATCTCAGTTCCTTATGCAACCAAACCAGTTTCTCTAGATGTCTCTCACTTCTCTTGTAGAATTATGTTATTTGAATGGATCCAGTATATATCAGTTGCTGTCCAAAGTATGGTAACAACAAAGTCCATTATGTATTTTATAATGAAGCGATAATAAAACATGCTACAGAAAAAAGTTTGATTATATCACGAGACAAATCTCCAACCAGACCCCCCCCCCAAAGTCAAATCCTGTTTGATTTTGTCCTTTTCTGACCTCAACATTTAGATTAAACTCGTTTAGTGATGTATAAAAAGGTAAAGGTAAAGGACCTCTGACAGTTAAGTCCAGTCGCGAATGACTCTGGGGTTGCGGAGCTCATCTCACTTTACTGGCTGAGGGAGCCAACGTTTGTCCGCAGTTTTTCTGGGTCATGTAGCCAGCATGACTAAGCCACTTCTGGCGAAACCAGAGCAGCGCACGGAAACGCTGTTTACCTTCCCACCAGAGCGGTACCTATTTATCTACTTGATAGTAGCTCACACCGCCGCGGGGATTCGAACCGCTGACCTTCCAATCAGCAAGCCCTAGGCTCAGTGGTTTACACCACAATGCCCTTAGTGATCCATGTTGTTTAGTCATTTAGTCGTGTCTGACTCTTCGTGACCCCATGGACCAGAGCACCCCAGGCACTCCTGCCTTCCACTGCCTCCCGCAGTTTGGTCAAACTCATGTTCGTAGCTTCAAGAACACTATAATGATGTATAAAGGTAAAGGGACCCCTGACCATTAGGTCCAGTCATGACCGATTCTGGGGTTGTGGTGCTCATCTCGCTTCATTGGCCAAGGGAGCTGGCGTACAGCTTCCGGGTTGTGTGGCCAGCATGACTAAGCTGCTTCTGGTGAACCAGAGCAGTGCATGGAAACGCTGTTTACCTTCCCACCGGAGGGGTAACTATTTATCTACTTGCACTTTGACGTGCTTTCGAACTGCTGGGTTGGCAGGAGATAGTGAAATATAAATATATAAATTCTAGTTATGTATGGAAGCTTTCATCAGCTATTAAGTCCTGATAAATTCAGTTAGATTTACCGTACTCCCAATAAATTGAATGGAGGATTGTGGCCTTAGACCTGGCATCTAGTTAGTTTTGCTCTAGGGCAGAGGTTTTCAACCTTTTTGAGTTCACGGCTCCCCTGACCAACTACCTTCTTTCTGCGGCTCCCCTAGGGGGCTCTGGCGGCGTTAGGTCACCCCTCGCCTGCAGAGCCAGCAGCCCCTCACCCCTTTCTGAACACCCTCCCTTGTGCTGAGACACGCCAAAGAGAGGAGCTTCCTGATGCCTCCCCCCCCCCCCAGGGGCCTGGGAAGAGGGTGGCTCCAGCCTTAGCGGCCCAACAGAAACTGGCCAAAGGTGAGCGTGAGGCCGGCACCTTACTCACCTTGGGAGGCAGCAGCGGGCGCCGCTGGGCCTGCATGGCAGAGTCTCCCCTTCAGCGCCAGACCCTCAGCTCCCAGGCAGGCCTTGCAGGCAGCAAGCACAAGGCAGGCCAGCGCAGCACTTGCCCAGTCCTCGCCCGCTTGCTTCCTTCCTCCGAGGCCGCCTCGGCTCCGGGCACCCAGCACCCCCGGCCAGCCCTAAGGGCACCCTTCGCCCGCAGAACTTGCAGCCAGGGCTGCTGCAACAGCCAGAGGCGAGAGGGCATCCGAGGAGGGAGGGGAGCGGGAGGGAGGCCAGGGTTCAAGGCGCCCCAGGGGGCCATGCCACACGGGCTGAAAACCACTGGCTTATCCCCACTGGCGGAGGGCGGGCGGGTGGCAATTGCTAGGCTTTGAAATTTTACATTAGGACTTTGTAAGTAAACTTGCTGCTAAGAGCAACAACCTTCAATAAAAAGAGAATTTGAGTCAGCTGTGGGCAGATTGTCTTACACCTGTTGACAACTGCAAATAGTCCTCGTTTCACTTAATTACTTATAAATATGACATGAGGGCCCGTTTGGGATGGGAGTGTAAACATACAAATATTCCATGCCAGTTAAAAGAGAAGAAAGAAAGAAACAAAAGCCCCGCCCTTGTAGCGGGGCTTCCGTAATGGTGGCACCAGCTTTGCTATTTTATTCATGCTGACAGCTTTCGTGCCTTCCCGGTGCCGGGCCGGGGGGCGTCGCGGGACGAGGAGAAGCCTCCCGGCCTCTCTTCCCGCCTAAACCTGAGGCGAAGGCGAGTCCCCCCCCCCCGCGAGGCCTCCCCTCGGCGCCGCCAATCCCCTTCCTCGCCCCGCCCCTTTCTCCTCCGCTTACTATTACTACCAAGCCCTCCGCCCGCCGCCTCCATTGGGCCGCCAGAGCCCACCACGTGACCCGCGGGAGGCCCCGCCCGCCGCGCAGCGGGTTTGTTTCCAAGGCGACCGACGGGCGGGAGGAAGAGAGGGATGAGGGAAGAGGAATGGCGGGGGGGGGGACTCCTTCCCTCCCGCCCCGCAGAAGGAAGCGCGGGCTCGTCGGCTGAGGGCAGGCGGCGGGGGCGCGAGTGCGGAGGAGAAGGGGCTGGCGCATGCGTGGTGGCGCTGGAACCCTGGACCTGGGAGGGAGAGGGCGCGCGCACGTGCGTGTGGCTCCGCGCTCGCTCGCTGGCTCGCGCGCCGCTTAGCCTGATCCTTCGGAGCTGCAGCTGCTCTTGCAGCAGCCGAGGAGAGCGGCTTCCCGTTCGGCTTCTCGGGCGGCAGCAGCAGCAGGTACGTGGCTCCTTTGGGGCGGGGGGTTTCCTCCCCCCCCGCAACCCCCCCACCTCTCTGCCTCTCCCGGCCTCTGCAAAGGCGCACGTGCTCACCTGCTGCAATGGGAGGCGCTGGGGTCCCCAATCCCGACTGCACTACCGAGCCCTGCAAAAGAGGGGGGGATCCAGGGTGACAGCGGAGCATCCCCCCCCCCCGAATTGCGCCTGGGGTGCGTGCGTGCGTGTGCGCGCGAGAGGGAAGTCCCCTCCGGCTGGCCGAGCTGGGCAGTGGGCTTCCTGTGCCAAGGAGCCCGGCATCCCCCACTGCAGAGGAGGAGGAGGAGGAGGAGGAGGAGGAAGGCGGCGGACGAACACCGTGCGAGTGTCATGGTGGCGGGGATATCCTGTCTGCTAAGGTGCGAGGCATCCCTTTTGTGAGGGACGGACATATTGCACATTAAGAGGTTGCATTAGTGGAGGAAGAGGGATGGGGACTGGCTTGTTAGGAGTGCCGGGGACTCCCTTCTACAAATTTTGTTTTCTTAAAAGCAGGCATTTCTCATGTGAGGATCTGCACCACAAGCCGGGGATTCCCTGTTGCCTCCCAAATGCAGTTCATACTTGACGTTGCTTTGTGGTGAGATGCTCAGCATCCTTCCCTTCAGTCCAAACTCATTCTTAAAGCTGTAGAGTTAAAAAGATTAGGGCAATGAATTGTCCCTTCCATCAGCTTATACATAAAAGGTGCATATTTCTGTGGTGGAGGACCGGTCATCATTTTATCCTGTTGCCACTGTAGTGGTGCTGAACTCCATGGGATTCTTTTAAGTGTTGCCACTGCAACACTTTCTCCATAAGAAGAAGAAGAAAAAAAGAATACAGTGTATGGTTTTCCCCAAGGGAGACTGTTTTCCTTAATCTTTCTTTCTCTGTACCAGATTGCAAATCTCACCACAGCAGGGAAAAGGAGGAGTGCATGCTTTATGAGCCATTTATCTGCAAAAAGGTGATGAGGTACCCTTTGCCAAAGTGTGTTAGGAAGGCATTCCTCTCTGCCCATTGAATTTTTTGAAGGTTCTCTCTGGTTACCTACATACTTGAAATAGAAATATGAATTTACTACTTGTCAAGTTCATAGAGTTGATTATGTGGCAAGGAAACAGTCCTTTGCTTTGTCACTGTAAAACAGTATGCGTGTCAGGGTGGGTCTAGTGAGAAGTTCATGAATTTTCCTATGGAAGTGTATGTAGGACAAATCCTATTGATGTAGTACTTTTTTGGAATTCATTCATGGGCGTAGCCAGGATTTTTGTTAGGGGGGCAGAACCTTAGTAAAGTATTTTTCTTGATTTAATTGATGGGGGCAGCTGCCCCCCTGCCCCCCTTGGCTATGCCCATGAATTCATTGTGGGTTTTTGTATACAAGCTTGGTTGGCCTTTTGGGAAGGCTTGAGGGAATCCTTTGTATTTAAGAGAGGTGACTTTTGATGACTTGTTAAATGAGTGGTACTTGAAAGTCAACTGCTATGATCCTAGTGATTTTTTTCCTACAGTAAGGGTAGTGGGAAGAGGTAAAACAACAGAATTCTATATGACAGGGAAACAGATTGTTTTGGAGGTCTCCGCCTTGGGCTTAACTGTAGTTGGTAATTCAGTTATTTCCTAAAACTGTGTTTTACATGAAACTAAGAGGAGAGCTTTCCTTAATGGCTGACTCTAAAATAAGACATTTTGAGTTACTTCATGTTGAAAGCTCTTCTTTTTAAAAAGGTGCATGACTAAGGGCATTTCTGCACAGCAACGGGCTGTTTAGTGCAATAAATATGCTTTGCTGTGCACTTGTTGCACATGGATTTGGGTTGCAGAGCCTCTCAAAGTGAATGGTAGCATACCTCTTTATTTTCATTTGCCTCTTTTTAGTTTTTCTGAGTGGCCTTGACATGCTTTTCTTTTGCATTGAAAATTAATTTGCAACAATACATTGGCCTGCATTAATAAAGATTGCTCACTGACTTTCAAAGACCTAATTTAATGATATATTGGTTCCTTGGTATTTGGGTAACAGTCTGATTTATGTGTCCTTAACCACACTAGTTTATGTAATATAGGCCGAATTTGGGGAAAAAACCACAACACCAACCAAATGAAAGCTAAACTTGACAAAGGACCAAGTTGGAGCACATCATAAGGTAGTTAGACTTTGTGCAACTCTTCTTCATTTTGACCTGCTTCTCTTTATGTGAACACAGTATTGCTGTATTTTTTTTTAGCTTAGGTTTGCTGGTATGCAGAACTAATGTACCTGCATGTCTGCCTGCACACACATGTGTACCAAAGGGTGGCTTGGGCCATGGGTCTGGCAAGTTATTTGCTCTATCAAGTACCCAACTGAAAGACAACTAGATCTGTGACTCTTGGAACACTTAATTACATATTGATCTTGTCAGCAGTTTTCATTTATCATGCAGTAACTTGTCTTTTAAATTTTACTGTTACCTACCATCAACAATGTAAGTTATCACTTGGGCAAATATCTGCTGATTAGCTAGCAAATAAATGCCATCTTGATTGTGAGACTGTAGGTCTAAATTGCTTTTACCTAGATTAAAATGCAATAGTGACCTCCTAATTAGCAATCTCTTCACATGAGAAAAATACTCCCATGAGGCATTTGCTTCTTCCTATATTACATTAGTTAGCTGTTTACTGATAAAAGAGATATTCCAATGTGACTTTACCCAAAGTCATACACCCCCCCCACAGCTCTAGAACTGCCACCTTGGTAACAGCGTTGTTTCATTTTTATTAGAGCAGCTGATGAAGGTAAATGCTTTGCCACGTGAAAACACACAAGTAACCTCTGTTAATCACAGTAGCATAAGTATTATTTTAGTGATTAACCAAATCCTAAAAGGGATCCAAAGGAAGTGTGAAGTGTTTGTTGCTTTTATAACTGTGTGTGCGTAAACCTAAGAGCAGGAGATACCTGCATGCAGAAATGCACACACCGCTCTCTTACAGAGTTGTGTGTGGGATGAGCTGGAAAACCCTAGCAGTGAGCTTGCATCTGGTCTCAAATCATAGAGGAGGGCTGCTGTATCCAGTGGCTTAGCAGCTGCCCTTCCCAAGATCAAAATAAGTGATCAATTCACTTGGGTGGGGCTCACCACCAGTGGCCCCCTGCAGCCCCATGCCTCTTAGCACTCCCCTAGGTAATCCCACAGCACCCTTTGGTAGCTAGGGCTATATACCTTAAATCATATGGTAGTCATATTCTAGAGGTGTAAGTTTAATTGTCTACTTTTCTAAATAACTGTCCAAAATCTGCAGTGGTTTTTTACCTAAATGCAAACGTCTTATGTAAGGTAAATGGTGGTGTTGGAGAACGCCTCTGACTTCTCTGCCCTTGTATTCTATTCTATTGCTATGGCACCTTCCTTTGGCTGTCTCTTGTGGCTTCTGAAAAAGTTCCCCCCCTCCATGTTAATGTAACAAAGGCTAATAGAGTTGTGCAAGTGTGATGTGAAATCTTTTCTGCCTTAAACATTATCAGAAATCAGTTGGCACTTCTATTTCCAGAAAACGATTCTAGATTCAGGTAGGTAGTCGTGTTGGTCTGACGCAGTCAAAATAAATTTAAAAAATTAAAAAAAATTGTCCAGTAGCACCTTAGAGACAAACTTAGTTGGTCTCTAAGGTGCTACTGGACAGTTTTTTTCCTGTTTTTTTATTTATCCAGAAAACGATGTTGTTGAAAGTGATGTACCAGGAACTATCGTTTTCTCTTCCCTTCTCTCTCTCCTTCCCTCCTCCAGCTTCCTTGTAAGTGTCTCTCGAGTGGGGAGGAGCTCCTGGTACTAGCTGCTAGTGATACCTAACAGTACTGCACACAGGAGTCTGAGGGTGCCCCTTTCAAAGATGGTGCCAGGCTATGTCTTGCGCTGGGACACAGAATGAGTGTTGCAGGCAGCAGGGGAGGGTTTGCGACAAGCAGACACCCTGGTTGTTTTTTAAATGGAGGAACAAAGTCAGTGATGAAACAGACCCTTGCCAGGCAGTGCATACATTAGGGGCCTGCTTTGTCTCTGGGGAGCAGGAAGTGAGAAATCCAAACCTCAGTGATACTAAAACCGTCATTGACTCTGAAACTCAGTGAATAGTTGAAATCTGTAGGTGATTAATTTCCCCACAAAACTAGTTTCAGCCATGGTTATTGGTGGTGTTAAGGGGCTGCATAAGTTTGAAGAGTGCAGGAGCCATAGTGCTTAGCAGGCACCTACATTTTAAAACTACAACAATACTGAAAGAGAAAAAGGGCAGGCTCATCTTTGTTAGGGGGAACACTAGATGGCAAAACTACCGTATTTTTCGCCCTATAAGATGCACTTTTCCCCCTCCAAAAATGAAGGGGAAATGTGTGTGCGTCTTATGGGGTGAATGCAGGCTCCTTGGCTTCAGCGATAGCAACGCGAAGCCTCCGAAGCCTGCGCTCCGGAGGCTTTGCGTTGCTTCCACTGAAGCCAGGAGAGTCTGCTCTTTGAGGCTGGCGGTGGGGGAAAGCAGCGCCTCCTCCATCGCCAGCCCCAGAGGATGGGGGGCAGCGGGAAGGCGCCGCGACGCCTTCCCGCTACTCTCCGACCCGGCTTTGAGGCTGGCAGTGGGGAAAGCAGCGCTTCCCCAATGGCCAGCCCCAGAGGATGGGGGGCAGCGGGAAGGCGCGCGACGCCTTCCCGCTATTCTCCAACCCTCCTGTGGGCTTTTGCGGGAGATGGGGGAATTCCCCCACCTCCCACAAAAGCAGGCAAAAGCCGCGCACTCTTTAAAGGGGCTCCGCGGCTTCTGCTGGCTTTTCTAGGAGGTGGGGGAATTCCCCCACCCCGTAGAAAAGCCCGCAGGAGCCGCGCACCCTTTGAAGAGCGCACCGCTCTTGGGGGCTTTTCCCCGAGGAGGGAGAAGGGACTGACTTGCCATTTCAGTCCCTTTTCCCTTCTGGTCGAAAAGCCCGTAGGAGTCGCGCACGGCTCCTGTGGGCTTTTGCGGGAGGTGGGGGAATTCCGCCACCTCCCGCAAAAGCAGGAAGAAGGTCTTGGAGTAGCGCACAGGCTGCGTGCAGCCTGTCCGCTGCTCCCAGAGCTGCGGGGGGGGGGGAATCATACTTTTTTCCTTGATTTCCCACCCCTGAAAACTAGGTGCGTCCTATGGGCCGGTGCGTCCAATAGGGCAAAAAATACGGTAAATTGACAATTGGCCCCAAACTCAAAACAGTTAGATTTTATCCAGAAAAGACTAAATAAACTCATCTCCTGGGGAAACAATTCTAGGAGGTGACTTCAACCTAAACACCAGAGATACCTCTCCAAGACATTCACCCCCAAATCCTCTGGACAACCTTCCTCTGAAGGAAGCCAAAAAAAGAGCAGCAGAGACTCCTATAGACTACAGTCGTACCTCGGGTTACAGACGCTTCAGGTTGCAGACTCTGCTAACCCAGAAATAGTACCTCGGGTTAAGAACTTTGCTTCAGGATGAGAACAGAAATTGTGTGGCAGCGGCGGAGCAGGAGGCCCCATTAGCTAAAGTGGTGCTTCAAGTTAAGAGCAGTTTCAGGTTAAGAACAGACCTCCGGGACAATTTAAGCACGTAACCAGAGATACCACTGTACTAAAAATGCTGAAAAACGAAGGCCTGTATGAAACATGGGGTGACAAGAACCCAGGCAGCACCAGTCTCACATTCCTGTCTGGATGCCATGGCACAAGGTCTAGGCAGGACTGACCATGCCAACCCTAACTGCAGAGGAACAAGAATTATGGACAGCCCTATTACCCCAGAGGAAAAAGAGACTGTCCTCAAAAATGTAGAACCACACAAAGCCCTGGGCCCAGATGGCTTTACAGCAGAATTCTGCAAGAAATTCAAAGGCACCCTGATTCCCTTTATGGCACGCCTGTTCAACGACCTCATAAAAGGAGCCCCATGCCTCCTCCAAAATAGTCTCTATCCCAAAGCCATTCAAAGACAGCACAGCCTCAAAATAGAATCACACCGCCCAATTTCGCTGATAAATCAAGACTACAAAATATTCACATCAATTCTGGCCAACCATATAAAATGTTTCTCACACAAACTTAATAGCCTTGGACCAGGCTGGCTTTGTCCCCAGTTGCAGTATAACAGACCCCATTAGGAAACTACTGAATTTGATTGAACACAGCAAAACAACCAGGTATTTCCATTCCAAACAATCAAAGGTTTTAAGGATATACCCAAGGTAGTCAGTGGGGATCTGGTTGTTTTGCTGTGTTCAATCAAATTCTAATAGTACTAGGCAGTTTTTGAAATTAGCCAGGTGCCGGGCGCATTTTGCACCTGACTATCAGCCACTTGCTACCACTTTGCACATCTACTCTGCAAAAGAATGAAAGTTCATCACCCACCTTCTTTCTCCCTGCCCCACCTCACAGTGCCTATGACGCCAGTGCCTCACACCGAATGTAACTGACATGTAGAAAGGACTCTGAATTGAAACAGAGACATTGTATGTACCCTTGTGAAAATGCTTTAATAAAAACAAATTATATATTTTTTGAAGCGTGTGCATGGAAGCAATTCAACTTAGACATGTGATCAACTTTTAACTGGAGGGTGGGATATCTGCTCACCTTCCCAAAGTGGGAATTTGCCCGTTTCCATCCTTTGTTGATGTTGTGCTGCTGTGATCTGATCAGATTAAAACAGTAATCTTTCACGGGCGCTCTCTCCCTCCCCCCACTTTTTGCATGGGTGAAATGACATTTCACAAAGCATTTGCTCAAGATGGTTGCAACATTCCTACTGGGAAAGGATGACTATAGGAACTTGCTAGGGATGAAAGTAACAGCAGGTGAATATATGCATGTAGTCCTTCACATCTTCTGAATTAAAATTTGGGCTCACGTGCTACAAAAACTGCACCCTTAAACATTTTGGATAACTTGGACTGTTGCTATCCTGTAGGCAAATACAGACACAAAAGTTTGATTAAATCATGACTAAAAAGTATATCCAGATTTTAAGATGTAGACCATGGACAGAAATGCATTCCCAATTTTTAAACGTCATAAAATTTGTAGCCACTCTCCCAGCACAGAGCTGAAATATATATTTCACATTCTTAAGTGGTGACACATGAGACTTAAGCCACTAGGCCCCTGGGTTTCCCCCTCTGCTTTGACCTTAGCCGGTTTAAGGTCCAGTGAATCCATTGCCATAATTCACAAACAGGCCTGTTAGTATTAAAGGCCAACTAAACTCCCCGTAGCCATTTGTTGAACAACCATGCCATCATTAATAATAATAATAATAATAATATTTTTTATGTATACCCCGCCCTCCCCAGCCAAGGCTGGGCTCAGGGTGGCTAACAAGCAAAAATAAAAACAAGTTGAATGAATACAACTTAAAAACAAAATTAAAATACAACATTAAAATATTGAAACATTAAAATATTAAAATGTAGCCTCATTGCAGGAGGAGAAAGGAAAAGAAAAAAGAAAGAGGGGGAGGGAATCAAATTGACTCCAAGTCAAAGGCCAAGTGGAACAACTCTGTCTTACAGGCCCTCCGGAAAGAAATCAGATCCTGCAGGGCCCTGGTCTCATGAGGCAGAGCGTTCCACCAGGTCGGAGCCAGTGTTGAAAAAGCCCTGGCTCTGGTTGAGGCTAATCTAACTTCCTTAGGGCCCGGGACCACTAGGGTATTGCTATTTATGGACCTTAGGTCCTCCGTGGGGCATACCGGGAGAGGCGGTCCCGTAGGTACGAGGGTCCTAGGCCATGAAGGGCTTTAAAGGTCAAAAGCAGCACCTTAAATCTGACCCTGTACTCCACCGGGAGCCAGTGCAGCTTGAAAAGCACTGGGTGAATATGCTCCCATGGCAGAGACCCCGTGAGGAGCCTCGCTGCAGCATTCTGCACCCGCTGGAGTTTCTGGGACAGCTTCAAGGGCAGCCCCGCGTAGAGCAAATTACAGTAGTCAAGCCTGGAGGTGACCGTTGCATGGATCACTGTGGCCAGGTCGGGGCGGGAAAGGTAAGGGACCAACTGCTTGATGCGGCGAAGGTGGAAAAATGTCGCCTTGGCTGTTGCTGTAACCTGCACCTCCATTTTCCATGGAGGCGTCAAGGATTACACCCAAACTCTTAACGGAAGGCAATGGCACTAATTGGACCCCCGCAAGAGAAGGGAGTTAATCCCTCATCCCCATGCCATCCCGACCCTGCCATAGGACCTTCCGCTCCCACGAAACCATCCAGCCACAACTTCTAAGCATCAGGTCAGTGTGTCCGGGGCCGAGTCGGTGTGGCCATCCATCAGCAGATAGAGCTGAGTGTCATCAGCATATTGGTGACAGCCCAGCCCAAAGCTCCAGACAATCTGGGCAAGGCGACGCATAAAGATGTTAAAAAGCTTCGGGGAGAGGATTGCGCCCTGCGGCACTCCACACACCAAGGAGTGGCGCGACAACATTTTCCTCCCTAGTGCCACCCTCTGTCCCCGACCAGAGATAAAAGAGCACAGCCATTTACGGGCTATGCCCTGAATCCCCACGTTGGCAAGGCGGTGGTCCAGAAGATCATGATCGACCATGTCAAAGGCTGCTTACAAATCTAAAAGGATCAGCAGTCCTGACCCGCCTCGATCCAGTTTTCTACGGAGATCATCTGTTAGGCAACCAGAGCCGTCTCGGTCCCGAAACCAGGACGGAAACCGGACTGAAATGGATCTAAAGCCGATGTTTCCTTCAGAAACCTACCAAACTGTTCAGCAACCACTCTCTCAATTACCTTACCCAGATATGGAAGATTTGAAACTGGGCGGTAATTGGATAGGTCTAAAGGATCTAGTGAAGTTTTCTTTAAGAGCGGACACACCACTGCTTCCTTCAGTTCCCCTGCGAATGTCCCCGTGCCAAGGGACAAATTGATAATTTCAACCAGGGGGGTCCGCGCGACATCTGGACACAATTAATTACTTAATTAAGCAATTAATGATGCTTGGGGAATGTACCAGAAATCCTGTATTGTAACTCATCTCCCATTAAATCTCTCATGACCAGTATGTGATACATAATGTATGTATTTCCAACCTGACTTTTTAAACAAATGGAAATCTTCAAGGGGTTGTGCAGTTTCTGCTTAATATCTTACATGATCCTTAGCTGTTGTTGTCATGTGGGAAAACAAATTGAACCCTAGCTGATTTATTTTAATAAGATATTTTTAAATAGAAATCAGCAGCATTAAAGTTATGGTCTTAATTGTGATCCTATTGTAAAATATGGGGGAAATGGTATCAAAGGGTCTTGGAGACCGTGCTGGTCACTCAAGAGCCTCGGACGTGCTCCCTTAGGCAGAAGAAACGCTCCACGTACACTGGAGGGCCAGGCTTAATTAGTGAGCGGCTCTAGACCTTGTTCTTCATGACAAAAAGCTGGAACTTTGAAGAGGAAAACTAATAAATGCCTCTGAGTACATGCAGAGTGCTTTTCCTTCTTCATTTAATAGCCAGAACATAGAGCTTCACTCCTGGGATGTGGGCGCAGGGCTTTCCTTTGGCTTCAGAAATTTTGCAGATAATGCGTTTTTATGATAGAGAGAGAGAGATTGAACTAGGATTGTCCTTGCTGGCTGTGGAAATGGCAGCAGCACCCCGGTGGAAGGTTGGGATACGAATGTAATATTATACAGGCAACGCCCCATTTACTCAGGGGTTATGTTCTAAGGTACTGTGTGTTTAAGTGAAATCACGTATATCTGAAACACCATTGAAAAAGCCTGCAAACATAGCTTTAGTCACCTATCTAGACTTTCTTGTACTGTGTGTGCCCATTTTCAGACTTTTCTGCCAACTAGAAGTGTATTGGACTATATGTGCCCCAAATGTGAGCTTTCTACCTGCCAATCAGTTTCTTGGCCCAAGTCAAAGTGATGGTTTTGACACATAAAGCCTTAAACAGCTTAGGATTGCAATCAGTGCTTCTTTTCTGGGGGGGACACAGTGTTACACATACCCCTAAACATTTTGTGAATCTTTGTACTTTTTTCCATTTACTGTATTTATTCCCCCCAATTTGAACTATAAAATGCTGGTTTTCTTGAGTCAAAATGAGAGTATCCCTAAACATTTTTTTAGGAAAAAAAAAAGCACTGACTCCAATACCTCAAAGACTGTCTCTCCCCGTGTGAACCAACTTGGACCCTGTGATAATCACCCGAGGCCTTTATTTGTGTGCCTCCTCCATGAGAACGGGCCTGTTTGTGGAATGCTCACCCCAGAGAGTCTTGCCTGGCGCCTTCATTATACGTATTTAGGCACCAGGTGAAAACATTCCTCTTCAACCAGGCCTTTGGCGGATTGACATTCTATGTCTTTTTAGATGTGTTTGTGGGGTATGGGTTTGTTTTGCTCTTGTTTTTATTTTGTAATTTTATGCTGTGGACCGTCTTGAGAACTTTGGATGAAGGGTGGTATACAAATTTAATAAATAATAAAAAACAATACCTAGTGTGTCAGCAATGTAGTCATTTTGATGTGCATTTCACGGGCTCATTATTACTATACATTTACGTATACCCCACCTTTTTCCCTTATGGAACTCAAAACAGCTGACAGATAAAAATAAGAATCATTAAAAACATAGAGAAAATAATTAAATAACAGTTAAACAATAGAATTAATAGAACTATATACACATGTAAAATAGGTTTAGAACGTACAAATAATTACAGTAAAAGCAGCATGGCACCAGCCTTCCAGCAAGAATGAAACAAGAATGTCTTCACCTGCCTGTGGAAGGAGAACAAGGAGGGAGCCAGTCTAACTGCTCTAGGGAGGTTGTTCCAGAGCCTGGGGGCAGCCACCAAGAAGGCCCTTTTCCACGTCCTCACCTAGTATGTCTGTGAGAGTGGTGGGACCAAGAGAAGGGCCTCCCCTAAAGACCTCAGAGCCTGGGAAGGTTTGTATGAAGGAATATGGTCTTTCAGATAGCTTGGACCTAAGCCATGTAGGGCTTTATATGCCATAACCAGCACTTAGAACAGGGCGATATTTCAGTTCATTGTCTGAAACTGGTATGAAGTTCAGATTGCAATACTGGTTTCAGACTTCTTGAGCTGGCAATACATCACGGCTCCCTGGCTGCCGCCAGCCCTCCTGGCTGCCTGCGCTGTGCTGGTGGTAGCTGGGGAGCTGCGATGTCTTGCCCGCTCAGATTGCGTGCTCTGTGATTTACCTTCACCTGAGCAAGTGGGGTGGGCTGCCTCCTTCCTGCCGGTCGGTTGCAGGCAGAATGACCAACTGGGAGGGAAGAGGCAGCCTACCCTGCTTGCTCGGGCGAAGGCAGATACGCAGGCCAGCAGGCGCATGGAGCACTTTCTTAGGCTTTCTCTACCAAGGCTGAGGCTCGACTGGGGAGGGAGGGAGGGATGGAGTGCGCAGAAGCGCCGTTGCTTGAGCAAGCAAGCAGCCTCCTTCCCTTCCTCCTGGTCGCTCCTCCCTCCCTGCACACCCCAGCTGCTTTTTCAGTGTTATTTCAGACATCATAATATATATCACAATGATTAACTGGTTGATATATCATGATGTTGAAAACCAGATATCGCCCAACTGTAACCAGCACTTTGAATTGTGTCCAGAAACAGACCAGTAGCCAATGGAGTTGTTATACTGAGTAAGTCATATGCTCCCTCTAACCACCTGCGGTCAGCATTCTGGCTGCAGCAGCTCTTTGAGCCAGTTGAGGTTTCTGAGCACTTTTCAAAGGCAGCCCCATGTGGAGCACGTCACAGTAATCCAATGGGATGTAACTAAGGCATGTGTCACTGTGACCAAGTCAGACATCTCCACGAATGGGTGCAGCTGGTGCACTAGCTGTGACTGCACAGTTGCACTCCTGGCCACTGGAGAAACCTGAGCATCCATGCTTAGGGACAAGTCTAGGAACACGCTCAGTGAGCCTGTGTCTTTAGGGGGAGTGCTGCCTGATTCTGCACAGGCTGAATCCCTATGCTGCCTTCTTGCTATTGAAGTTGCATAAATATCCCATTCTAATCATTCAAGACAACTTGTCTATGCAGCAGATTTCAGCTTTGGAGTTGCTATGGAAATACCTTAAGTACTTGTTCATGTCTCTTCATGAAATGTCCTGTTTCAGACTCTTGAAGTAATCAAGACGGTCTGCAAAAGCTTCCAAACTCTGTTTTCAACTAACCATGGTTAGTTGTGTTATGTATGATCTCAAGCAAATAATTGGTTTTGGGAGCAAGCAAACTTAATAAACTGATTTCTGATCCTAGTTTGTTTCCCTAAACCATAGGGAAACAAACTAGGATTATAGATAACTGTAACTGCAAGTTTGTTATAATGTGTTGTTATGAAGTTAGTAAACTGTATTGTTATGGCTGGATACCAAAGGAACTGAGCCTTCTCCCCGCTTCTTTAGCACACTGAAACAATCACACAAATTTAGGCTTCCCAAGTGCCTTTCAGTTCTAGAAGGAGAGGGACAACCTATGAAAAATAAGCAGTAATTTGTGATGAGTAAATGAGACTGACATGAAATGTGATGTGGACAGGTCTGGACATGCCCTATGTCATGGGTAGGCAACTAGGGCCCAGGGGCCAAATCTGGCCCAGTAGCCTTCTAAATTTGGCCTGCGGACGGTCCAGGAATCAGCATGTTTTTACATGAGTAGAATGTGTGCTTTTATTTAAAATGCATCTCTGGGTTATTTGTGGGACATAGGAATTTGTTCTCTTCCCCCGCCAAATGTAGTCCAGCCCCCCCCACGAGGTCTGAGGGACAGTGGACATGAAGAGTTTGCTGACCCCTGTCCTGTGTGCTTTCCCTCCCTTCTTGCTCCTGCATATTCACATTGCCTCCCTTCCTTGTTTGATCAAGCCATAGTTTGCTATTGCATCTGAACTGGGCAAAATGTGTAGCCATACTTTGCTTTCAAGCGAAGACCTGGAACAATGGCTTGAAGTGGTTAGAGGAGTGGGAACATTTTGTTTGATCTCATCCGTCAGCGCAGCAGAACAAGCTGTCCTATGGCAAGAGAACCCTGTATGTCCCTAACAGGCACCTGCCCTTTCTTCATTTTGAAAGCCTGTGGGGAAAGAGTCGCCCACAAATAATCGTAGCATCTTCCTGCCCATGCAGATGAGTAGCATAAAAAATGAGGACCTCTTTATAAAAGTTTATAAAAACTTCCAGTTCACCTAGTCCTAGAGGCAATTCTTACCTTTCAATGCAAATAAGCAAGTGACTTTTTATTTACAAGCCAGCTGTAGATAATTTCCTGTATTAATGAGCTCCCCTCAATAGAACAGCCTGTCTTAATGTTGTTTTAAATCTTCAACCAGATCAAACTGACTGTTTCATGCCTATATCTTCAGTGGGCAGGAGAAACAAACTGTTCTGTACCTCACTTTTATTTTATTTTTTTTTTTCTAAAATGGAAGAAGTTTCAACCTACCGTAGCTTTGCATCGAAAAAAGTCCTAAACTCAGTTACTGCACTTCCAGGTTGCAGCAGAATTAAGATAATCCTTCATCTGTGAAACCTTGGGGAGGAACTACATTTTATAGATGGTTCTGATCTAGATATGTTTGGTGTGTGGAAATTGCTTTGTACTTTCTTCCACTCTTCTCATCTAAACCTATGCAGGCTGTTCTGGCTGGATCACAGGTGCCACGAGTGTCGTTATTCTTTGAGGTTTTCCATTAAAATGAACAGCTTGGGCTTCTATCATCTTCATAGGTTTCCACCGAATTCTTTCTGCATCTTACTTGACCAGTTCTGAACACAGTACTCCGTATGAGATTTTGCTAGCACTTTCCAGTTCTTCTTGATATAAATTTGTTCTGGAGGCCCCATAAAAGCTGTAGCCAGGTTGGGTTTAGGTTTGGCGTCACCTGGTGGTCAATAAGCAACATTGCAAGCTTGCAAAAATAAACCAATCAGGATGTCTTGGCTCCTTCCTTCTTCAGTTTTTTATTTTGCCTTGCAGAAAGCAGTCATTTATTCCTGAGACTCCTGGTGTTCACCTTTTTTTCCAGGATGGTTCATTCTGCCTCTCCTTGAATTTCTCTGTGGCTCTAGTTCCTTTACCTTCCGCATTACCACCCACATGGTCGCCACCTTCCAGATTCCTTTATCATTTCCAGATGAACACTTTCGCCCTAGCTGAGAATTATTTTGACAAACTTGCAATATTGCCTGTTGACTGCCAGGTGGCGCCAAACCTAAACCCAACTTGGCGGCAGCTTTTTCGGGATCCAGAAATACCTTTCATTGTAAGTATAATGGCCTTTTTTGATTATTACTCTGTTCACACAAGCCCCATCAGGTTTCTAACCTTTTGGTGTGCGTTAAAAAAATAAACTTTATTATCAAATATGCAGAGTTTGTTTTGGAATATTCATTTTGTATGGCTTCTGTCTGTTGACCTTCAGTTCAACTTTCACTGTGGGTTTTACTGGTGCCTATCCACTGGTACTATATCCAGATGTTTAAATTAGCAGACAATCAATTCTGCAAGAAAGCATCACCTTTTGAAGTTCTCTCTTGACTGTGCAGCACAAATGGTAGCATTGCCTGCTTCATAAATACAAAAAAATGAATATTAATTCTTTGTTTTCCATTTGTTAAGACTATTATTTGTATCTCCCTCATTCAATTTGACTGACCTAAAAAACCCCCAAAGCTCACCTCACATCCTTTTTCAAAGGCTGCATTTTCAAAATTGAGACAGTTTTGATAACTCATTTTGATATGGAACTCTAGTGCAGCCTGCTATCATTATTTCCTAAGCCCAATATTTTTTATTCTACTTCTGGGTATCCACAATTCTGAAATAATATAAAATAATTATGTTTATTAGGTGGGAACTAGTTTGAGTAGTACTTTTAACTAGGGTGACCCAGATGCAAAAAACAAAACAAAACCAGGGTTCTTGAGTGTGTGAGAGAGTAAATTTGGATAATGCTGAGAAGCTGTGCTTGCTGGCACGCTCTCTTCTTCTCTACCACTACTAAAGCTGTAGCAGTTCTGTCTTGTTTTGCATAGGGTCACCCTAACTTTTAACAAAAATGCCAAAGAGCGTGTTGTAAATTAACACTAGCTTCATTTTCAGAAAGACATAATAGGAGGTCCTTCTGTTTCAATGAGCAACTGAAAAGCAGGCCTTCTTGGGAAGGCTAAGAAATACAGTTTAATCTTCTTTATTCTTTGACAGGAAGAGGCAGGGCTCTGTGTTTGCTGCAATAAACTGAATATTGACAAATTCAAGCCTTCAGAGAGTATTTCATGCAATGAGGAGTATTTTCGGTTTCTTTTTCTCCTAGGTGTTGGCAAAGGTGATGAGAAGTTTAACCCTGCTTCTTTCTGAAGACTCCAATAAAAGTTTTAAAAACTTTTATTTTAAAATAAGAGTTGTCCTTGCAGGACACTCATTAAAACAGGATGCACACCACTTAGACGAAAGCAGATAAGTTGTATATAAATAGTTAGAAAATAAAAATGAAATGAAATTCAGTTAATATACGTTTTTTCAAACACACTATATTGAAGATTTTTCTTCTTTCCTTTTGTTCTTTGCTGGCCACCCCTCTTTCTTGCCTTCTGACTACTACTATATGGGCAGTCTTCAGAAGTACTGCAGATCAACAAACAGAACGTGGCTGTTGCATTTCAACAAATCTTTTGGAGAGACCTGAGCAGGCATCCTGGACTCCCTTTGAAGTTCTTGCTGTAGCCAAAACAAAACTGCTTAAGAGGCAGAGTGCTTCTCAGGTTAGATTTTTTCAAGGTAAACCAGAAGTGGGTTGCCTCTACAGAATGCTAGCATGCCCTCCTTAGTTGAGTCTTCCTTTTCTGAAATGAAAAAGCCGCACATACTTCAGCTTTTTCTCATGGACTCACACCTTGATCAAAAGGAGAGTGGCACAACCTGGGATCTTACCAGTAGTTGCAAACTTCCTTACTTTGCCATCTTAGAACTTTAACATACTGTAGCTGGGGCTTCTCTTGTGCTCTTTGACAGCAACATCTATTTCTCCCCACCATAATAATAATAGTAATAATTTTATTATTTCTACTCTGCCCACCTGGCTGGGTTTCCCCATCCAAGGTATTCAATGTATGTGAACTCACTGTTTTTGTGTTTTCTACTTGCTCACTGAGCAAAGCAAGTGGCACTCAACTTTCTTGTTTTAAAACAGAGATTCTCTCTAACAGTAGCCAGATGCTGTTGGACAGATGTGTATGATCATATCCATTTAGAGTTCTATCTAGACCCCTGTGACAATGCCCATCTGTGCTGGCTTACTTAAGAGAGTTTAAGCATGTGATTCCCTGGCTGAAATATATCATTTGGCTATTAGCTTTTCTGGATGTGTGGAGAGCATTTGTCAGGAGTAGACCGTGCCTCAAAAACCTTTAATTATACACCACAGCTTGTTCTTCTGGGGTCCAAAGACAACTCACTGTCAGCTGACATGTTGCAGGCATTCTGCTTATAACAGCTTGACTGTAGTTTGACTGATTGGTTTCTGTCAAGTAAATGGCAGCAGTGTTTTTATTAAAGCTTACGTCGAAATGTTTCCACACAGCATATTTGGATTTTAAAAGTCTTGTTCTATAAGTACTGTAAAAACTGGATGGATTGTGACGTATTCAAGGAAATTGTTAACAGGCCTAGGATGTGCACCTCACATTCTTGTCTACTTTCATTGTACTAAATGTCTGTTAGAAGAACTCTGCTAGTATTAATTTTGGGTTTTTATGTGTTTGGGGTTTTTAGGTATAAGTGTCTGTGGTGGTGGTGAGATGAGCTTAAAAGGCATTTATAGTTCCAATTTTCAGGTGGCTTCCTATGAACACTTGAAGTAATAAGGCCACTATGGGGTGGGTTGAATGATGGAGTGGGTAGGTACCCGTAATTGTTTAATGCATGAGACTTATGGGAAGACGGACCATAGCTTATCTCTTGATTCCATACAGATTTATAAGTTTCTCAAGATGTGTGTGTGAGGGGGGTGACATGCCTTAACTCGGGAAACTGTGAAGCTTTAAGCAAACCCAAGTTATAGCAAGTAATGACATCTGTCTTGGTTTAAACTCTAGTGAGAACAAACCAGAATTTGAAACCATAGTTTGTTCCTGGTTTATTCTTAATAACTGGGTTTTAATTACAATCAGATAATGGTTCTGTGAGTTCAGGCAGCATGGGGATTTGAGTCCATTTGTTTAAAAGCTTCCATCGCCTCTTGGCTGCGGAAGGGAGAGGCATGAAGAACATGAGCCCAAGACTTGTGCAAGCCTGTTCACATTTTGTTTGAACTGTGCTTATGAGTGTGCTGGCCCACTCCAGTTAGTCTTTGAATGCATTAATTACTGTGTCTGTTGCTCTCAAAGACGACATAGCTTTGTTGTACAGCCTGCTAATGTCTTCCTTGCCCTCTGTAATCAGGCTTGGGAATCGTCAAGGTTAGCCCCACACAGGGCACAGTTTGGGTCTGCTGCCTTCTTTGCTTGTGCGCTGGAAGCCTCTGTGCAAGCGTGCCTTGGAAATATTCTCTAGTACGGTCCCAGTTTTGTTAGCTTGTAGAAGCAAAACTCTGTGGCATGTGGCTTGTTTATGCATTGACAGCCCCTTCCTCAAGCATCCTGCCTTCCTCTGGGATCATTCCCTAGTAACTATGATCATGATTCCAATCTCCAAGGTAATGAGACACATAGAATATAACACTTTGGTACAGTTTCTTCAGATAGAAGATCAAAGCGTACTAATAATAGGCTAAAAATGGGAGCAGTTAATCAGATTATTGTGTAATTCAACTGAGAACTGAATGCAAGTCTTGCAGGCTCATCTGGGCAATCTTGTGTTTGCAACGGGGAGAATTAAAGAATGGCAAATGGCAAAAACAAAACACAAATTCTTGCTGGATCTGAGCAAGAGTCAATCTAGTTAGCCTTCTGCTTCCAGCAGTGACCAGCAGTGTCTTTATGGGAAACATGCAAGCAAAAGCATGATTGTGAGAGCTATCTCCTGATGTTTATCCCCAAAATTAGTTGTTGGAGGTGCACTGCCACTGAACATTCTGTTTTAGCTGTTATGGCTGGTTTCCATGGATGTAGCTATCCTCCACACATTCATCTAATTCTGTTTTTTAAAAAAATCGTATGCTGGAAGTGGCTGGAAGATGAGTGATCTACTGGAGATGGGCCCATGCTCCTCATGCACATTCTCTCCACGATCAAGAACTCACCTCCAGAACGGGATTACGATATTGGAGAAAATGCTTTCTGTTTGTCTCTCTGCTCTCTGCCCCCCCCCTCCAAATATTACCACATTGCTTTGGTTCTCTATTTTTGACTTGCAAGATTTTTAGTGGAATTTGTGTTTGGTTCTTGTAAGCTATGCTAGCAACTCCAATCAAAAAGTGGGAGACAAACCTAATAAATTGGAGTGCAGTTCAGTAATTTATTTGTGTGTGGTAGCCTTTCAGGACTATGTGGAAACATCAGTTGGCCCCAGATGCTGTGGCCAGATTTTTGAGTAGCGCAGACAGTATGTACTATAGAATTGCCAGACTTATGAGATCTTCATTGGTTACCTGTTTGTTTCTGGGCCCCATTCAAAAGGATGCTTTTGATGTGTTGCCCCGCCCCTCAAGGCCCCAGAAAGATTAGGTCCCCCTCCTGAAAAATGTGCCTTGTGCCATAGATTCATCTTTCTGTCCTGCGCACCCTGAATGGCCCAAGGAGGTTCTTATGCCCCTAATTTTGTGCGGCAGTTGGCTGTAAAATCAGGAGCCTTCTGGACAGGAGCATTCTGAGTTGCCCCAATCCTTGCCTCGTGGAGGTTGGTCTCTTCCTTTTACATTTTTGGGTTTTTTAGCTTGTTATTTCAGAAAGGTTTTAGCTAAGGGAATTTTATAGGTGAACTTCTGTTTTAATCGTAGGCATATTCCTTTTCAGATATAGTGAATTATTATTATTATTGTTTATTGGTTTCTTTTTTGGAAACTGTTTTGGAGAACTTTAGTTGCAGAAACTTGAGAGGGAAATTTCACACAGAAGACTTCTAGACACAGTTTGACCAGCCCTCCTTCCATCGCATGTTCTCCCATAATGAGAGGGAGCTTGTCAAGTTGGGCTTTCAGACCCACCAGCAGTGGAGAAAGGACAGATGTCTTGCGAAGGTGGTCGAGCCCTCTGCCTGGTTCCCTGTAACTTGGCTTCTCGCAGCGAGGGAACCGCCAGAAGGCCCTCGGCACTGGACCTCAGCATCCAGGCATCCCTCGGTACAATCACAAGAGTGAAAGATCTTCAGTTAAGTCTCCCTCCTTTTCTGGTGGGCTGAGCGCAACATCCACTCCATCATGGCGGAGCACATCTTGATGGGGGGGGGGTGTTTTCCACAATTTTATGGCAGTTTCTCCAGGAGTTGCTGTTCACTGTGTATTTCCATAAAAACCACCCAAAATATATTTCAACCAGTTAGAATTTTTGCTTATCTACTTTGCCCTTTTAGGAAAGAATTATCATATGCTATTTTTGTTGAAGAGTTGCTAGGTTTATTTTTCTAGTATTGATCCAAAAGTTTAACCCAGGCATCCCCAACCTGTGGCCCTCCAGATGTTCTGGCCTACAACCCCCATGATCCCTAGCTAACAGGACCAGTGGTCAGGGATGATGGGAATTGTAGTCCAAAACATCTGGAGGGCCGAAGGTTGGGGGTGCCTGGTTTAACCAGAAACTTTCTGGTGCATGCAAGGAGGGTGGGGGTTAGAGCTTTGAGAGGAAGAAATTATTTCCCTAACTCAGTGTGTGAAGAAATTAGTGCATTTTCATGCACAGTACAATTACCAGTAAAAATGAAGCAGTGGCAACATTTTCTCTTGCCCCATCATGCCACTTGCTTAAAAGAATTTCCCCAGGCTTCAGTCGACACACAACTACCACAACTGGCAAAGTGGACACATTGGGAGTTTTTAATTTAGAGAAGAGCGAGGGAATGTGGCAACCAACCTGTCTGCCAATTGCTGCAGCTCAGTGATGACTGAAGTGGTGGGGGAAACTGCCTTAAAATCAGAGGGGGTGGGGGAATATGCTGCTGCCACTGCTTTTACTAATAAGCCCCCTGCCCCTGAAAACTTCATGACTTGGAACTTGCCAACAATAATACCCTCTCAGGTTTTGCAGTGGGGGATGATGGAGGATTAGGGTTGGGGGGGCACCAGGTTGTGGGAGACTGGTCTAAACCATGGATAGGCAACCTAAGGCCCGGGGGCCGGATCCGGCCCAATCGCCTTCCCAGTCCAGCCTGCGGATGGTCTGGGAATCAGCGTGTTTTTACGTGAGCAGAATGTGTCCTTTTATTTAAAATGCATCTCTGGCTTATTTGTGGGGCATAGGAATTCATTCATTTTTTTTCAAAATATATTCCGGCCCCCCACAAGGTCTGAGGGACAGTGGACCAGCCCCCTGCTGAAAAAGTTTGCTGACCCCTGAAACAATCACCAGAAGATTCTTAAAACGCTTCTTATATATTTTTACCTCTTGTGTGAGTAGTGACTCTGTCCTTGCTTCAGAATATTGATTTAGTTTGCACAGAGCCCTTTAATTTCTGTGCTTTCAAAAACTATTATTCCCTCTGGTTTCATTGCTTCTCTTCATACATTACCCAAATAACTAATGAGTCTATTAACTCCAGTTAGGCTTTGCTAATTGCAGCAAGATCAGGTTTTCACAACTTAAGTTGTGAAACTTCATCATGCCCCAATTATCACAGCCTATTTATTCCATATGCTCAGGCATTGCTACAAATCAATTGTTCTATCTTAATATTTAGTCCTGTACTGAAAAACAGTAAAGCACTGGACTTTCAAAACACAGTTCAAATAAATTTGGTAATGAAACTCTTTTTAGCAGAAGAGAAAGTTTTAAGTCTTAGATGTGTATTTTAGCCGTGAAAATACTCTTAATGAGTCTAGATCATTAGGTAGACAAAATTGTATTATTGTATATACTTGCTAAGTTCCAGCATTCTAAAGGAAATTTCTCTTAATATATACATTTTGTTTTCAATTCTGCCTAGTACACATTTTTTTAGGCAAAACATTATTGTTATTATTTATTAAATTCATGTACCTCCCTTAATCTAAAGATCACAAGGCAGTTTACAAGATAAAAACACAAAATGAAAACACAAAATACATAACATAATAACAAAAAACCAATACATTTCCCCCCAAACACATTTAAAAGGCTATAGATTGTTTACTCAGTCAGTTTTGGTTGAAGAGGCACGTTTTCACCTGACACCTAAAGATACGCAATGAAGGTTCCCGGCAAGCCTCCCTGGGGAGAGCATTCTTCAAACGGGGAGCCACCACAGAAAAGGCTTGTTCTGTGTTGCCGCCCTCTGGACCTCGCAAGGAGGAAGGCATTCGGAAGATGATTGCAGGGTCTGAGTCAGTTCATATGGGGAGAGGCGGTCCTTGAGGTATTTAAGGATTTATAGCTAAGCCAGCGCTTTGAATTGGGTCCAGAAACTAATTGGCAGCAAGTGCAGTCGGGCCAGGATCAGTTCCCAATGCTGCACCAGCTGAAGTTTCCAAAGTAAGCCTCAAGTGACCATAGTGGATCCAGGAAGACCTCCAGGCTACGGACGTGCTCCTTCAGAGGGAGTGAAGCCCCAGTTCCCCCTATAATGTGTTTTTGTATGTTGCGTCCACTATTGTGTGCATTTATTTTAACATAGTACTGTATATGCATTTTTGTGCACACGACTTGGCTGGAAAATTGCATTGTAAAATTTGGAGGCGTGTGAATCTTGAAGGATGACTATTTCAGTTTGTGTACTGTTTCAAAATGAGTGAATAATGTATGTTTGCCTTTACAGTGGTGCCCCGCAAGACGAACGCCTCGCAAGACGGAAAACCCGCTAGACGAAAGGGTTTTCCGTTTTGGAGGCGCTTCGCAAAACGAATTTCCCTATGGGCTTGCTTCGCAAGACGAAAGCCCATAGGGAAGTCTCCGGGACCTCTTTTAAATGCTAGCGGTGGGGAGCAAAGCCTTCCCCCTCCGGCCTTCAGAAGAGGTCCAGGAAGGCTGGCGGGGCCGAAAGGCTTTGCTCCCCACCGCCAGCATTTTAAAAGCAGTCCGGGATAGCAGGGAAGCGCTTCCCGCTATCCCGGACGGCTTTGAAGGCAGGAGAGGTCCGCGGAGCCTGGGCGCGCTGATCTCAGCGCGCGCAGGCTTCGGCATGCCGGCAACTCTCCGCAAGCAGCGGCAGCGCTGCCGCTGCTCGCGGAGAGGTCCGCGAGCCTGGGCGCGCTGATCTCAGCGCGCGCAGGCTTCGGCATGCCGGCAACTCTCCGCAAGCAGCGGCAGCGCTGCCGCTGCTCGCGGAGAGGTCCGCGAAGCCTGGGCGCGCTGATCTCAGCGCGCGCAGGCTTCCGGCATGCCGGCAACTCTCCGCAAGCAGCGGCAGTGCTGCCGCTGCTTGCGGAGAGGTCCGCGAAGCCTTGGCTGGACAGCTTTGAAGGCAGGTGGGGGGACAAAGACTTCGCCCCCGCCAACCTTCAGAAGAGGTCCAGGACCTCTTCTGAAGGCTGGCGGGGGCAAAAGTCTTTGTCCCCCTGCCTGCCTTCCCAGGGGCTTTAAATTGCCCCGGACAGCGGAGAAGTCCTCCGCTGTCCCGGGGCAATTTTAAAATGCCGCCCGCCAGCATTTTAAGATCGCCCCGGACAGCGGAGAAGCCCTCCGCTGTCCCGGGGTTTTTTAAAATGCTGGGGTGGGTGGGAAGAAAAGCCCTTGTCCCCCCCCCCCAGCCTTCAGAAGAGGTCGGGGGACAGACTGTCCCCGGACCTGGTCTGAAGTCGGTTTCCCTAGGAACGCATTAATTGATTTTCAATGCATTCCTATGGGAAACCGTGCATCGCAAGACGAAAAACTCGCAAGAAGAAAAAACTTGCGGAACGAATTAATTTCGTCTTGCGAGGCACCACTGTAAATGCAAACAGAATTGAATTTCTGCATCCTTAGATAATAGTAGGGACCTGAGTATCATTTGAGTATACTGTGCACATGATTTCTGTCCAGCATTACTCCAACTCATTGCAACTGTGTCCCTTGCCAATAATAATAATGATAGTAATTTTATTATTTGTATTCCACGCATCTGACTGGGTTGCCCCAGCCACTCTGGGCAGCTTTGAACCTGCTTGTTCTTTACTGCTTTAGAAGTGTTTCCTTCCCCTTCACAGATAAGATTGCTGATATCTAGGCAAAGGATCTTTTTGGTGGTGTTGCCCTAAGACCGGAAAGCTGTCTCTGAACACATTTATGTCTGCTGGCATTTAGGACACATGTTAGGTAGCTTTAACTGACTGCTGTTTTGTTGATGATTGATTTTTGATTTTCGTTTTTAACTGCTGTTGCTGCCTATGTCTAGTGGTATTAACTGTGTAACTTTTTATCTCAGGTTATGTTTTAGTCAGAAAGTAGTGCAGGAACACATGCTCTGAAAAAGCGTATGTTCCAGTACACGTTAAAATTGCACATGTTGACTTTCCATGGCGATGAGGAGGCAGGTGGAATTGGTCTCTCTGCATTTGATAATGTTAAAGTAAAAAAAGATTTTGAAAGATGGGGAAGAATGAAACTCTCACTGCTAGGAAGAATCTCTGCAATTAATATCTGAAGCAGTGTGCATGCACACGAAAGCTTATACCCAGAACAAACTTAGTTGGTCTCTAAGGTGCTACTGGACAATTAAAAAAAAAAAAAATTATATTTCAATTACCGTATTTTTCGCTCTATAGGACGCACTTTTTTCCCTTCAAAAATGAAGGGAAAATGTGTGTGTGTCCTATGGAGCGAAGACGCCGTAGCCCCGCGACCCTCTCCCGGCTGGAGAGGTGACGGGCGGCTATTGAGGCTCTTGCCATAGCCGCCCGTCACCTCTCCAGCCGGGAGAGCGCGCGGGCGAAAGCAGCCCCAGCGACCCTCTCCCGGCTGGAGAGGTGACGAGCGGCTATTGAGGCTCTTGCCATAGCCGCCCATCACCTCTCCAGCCGGGAGAGCGCGCTGGGCGAAAGCAGCCCCCAGCGATCCTCTCCCGGCTGGAGAGGTGACGGGTGGCTAGCTGAGGCTCTTGCCATAGCCGCCCGTCACCTCTCCAGCCGGGAGCGCGCGCTGGCGAAAGCAGCCCCAGCGACCCTCTCCCGGCTGGAGAGGTGACGGGGGGCTATGGCAGGAGCCTCTATAGCCGCGCGTCACCTCTTCAGCCGGGAGAGCGCGCGCGGGGCTAAAGAAACCATAGCCCCGCGACCCTCTCCCGGCTGGAGAGGTGACGCACGGCTATGGCAGGAGCCTCTCCGCTGCGCCTTTCCGCTGCTCCCTGAACTGCTCTTTGGGGCTGGTGGTGGGCTCCCCCCCGCCAGCCCCAAAGCGCAGGTCGAAGGTAACCTCAAGCCTGGAGAGCGTTGGGGGTCCGGGCCCACCGACCCCTATCGCTCTCCAGGCTTCCAAGGTAGCCGCCTGAACGCACCTTAAACGGCACCTTGTTTTAGAGCGGGAAAACAAGAGGGGAAGTTCTCCCCTCTCTGCACAGCGCCTCCTGCCACTTCGCTGAAGGGGCGCTGGGCAGAGAGGGGGAGATTTTTTTTTTCTTGTTCTCCCCCCTCTAAAACAAAGTGCGTCCTATTGTCCGGTGTGTCCTATGGTGCGAAAAATACGGTACGTCAGACCAACACGGCTACCTACCTGAATCTGCAATTGATATGAAAGTTTTGCCTAAAATGTTGTTTCTGTTTCAGACAATTCCGATAATAAGCAATACAGGATGCTTCAAACAATGGCAAAAGTATCTCTCAAGGTTTATCTGGCAAGCGAAGAAGCCCAGAATTAAGTATAAAATATTAGCAGATATTAAAGAAAGAGGTGCATTCACACTGCCAGATTTAAGACTATATTTTGGAGCATCCTTTGTGTTGATTAAAAGAATGGAATTCACATATGCTAGACTATTTGATCTGGAAGGATAAAGGATATGGCAGAAGATTTGGATGTCTCGCATATTTATAGTATGCTAAAACAAAAGTCCACAAATGGTTTCTGAATCATGTTGTAAGGAAAGGTTTGTATGGTGTATAGATGAGATATAAGAATTTGCTTGAAAGAACACCTTTGTGGTTATGCCCTACTGAAGCAAGTTCAGAAATGAAAAGTAATATGGAAATGAAATGGGAAACCTATAGAGATGTATTATGTGACTTCCTCTTTGAAGCTTAAAAAGTTAGAGGATGTTAAGGACTGGATACAAAATTGGCTTCAATATTACCAGGTTAATGAACTATTTAAGAAACTATTTAACACCAAATAAGCTAGCCAAAATGTATAAAACTAAGTCAGGTATGTGTTGGAACAGCAAAATGACAGAAAGAACATTTTTTCATATGTGGTGGACTTGCAAAAAAGCTAAGGACTATTGAGAAATGATATATAATGGGATTAGAACTATGTTTAAATTGATGATTCCCAAGAAACCCAAAGCGTTTATTTTAGACATTATAGATAATGATGTACCAAAAGAGTTGGTTAACTTATTTATGTATCTAACGACAGCAGTTCTGAGTACTGTATGCCCATAGATTGAAAGAAGGAGAGGTTCCAACAAAGGAAGAATGGCTTTTGAAAATGATGATGCGGAACTGGCAAGATTAACAGCAAAGATCAAAATGATGAAAAATTCCTTGAGGACTGGAAACTTTTTATTGATTATTACAAAAACTACTATAGTGAGATGAAAATGCAAGCATTTGAATGAAATATGAGCAACTGCGTGAATTAAGATAAATAGGTTAAATTGAATGTATTGAATAGTATAGGCGGAATATGCAGCATTTAAGGGTAAATATGGAAACAATGGAAGGGGAGGACGGGAAGTCAATTGATAAAGTAATTTATGGTTTATGTTAGTTTTTTTTCTTTGTGAAAAATTAATAAATTCGATTTTAAAAAGAGGAATTGCTGATGGAGGGCCTGGGAGGGAAGGAGCCCGTGTGGTCTGGGTTTCTACTGGAAACCTGCTGGGAGCTAGTGATGGCTATCCCACAGATCAGGCGGAGAAGCAGGAGGAGCTAGGCTTTAGCATTCCATCCTGTCCAGTTGCCACGCTGAAAGCAAACTGTGGTGGAATCTACACACCCATTAAAAAACGCTGTGAAAATGCTTTTTTAAAAAAATGTTTTGAAAAACATATTGAATTTGCCATAGTTCACCATTGCCATCTAGTGTCACGTTTGTATATTACACTTTACAGCACACTTAAAACGTTTTATTTGCAGCTGTATAGCTGAGTCCTGTGTCTCTGTTTTGTCATCTCTCTCCCTCTCCCCCTTCTGGGTGAAAGCCATTAGCACTGATGCAGGCATGTAATGTGCCAGTCCACCCTCGCTATCCTGCGTGACAAGGGCAGCAAGACCTCCTTTTTCAGGGCGTAAGCTAAACCCTAAGGCCAGCAGAGGAGGGTTGCATCTCCAGTTTAAGCAACTAAGATTGTCCAAAGCACAAGGCAAAAGATAAATACCACATTTGATTGATTACTTGGTCCAGGCTAGCAAATGCTGTACCATATGGGACTCCAGGATGAAGTAGCTGTAGCTTTTTGGAAATGCACAGTCTTAAAACATCAGGAATATTTGTCACCAGGAACTAAACTGCAGAGCACCTGGCATCTGGGAGAAGATTGCTGCACTTCATATTAATAGGGTGACCTTGTGTTATTATGCAGGTGGTATTTAAAATATACATTTCGAGCTACAAATTCATACAGATTAAATGCATCCTTTCTGGAAGTATGCCCATAGTATTAATGGCAGATGCTATCTCTAGGTTCCATCAAATTTTATTTTGAGGAGAGTGGTTTTTAATGCAAAGCTTTTGCTTCCTATTATTGGATTTGACGTCCCTGTTGTGCCAGTGGGAAGAATGCTTAAGCCTGGTCATAACTCAAAAATTACACTGTATACAGCTTTGGATTTTTTTCCAGAGTAGCATCATGTCACTGGTCTTTGAAAGTAGTTTATATGTGTGTGACTCTGTGAAGGCAAACATGGGTAATTTATAGGCTGTGTGTGACTTGAATCCTGTAGTGCTTTTGTATGCCAGGCAGTCTTTTGGTAGAGTATACCAGCTTACAGTTCCAAGTTGCACATGAGGAACTTCAAATGTCACAGTAAGAATGCTTTCATTTTTCACATGTGTGTGCTTTAACACCTTTTGTCTGCTTGTAATATAGAAGAGCAAGTTGGGATCTAACTGCAGATCTCTGGGTGACTTGCCGCATATTGGTAAAGTTTTCTTGCTCCCAATAGTCAACAGGTTTGAGTGAAAAAAGGATGTTATCTGCCCGGGGCTGGTGTTGTGATAATCATTTATCTTTCAGCTTCAGTCTTCCAGGCCTATAAAATAGGAGTATTAATTATTGCCTTTGGACAGGCCTTTGTGCAATTTTCAAATTTTGTGTTCAGATCCCCTATCTGTAGTAATTCAGATCTAGATTTGTACTCCTGTGTACAGGTTATCTTTTTCTTTCTAGGAAAAGCAGCTTGCATTCAAAGTGCTGAAGGAAGTGCTTTGACTACAAACTGCTTGATTGAAAAATGAAACTTTTTTTTCCTTTCAAGGGGAAGCGGTTTATGTCCAAAGTGCTGGAGGAAGCACTCGGAGGCCATCGCTTTGTCCAGTCCCCTTGGCTCCACTGGGAACATTCTAGTGCAGCCAATTCCAGCTGATTGCCAGACTGTGCAGGGCTTATACTCAACCAGTTTATTGACAATTCAGATCTCTCTGCAAGGCACAATCCCTGTGTCATCTGAACCCTGGGAACAATGGGTGGTGAGAGAACATGCCAGCATCAAACTATAGGTTCAGCACCTGTCTTATTCTCATTTACCATTTAGAGAAACCATAGTTCCCTGAATTTGATTGTCAGAGAACAGTGGCCTGTTTAAAAATGGAAACAAATGCTGTTAAGGTAGAAACACAAAACCTCAAAGTTTGTTTTAGGTCATTGATATACTGTGTTGGAAAACTGATGCTTGCTGTCTGAAATGAGCCAAAGTAAATTCAGTTAGTGGACATTCAATGACAGTTGTCCTCAAATTTATAAATACAGGCAATCCTTGTTTTGCCCAGGAGTTCTGCTTCAGATCCCTGTATGCATCGGCGGAGCATGCCTAACACTGTTAGAAAGTCATATATAGAGCACACCTTAAACGAGTCTTGCAGTCACCAAAACAGAAGGTCTAGTTGCCATTTTTGTAGCTCTAAAGTCTTATTTTTCAAATGATGGGCTGTTTGTGATTGATTATCAGTTAAACATCTGGCTAGTTCAGATGACAACTTTGAGCTAGGTTAAGAACCTTGAGAACTTAAAGAAGATTATATATATATATATATATATATATATATATATATATATGCCTATTCCTACAGGATGTGGTATTGGTATGTGAAAACATTCAAGATCCAATGATCCGCAGGCATGCACCTCCAGAAGGCAGAGATGTCAGGCGTCATCCTAGCGCCCAGACGTCTTCACTTGGTTGCAGGTGGCCGATAGCCAGGTGCAAAATATGCCTGTCTGATTTCAAACACTGCTTGCCATGTAGAAATTGCTATGTATAAATTCTCAGTCAAAGATTTTCTAGCTCAGACATGTGGCAGAACAACTACTAAACAAATATGGAAGACTGTACATTAGCAGCATTTGAAACTGACTGAAAACAAACCCAACAAAATTAATAACTAATGTTTACACAATTCTTTCTGAAGTTAAATTTACTTATACACAGCCCACATATAAGACGAAATGGGAGACAGACTTGATAAAACAAAGTTCTAATATCCAGCAAGTGGAATGAGCTTGGATGTCTAATAACATTCCTAGATCTTTGATGAACTGTAGTCTGAAAACATATTTCTTCCAAGACAATCTGTCAGTGGTACAGGGGCACCATCTCCTTGGGGTTGAGCCCTTTTGGGGCCCCCAATATATTTTTGGGAGTCCAAAGAGCTCCCAAGGAGGCCAAGCCCAGAGCCGAGCGTGACGCAGTGGAGGTGGCAGGAGCAGAAGTCAAGGCCATTGAAGCTGTGCTGCTGCTGCGCCTAGAAGCAATTGCAACTCTTCTCGTGACAGCCAGAATTTACATTGCTCAATACGGAAAGACTGAGGCGATTCCCACCCCCCACCCCATTTGAAAGAGTGGCTAGATAAAATATGGCCCGTGCATTAAAACGACACAAAAGAAGTCAAACCAGCAAGAGAGCGTGTTCTCAGAATGAGTCCTTTTCATTTGTTGTTGGAATGAAAAGGTTGGAGATAACACCCACCCTTACAACTAATGTTCAACTCTTTGGGTTATCACTGTTACTTCTTTTGGTTTGGTTCCAAGGCACCTCTCTTTACTGGTTTCCCAGCCCTCCCCCGTGAGTGTGTTGTATCTAATTATCCTAGTGTAGTTTCTAATGGATGGCATCAGGTGGTTGAGTGTGTGGTCACATCTGATGAAATTTGTTGGTTTTCTTCTCATTTGCTTTCAACCTTTTATTGTTTAGATAACCCCTCCCCACCTAAAAAGAAATGCAATGATAAGAGAGCGCTGAAATGTCTGAACTATATGACAACACAAGCTTTAATCTGAGCTTTTTTATTTTTTAAAAATGGTTTTCCAGCTCTATTTCCTCCTATACCTTCTAGATTAATCCTGGGATGTATTTTTCCTAGTTCTGTTCGGATATGAATGGTATCGATAACATGGGCTCTGTAATGGAAGACATCTAAGCACCCTATTGCCACTTCAGGGGTATCACTGTGAAATGCTTTTCTCCCTTCTGGCAAGAAATGTCTCTCACTGACAGCTGCCTAGTAGTGGGTCTGTGCCCAAAGGTGGCTGTTGAAGGGTTTGGAGGCTGCTGGATTTGGATGCTCTGCTCTCCAACAGCTTATCCAGGAGCAGAGAACTTAAGAGCTGGGGAGCAATGCTTGAAGAGATGTTAGGGTTGGTTGGGATGTGAGGGTTAGGTCTCTGGACAGCATGGAGAGGGCGCTTTCTTGCGGAGGAGGCAAGGCTTCTGGAATGGATGAGAACAGTTGCATGGGTTACTATAATGGCTCATACTTTCCTACTTTTAAAACCTACCCCTCCCTTCTCTCTTGGTCTAAATCTTCCAACTGTGAGAGCTTTATCTGGAAATTCTTTTAAAATTAAATATTGAAATACCGGTATTTGGGGACAGAATTGGTCACGAAGCGCTGTAAAACGTTATTTTCTCCAGGGTGAAAAGTACACATGGCTGTGCTGGAACTTGACTTCAACTTTTCTATCCAGGTTTTAGGGAGACTAAATAAGACTGAAATACTTGCTGTACTCCCCTAACTTGCAGGGGCACTTTTCATTGAAAAGATGCACAATGTCTGCTTTCCTAATGACATTTTCTGCTGTGCTTCCAGATGTGAATGGAGCTTTGTTTATCTCTGGAAATCTACTCATCTCTTAAATGAAAAGGGCAGCACAACTTCGCAGCGGCACAATGGGCTTCAAAAGTGTTCCACTTTAGTTCAATAGATGGTGGATGTATCCTATGACTAATGGAATCTTTCTGCAGCATTAGGTGAGATGCCTGAAGCCAAGGTCACCACTATGGTGCAAAGGTATGGTAATCTATGCGTCTTAATGGAGTTGGGTCTACTGGGGCCAGTAATAGTGGGCTTCATTTAAAATAATAATAATCTTGGGTCATTTTCTGGAATTCTGGTTCACTCTTCTGGTATCTGAAGCACCCTTTGGACTGTGCTAGCCAAGTTTGCAAATCACACTAAATCATTGTTAATTGCTTAAAGCAGGGATGTCCAACTTCCCAGAGACTGTGATCTGCTCCCACTACAAAAACCCTGGCAGTGATCTACCCATTGGATTGACCAAAGTCGTTGAGCTTTTCTGGGGGAGGAAGATCAAAAGTTGTTGATCTAATTTGGGGGAGGCTTCAGCAAAGCTGTTGAGGCCCCCCCGCTAGTATGCAGGGGAAGCAAACTACAGTCTATGGCATTGTGTTGTATCTGAACCCAGGGACGTGGTTTGTTTGTTTCTTCTTGGGTTACAGACTGCAGCTTCTGGGGGGGGGGGGACCTTTGGCTACCAATCTTGGTTTGCTGGGAGTGAAACCCCCGGTTTGGATGTACTGTAATGCTAAGCCTAGGAATCATTGTTTCCTCCCAGTGTGAGCCAGCAGGAGCAAAGCAGTGTTCTGCCATGTGTGGTAAGCCATGTGACCTCCAGATGCATGCCTTGTGACTTTTGTGGCAGAGTCATGGAAAAGAGATAAAAGGAATCGAGTTTCCACTTCTTTGGCACTCTCAGAATGGTGTGAATTTGCTATCCTAACTGCAAATTTCAGATCTGAATTTGAACGGGTCTTGATGCGTCATGCTTGGCAAAGTCATCCTCTTAAGGATCAATCTTGGATGCCTTGAAAGGTCTTAAGACTGTCATTGTCTCCAAGTGGGGGGGGGTGTTTATATTTAAATTTCTGGAATTTACACACATTCCCTCCCAATATTTATCCCAGGATGGTTTGTCAAGCAGGGATTGTAGCTCAGTGGTGCATCATGTGCTTGGCACACAATTCTAGGTTTGATCCCTGTATCTCCCAGTTTCAAAAGGACCAGGTAGTTGATGATGGGGCAGATTTTTGTCCAGCTCTGCAAAGAGCTACTGCTAGTCATAGAAGACAATAATAGTGTAGTCTGACCTGATGGAAGAGAGCTTTCAGGGTCCCTAGGGATTTCATTTTGTATCTTCCTTGACAAGTGTGAGCTGGAAATCTCAAGGCAGTGACTGTGACTGTGACTGCGGTTGTTCTTCCTGCCCAATATGACCAAGCACTGCAGGACTGGGAGGGAACGACTCTATGGAGCCGGAGCGCCATGGAAAGTGGTCTTATCTAAAGCCACTTCATATGCTGCAACACACCAAGTCCTTCTGTCTTCACTGCATATCAACTGCATCTCTTGTGTGACGATAGAAGGAATTTGGGGTGGCTGAAAATGCAGTTAAAATTTTCTCCCCGAAGCGAGTTGCAGGCCCAGATGTCATGTTTGCCAGATTGTCACCTCCCCGCTTCTCCAAACACAGATGCCTTTCCACCAACACATGGTGGAAACACAAGGATCTATCCTTGCTTTAATGTTTACTTAGCCCCTAGTCATAGAATCATGGAATCGTAGAGTTGGAAGGGACCCCCAAGGCTCATCTAGTCCAACCCCCTGCAATGCAGGAATCTCAGCTAAAGCATCCAGGACAGGTGGCCACCCAACCTCTGCTTAAAAACCTCCAAGGAAGGAAAGTCCACCACCTCCTGAGGTCTGTATACTGCATTTCCAGAAGGAAGCTAAGTCTGTAAAATAATTAATCAGGAGCTACAATTTGACATTTCATCAATTTTGTGAGTGGAAAGGTAGAGACCACATTTGAGAGGGTATTTCTTTCTCTTGAAATGGCTCGCATTTCGAAATGATTTTCCTTTGTCTTGTCACATGAAATTTTATACACACTTTCCAGGAGTATAAATAAAGGAGTAGTAATAAATATCTGCTGGATCTCCAACTTGATGTCTTTATTCTCCCATTTAGATTAATTTTTCTGTACCTCCTGAGAAATTATTTCTTTCTATTTGACTTAGGATTGGGCTATGTTGGGTTTTCAACATTGCAATGTATCACCAACCAAACATCAGTCGGTGAGCATGGGGTGAAACTGACTCAGCTCTCTCCACGGCAGCTGAGGCGCTTTCACCCCAGTGCCTTGCGGGTCTCCTGCCCCCAGCTGAGCGAGCCCCACATGTTCAGCAGGGACCTGGGGCTCTTTTGCAAGACTCAGCCGGGCAGTGGGAGGGCTCCCCTCCCCCAGCTGAGCGAGCCCCGACGTCCCTGCCAGTCACACGCAAGCAGCAGGGACCTGCTGAGGAGCCCTGGGCCCGGCGGCAGCAGCAGAGAGACCAGTGATCTAAATAGGGTGGCTTGGGGAAACTGGCCTGTGGGCTCAGAGGTGTCCTACCCTGATTATAAGGAAACAACTCTCTTCTTCCTGACCCTTGGTAAAGCAGCAAAACTGTTTTTTTAGCTGAACCATCTTGTTGCTATGTTGCGGAAAGTAAAAAAGCAAGCTTCTAAGTTCTAGAAAACTAAAATCACAGAAATACGATTGTTTCAGGGAACCTGAATAAGTCCATGCATACAACTGGCCATCTGCAACCTGCTCTTTTCATAAATAGAACTATGTTCAGTGTTAGAAAAACTATCGGTAGTTAAAAGACCTCGGCCCAGAAGGTATAAAAAGTACATCTCCCACTCTTCCCCCAGTTTTCACTGAATGCATTTCTACTGATGAGCACACAAGGGAGTGAGATGGTGTCGTCAAAATTCTTCTTGCACTCTGTAAGCAGCCAGATACAGATGAGCATTCCAGAACTTTTGTTACCCAAATGGTTCTGGCATTCCAAAGTTCTTTCCAAATAAAGACTATGGTGTTTGCATTTCGGCTGGACTGTGTGCAGTTACCTCTGCAGTTGCATCACAGAAAGGGCTACACTTTGCTGAATCATAATAACTGCCAGCCCAACTTCACAAGCTTGAGCTTGAGCCACACGCTTGACTTAAAGCAAAGCATGCTTTATATATTAAAGAGGGGAACCACAAGACTCCTGAGGACATCAGCTCCGATCAGTTTGGCCACAAAGCTTAGAAGATGTGCAGACAAGAAGCCTGTATGTAAAAATGTCTGGGCTGTATCCCATCTTGGCTCTCCCCACCCTCCTCCCTTTAAAAAACAAATGAAAACCCCACTTCACTGAGAAATGAAAGGATCCACGAAGCTCACATTTTACATGCTGCTGAAACATGCAGACCTTTCAGTGTCCCTAGAAGTAAAATATGTATATAGTAATGTCAGTATATTTTTGTACTCACACAGAAGTGTTGATTCTGCTCCTGTGTCCCTCCTAGGCGGATATGGAGAATGCCAATCACGTGTTCAGGAGGTCAATGAAACATTCTCATCTGTATAAAGTGCTGACCAGGGCATGTGGTGAAGAGACCGTGCAGAAGAGAATATTAGCTGCTTTGGTTCCTTTTCAGGCACATCCTCATGGCAGCTTTTGTACCAGGGCCCTCCCCCTTCCATTGACAGGGAGGGATCTGTGTTTCCCAGCATTGCCTGTGCAACACCCCTCTGGAGTGCAAACAAAAGATAAGGGCAGAAAACCCACTTGCTCCTGATAGTTGAACCTCCGTTGACTTTCATTGTAGGTGCTGTATATCAAAAACATATGAATGGATCATCTCTCAACTCAGCAAGCAATTTGTAAATTACTTACTACTCTTACCATGTTTTTGGCCCTGCAAGGGCTTTCTTTTCCTTCTTCTCTTTCTCCCTCTTTGCCTCTTCCTTCTTAGTTTTCCTTCTTTTCACAGTTCTCCCCTTTCTGTGTTGTCACTGTCTGTGCCCTTTCACCTAAGGGCACATGGACTCTGCGCCTTCCCAGCCATCACTGAGTTTTATATAGTTTGTCAAAGAACCTTTTAGAGTTGTTGTTCCTCCCTCTCTGTGCGGGTGGTATGTTTGGGTGTGCATGTGCCGAATGACAATGCTCGTCCTTTACATCTATGAGCAGCTGCAGAGCATGGGAATAAATCTGGCATCATTTCTTTGTACTGCTCTGGTTTGAAGCACCTGTTGTCTCAGTCTAAACACTTTTATTTGGATAAGCATATTTCTCCTGTGTGTCTCTGTTTCTCTTAGGTGGCCAGTGTCACCCAGACTTTGACATCACTGCTGCCAGGAGTCTCCACACAGTTGCTTCACTTACCTAGTTTCTCTCTTTGGCGGATGGACTGTAGCTGAGTAGTGGAATGTGAGGTCCCAGAGGCTCAAAGCAGAGCAAACTGGGCACCAGCATTCAGGGGTTTTTTTTCCCTCCTTTTAAAAGTGTTACTTTAGCAGGCACACACTAGATTACACAAAGTGAACCCTGTACCTCATGAAGCAGAGGCATGGCTTTATCTGGGGGACACTTGCGCTGAAAAACCACACACCACCAGTTCTTGGGGTTAACTGTAGTTCTCAGACTGAATGTTTGAGAACCCACTAAAACTGTAAGGTGGGAAGTAATCTGGAGAACCTGAAGTTTGAGCCTTATTGCCTTGGTTTCCAAATAGGTGGTTGATACTCTCAAATGATGAAAACAGTGACTTGGGCAATGGGAGGTGCAAGTAACAGGTATTTGAGATGTGATTTAATTAATTAAAAATGAGTAGTCTCATCAGAGAGTTCTTGTTTATCCCTACTGACCACTAAAATCTGTGGCTCTAATCACATTCCCACTGTCCTTTGGTCAACCTAGGCTTAATTCACCACACATTAATTCAACACACATCCAGTTCACAGGCCTGAAGTTTTGTGCACCTGTGGTCAAGTTATAAATTGCAGGTGCCAGGGTGTTCTGGTTAGATGTCATTGTTTACTCTCCTTCCCTTGCAAAAAGTAAGGGACCTATATGGCAGTGGCTGCTGAATTTTGAAGTCTTCTTTCTGCCTGTTAAAATGAAGGGGGGGGAAATCTTGCTTGGGTTTAGAAGGGGCTGCATCCATCATCATCATCATCATTCTGCCCACCTTACTGGGTTGCCCCAGCCACTCTGGGCGGCTTCCAGCAAATTAAAACACAGTAAGACAGCAAACAGGGATGCGGGTGGCGCTGTGGTCTAAACCACTGAGCCTAGGGCTTGCCGATCGGAAGGTCAGCGGTTCGAATCCCCGCGACGGGGTGAGCTCCGGTTGCTCGGTCTCAGCTCCTGCCAACCTAGCAGTTCAAAAACACGTCAAAGTGCAAGTAGATAAATAGGTACCACTGCAGCAGGAAGGAAAATGGCATTCTGGTTTCTGTCACGGTGTTCTGTTGCGCCAGAAGCGTTTTCTGTGCGCTGCTCTGGTTTCACCAGAAGTGGCTTAGTCATGCTGGCCACATGACCTGGAAAAACTGTCTACGGAAGTGGATAAACGCCAGCTCCCTCAACCTTTTAAGCAAGATAAGCACTGCAACCCCAGAGCCGTTCGCGACTGGACTTAACTGTCAGGGTTCCTTTACCTTTACCTTTTTAAGACAGCAAACACTTAACAACTCAATACAGGGCTGCCTTCTAAAAGTCTAAAACTCAGATAGCTGTTTATTTCCTTGATGGGAGGGTGTTCCACAGGGCAGATGCGACTACTGAGAAGACTACCCTTTGCCTGTAGTTTCACTTCTTGCATTGAGGGAACAGCCAGAAGGCCCTCAGAGCTGGATCTCAGTGTCCGGGCTGAACAATAGCCTTTGGTTGGTTTTCTGTTGCTCGTGTAGTTCTATAATTTTACAGTTCTGTATTGATAGCTTTCTTTTATATCTTCTTCACTGCTTTGAGCACTTGAAAGGCAGTTGCTAAATATCTAAACAAGTTCAATCCAAGAGGCCAAGGAGGAGAGGAATTAATTTTAGATTTAAAAAAGGCTTCAGGGGAGTCATGCCTTTCTTCAACATTTTTTCTTAAAGGAGCACAAGCGCACACTGGATTTATTATTTTACTGCCAAATGTAAGGGAAAGATAACTATACATGCTGTAAATCAGACACATGGCGGACTCTATTTTCTTTAGTTCCTTCTTCCCCAGATTAATATAGTTTATTGGTCTGCCTCAATTCAGCCTAGTTTGATCATGTTATTGTAGCTAGTTAGGTCCACCCAACTGAAAGGGTGTACTACTTCTTAATATTTTGCAGTTCCCTCCAGGCCTGTTAAGATTGATGGGGGGTAAAAATGGATTGGTTGAGAGCCAATACTGAAGCTCAGTCCAGACAATACGGCAGTCCTCTTGGATGGGTGGTTCATCTACCAGGTTAGTGGTGGTGACTGTGTTGAATGAGGTTGCACTCTCTGCAAAGGAGCAAGTTTGCATTCAGTGGAGGCACAGGCTGCCTGCGTGGCATGGAGGGCCTTCTTCCACCTTAGCCTTCTGTGCCAGTTGCAGCCCTGCCTCCCATTAGACTACTATAATGCATTCTATGTATGTCTAAATGGAGACCTTCTAATTTCCCCAGCCTTTGGAATCCTCTGCAAATTGTTTGATGTTGCTTTATAGGTTGGTTGGTTGGCTGGTTGGTTTTAAATTCTGCTGGTTGTTTTTCTTATTGCTCTTTTTCTGTTGTGGTGGCTTATACTGTGATAGTTTAATGTTTTTTTACAAATCCAACTTGGCCATTTTTAACCTTCATTTCTGCTTCATGTCCATTTCCTTCCAACACCAATGCAGCTCCCGCCCACATGCCAAATTCCTTAGCCTACCACACTTGACCCCATTCCTGTGCCACCAAGGTAGCCCATGTGCCCTGAAGGTGTTGCTGGAGTCCAGTTTCCATCCGCCTCAGTCAGCATGGCCAGTAGTTAGGGACCTGGGGAATTGTAGTCCAGAAGCCTTCCCTGAATCTTCCCTGAATCTGCATTTCCCTCTAAGCCGGTGGTGCTCCTCCCTTTCAGAGCAAACCTTTTTCTCCTACTGTCGCTAAGAAGCACACCTCTAACGCTTACCACCCTTCCATCACCCTCTTGAATGAAGGAATGAATTTACTTTATTACGGTCACAGACCAGCATAAGCAAAGCATCTAAATAAATAGCATAACAATATGACTCTAAGCGAATAATTATTAAATAAATGGGAGCAAGAACCAAACATAGCTTAAAGCATATACATAGAATACTTAATTAAGCGTAAATAAAGGATGGATCAAAACTGATAAGAAAATTTTAAAAGACCAGTTAAAACAGCTCTATGGGGTGGGGCTTCAGAATTGCAGATCTAACAATATGAGCCATATTGTAGCATAGACCATCCTTCGACGAATATCTATCATGGCAACGCAAAATCTGATGACCGAATATGTGACTTCTGGGCTTTTGTCCTGTAGTAACAGGGAGATGTTGTGTTGTTCTGAACGCCCAGGGAACTTATATAAGATGCATTGGATAAACCTGGTTTGAATGTCTATGTAATACTGGCAGTGAAGAGGGGCACGCTCCGTTGTCACCCTCTTGTCATCTGGGGACTCTTGTTTTGCTCAGCAGGGTTGGAGGGCAGACAAAGACAGCAGACAGCTGTGCAATTAAGTAAGTGGCCCCTCCTGGGCCTTCGTTACTTCCTTTAGGTGTGAGAATCATTAAAATGGGAGGTTAAGGAGAGACTCATGCTTAGGGATGTTTAGTGGTAGTAACCCAGAACTATTTTTTTCTGGATCAGAGATTGATATCTTTCCACTTTACCTATAAAACAAGCCTGTCTGTCTCTCTGTCTCTCGCCTCCCCCTGCCCATAAGAGAAAGATTGCTTGTAGCAGAGTGAGAAGTCCTGACTGCAGAAAGTTTTCCAATGTCACTGCAGATTTTGGCTAAGGCTCCTGGATGCTCTTTGTCCTGAAGTGGGACAGGCGCTTCCCACTTCTCACAGTTTTGCTGGAAGCAATCCTTTGAGAGAAAGATGATTAATGGCAAGCTCAGAGGAATCAGTCTGTGTCCTACATCATTCTGAGCAGGAGGAAGGAGTAAACTAGCCTTTGCTGAAGTAGGCAGAATCAAAGAATACCTGTAATCATTCCTCTCTGTGCCCCCTAGCAGCGGGCGAGCCTCATCGCCCTGAAATGTGAACTCTCACAACACACAAGGGTGAGTAAAAGAAGAAACAAAAATTATCCCATAATCCCTGGCCATTGACCATCCTGACTGGGTCTGATGGGATTTCATAGAATCATAGAATCATAGAGTTGGAAGAGACCACAAGGGCCATCGAGTCCAACCCCCTGCCAAGCAGGAAACACCATCAGAGCACTCCTGACATATGGTTGTCAAGCCTCTGCTTAAAGACCTCCAAAGAAGGAGACTCCACCACACTCCTTGGCAGCAAATTCCACTGTCGAACAGCTCTTACTGTCAGGAAGTTCTTCCTAATGTTTAGGTGGAATCTTCTTTCTTGTAGTTTGGATCCATTGCTCCGTGTCCGCTTCTCTGGAGCAGCAGAAAACAACCTTTCTCCCTCCTCTATGTGACATCCTTTTATATATTTGAACATGGCTATCATATCACCCCTTAACCTCCTCTTCTCCAGGCTAAACATGCCCAGCTCTCTTAGCCGTTCCTCATAAGGCATCGTTTCCAGGCCTTTGACCATTTTGGTTGCCCTCCTCTGGACACGTTCCAGTTTGTCAGTGTCCTTCTTGAACTGTGGTGCCCAGAACTGGACACATTTGTAGTTCATAACATCTGGAGGACACCAGATTCTGTAAGGTTGGTCTTAACAAGAAGAGTCCAGTATTTACCATAGATTCCGGCGTATAAGGTGACTTTTTAACCCCGGAAAAGAGGTTAAAAAGTCGGGGGTTGCCTTATACGCCCGGTATGGGTGGCGCGGCGAGCGGCAGGCTCAGCTGCGCGCAGGGCTGCTTTCTCCTGCCGCGGAGCTGCCCAGCGGATTAGGCGACTGGGCTTATAAAACAAACCCCCAAATTGCAGCTGCTAATTTGGGGGGTCGCCTAATACGCCGGAATCTATGGTACTTAGCTAGAGTACAGGTGACTTTTTGTTTTTGTTTTTAAAAAAACATGCTTTTAAAAAATGCCCCTGTTGAATTTCTAGTTTTCTAATCTGCTCTTCCTATGTAATCCAGGCGCTGTTCTCTTCTCCACTGTAATCTAGGAACACAGATGGTTAAAAAAACAAAACACCTTGTGCTCTGATTGGCTCCTCCTTTTTCTAGTTTTCCAGTTTCTCCAAACGAAGTACTGTATCTGGTTAAGGTTCTTGCATAATTTCTGCCCCTTGTGTGGAACATGAGAGCTATTAATATTATACAGATGATTGTCCATGTTACTTAAATCAATAGATTGTCCATGTTACTTAAATCAATAGAGGATTTTGATCACCTGCTTCAGAGAGGAATGTCTGCAGCCAAATTATAAAGGAAAAGTTGGGACGTTGGGGTACAAAACATTCTTGTGGCTGCTTCCCTAAGGAAATAATCATGCCTTTTTATAGTCACTGTTTCCTTTTCCCTCCTCTCCCCTTCCCTTGAGAAAATCTGCACAAAACACCCAGCAGTTGCTAAAAGAAACCTAAAAAGCTGCCCTGTCTTATTGGAGCCCAAACTGGAGTTGATGCTGAAGATTTATGATTGAGTCTTCTGGTATCGGTCTTTAAAGCATCTGATGGGGTGGGGTGCTGTTCCCTGTAGCGGAACCCCAATTTTAAATTTCAACTGCTTGATCTGCTATCAAGTGTGTGGCGGGGGGGAGAGAATTTGGGGTACCTCTCTGTCCCTGCTCCAGCAGGGGGTGTGTGTGTGTGATGTAAATCAGGTGTTAAAGAATCGCCCTCCTCCCGCAGCATCCCAGCCCCAGTCTATATTTTTCCCTCCATGGCTGCTTTTAGGACACTGGAAGATGCTTTCATGCATTTTCTCATATAATATATAATTTCTCATATAATATCGAATTATAAATCTGTAACTACATCCCAGTGTGGGTCAAACTGGAAGAGAGGCTTTTGCCTGGATTTATGGGGAATCGAAGCCCTCCCTCCTAGGGTCCCGTGTGCATCTCTCCTCAGCTTTCTCATCGGTTCTGTTGCATGTAAAATAAGATATATAAGATATTTATTTGTATATGTAGATCACTGAACTGTTTTTGAGGACACGTAATGAATGTCCCCATGGGTGGTGTTGGTGGGGCTGAAGCCCTGGGTCTGCTGAGGCCAGGCCCCTTCCCCCGCCCTTTTGTAAGCTTTACATTTTTCTTTTTAGTTTTTTTTCCCAGGGCAGGTGGGTGCCCTCAAAAGGGCAAACCCCAGCTGCCCACCATCTTAATTTTCAAGCAGAGGCTTCAGTCTCATATCTTGGATAATATTTTGCCCTCCCCCACGAGTGCTGCTTTCTCTTTTGATGGCTGTGCAGAAAGAATTACTGTATATGTAGATAACCCTGTTTATATTCTCTGTGCTGCTTTACAAAGGATGATTGCACAGCTTATTGTTATATAAAATAAAATTTGAGTGGTGCCAGTTGTGGTATATAGCTTTCCATTTTTGGTGATCATGTGTGTTCTGTTTTTTGTTTCTCATTTCTGTTGACTTTATTTGTTTAGGCCTCCTATAGAAGGCGGAATTTCAGAAGTTGAAATAATATCTCAGCAAATAGAAGAAGAGACCAAAAGCATAGCGCCTGTACAGCTTGTTAATTTTGCTTATCGGGATTTACCACTAGCTGCACTAGATCTGTCTGTAGCAGGTTCCCAACTCTTGTCAAATTTGGACGAGGAGTACCAAAGAGAAGGGTAAGTGAAAAATGACATATTTATTTGAAACCTTTCTTTAAAAAAATATATATATTTTTTAAAAAATTCATTTTCACTTTTAACATTTGTCATCATACACAAATCATAATCATTTTACAAATAGGATTCTCAGAATCCCCAAACTTCCCTCCACACCTCCATGGTTTCTCCAGATATTCTTTTCAAACTGCATCGTATCATATTCTCCATATTTTCTTAAATCTCAATTTTATCATCAATCTTGCTTCATTGCAAGTGTTTTTAAAATCCTGCCAATGTTTTCTTTTCTTTTTTAATTTCTTTTTATTGAATTCTTTTTAAAACAGAACATAAAAAGTAAAAAAAACAAAAACATACAAACATGAAAAAACAAAAACAAAATAACACTTACAAAAGGAAAATAGACACAAAACAAATCAACATTGATTATAACATTGATTAACTTCCCTCCATCTCGGTTTTGGACTATATTTCCACCATACCTTCCTGCAGTATCGTTTTACAATATCTATACATCGCAGGTTTTATATTACACCTACTGTGATTTTGATATTTCCTAAATTTGCTTCTATATATGTTATAAATTTATTCCAATCATTATTAAATTTTACACCTTTTTGCTGCCTGATTTTTTGTGTCATCTTTGCTAATTCTATATACTCAAATAATTTAGTTTGCCATTCTCTAACGGTTGGGATATTAGGCGTTTTCCAATTTTGCGCTAGCAGTATCCTGGCGGCTACCATTGCATATTGGAACATTGTTTGGTCTTCTTTCTTGATCTCCTCTCCAACCATTCCCAGAAGGAAAGCTTCGGGTTTTTTGGGGAAGGTATATTTCAAAAAAAAAATTAACTCATCATAAATAAGCCCCCAAAACCTTTTCACTTCCTCACAGGTCCACCACATGTGATGGAAATTACCTTCTTTGGTTTTGCATTTCCAGCATGTTTTGTCTCCGGTCTTATACATTTTTTCCAATTTTACAGGGGTGATGCACCATCTGTACATCATTTTTTCCATGTTTTCTCGGAGTCCAAAACATGCTGTGAATTTCATGTCCTTGTTCCAAAGTTTCACCCACCTGTCATATTCTAGATTATATCCCAGATCTATAGCCCATTTGACCATAACTTCCTTTATTTCTTCATCCTTAGTGTCCCAATCTAGTAGTTGGTTGTACATTTTGGATAGAAGTTTGGAGTTACCTTCTAGTATTTCCACCTGATATCTGGACTTTTTCTCATTCATTCCTATTTTTTTATGTTCATTCCATAGGGCATTAATTTGGTGGAATTGTAGCCATCCTGTTAATTTATCCTTTAACTCTTCATATGTTCTGATTTTCCAACCTTTTTCAGATCTTACCAGGAGGTCTTCATAGGTCCATCTTTCACTTTCCGTGTTTAGTTTTTTGATTGTTATGATGTCAATTGGTGATAACCACCAGGGGGTGTCTTTTTCAATAAGTCTTTTATTTCTATCCCATACCTCAAGCAGCGAACCTCTGATGATGTGGTTAGAGAAGCCTTTGTGTACCCTCTCTTTATTCTGCCACAGATATGCGTACCAGCCGAATCTGGTGTTAAATCCCTCTAAATCTTAAAAAATCTGTGTTTTTCAAAATAATCCATTCTTTGATCCAACAGAAGCACGAGGCTTCATAGTAAAGTTTCAAGTTCGGGACGGCAAACCCTCCTCTATCTCTTCGATCTGTAAGTAATTTAAATTTAATTCTTGCTCTTTTGCCTTGCCAAATAAATCTGGAAAGGGTTTTCTGCCAATCCTTAAACATTGCCGTGCCTCTGATCACCGGGATATTCTGAAATAGAAACAGCAGTCTTGGAAGAATACTCATCTTAATTGTGGCTATTCTTCCTGACCAGGAAAGCTTTATCCTACTCCAAGTATCTATATCTTTTTTAATCTCTCTCCAGGTCTTAGTGTAGTTATCTTCTACTAAGTTTATATTTTTCGTGGAGACCCATATTCCCAGGTATTTCACCTTTTTCACCACCTTGATTCCTGTATGCAACTCTAGCTGGTTTCTTAAGTCTTCAGCCAGATTCTTTGTCAACATCTTGGTTTTTACTTTATTTAACCTAAAGCCGGACAATTTTCCAAATTCTTCTCATAGCTCTAAAACTTTACCGACACTTTTTACTGGATCTTCTAACGATATTACTAAGTCATCGGCGTAGGCCTTTAGTTTATATTCTTTTACCCCAATTCTGATTCCTCTTATTTCTGATGTTTTCCTTATTTTATTTGTAATTACTTCAAGCACCATAATAAATAAGAGGAGGGACAAAGGGCACCCCTGTCTTGTACCCTTCGAAATCACAAACGAATTAGTTAAATTGTTGTTAATAATTAGTTTAGCCCTTTGACTTGAATAAATCGCTTTTATTCCTTCCATAAAGGGGCCCTCTATCCCTACTCACTCCATACATTTTAATAAGAACCGCCAAGATACATTATCAAAGGCCTTTTCGGCGTCGATGAAAATTAATGCTGCGGGGATATCATTCTTGAGTTCCAAATATTCAATAATATCTATTATGTGCCTTACGTTGTCTTTTAATTGTCTGTTGGGGAGGAATCCGGCATCTGCGCAGCTGTTGTAGCACACATAAATAGTCTCTTCTAATTCTTAGGTATTTCTGGAACTAAAATTCCTAGTAACAGAAGTTATTTTAAACATTTTTTTCAACTCATTATAAATCATTTCCCAATATGCTTTTGTTTTTTTGCACATCCACCACAAGTGGTAAAATGTGCCTTCCTTCTCTTTACACTTGCAACATGTATCTGTAGCAGTTCTATACATTTTTGCTAGTTTAGTAGGAAGTACCAGTGATACATCATTTTCATATAAATATCTTTCAACATACAACATGCTGTAAGTTTTAAATCTTCCCTCCATATTTTTCTCCATCATGCCAATTGTATATTAGGTCCAGTTACCCTTGCCCATTGTATCATTACTGATTTCACTTCTTCCTCTTTAGTATACCATTCTAACAGTAGTTTATACATTTTTGAAATCAGTTTAACATTATTCTCCAATAGTTCTTTTTCAGACCTTGACGTTTCTGTATTAAAACCATTCCTTTTATCCTTCATACACACATCATTTAATTGGTGGTATTGCAGCCAGTCTTGTCACCAAATGTATTACATGCTCAATTTTTTTTATTCTCAATTGATCTTCTGCTTCAAATAGCAACTCTTTATAAGTTGCCCACTCACTTTTTGCATTACGTTTTTTCACAGACGTTGCTTCCAGTGGGGAGATCCACCAAGGTGTTTTCTGTTCCAATAAGTTTTTATATTTCTCCCACACCAAGTAAATTGATTACGCCCCTTTACACACTTTTGTCTTTTCATACCATAGATATGCATGCCAACCACATCTATTATAGTGACTGTCTAAGTCCAGAATATCCAAATTCTTTAAATCAATCCACTCCCGCAGCCAGCAAAGACAGGACGCCTCATAATATAATCTCAGATCTGGCAGGGAGAAGCCACCTCTTTCTTTAGTGTCTGTTAACAATTTATACTTTATCCTCGGTTTCTTCCCCTGCCAGATAAATTTAGAAATATCTTTCTGTTTTAAGTGCCCTGTTCCACTGACTCCTGGGATCGACTGGAACAAAAATAACATTATTAGCAATACATTCATTTTTACTACTAATATCCTTCCCCACAGTGATAAATTCATCCTCCCCCATACCTCTTTATTTTTTTCGAAGTGTTAATATAGTTATCTTTAAAAAGTTTATATTTTTGCTGTCAGCCATACCCCCAAATATTTCACTTTTTTCTGTATTGACAATTCTGTTTTTTGTTGTAAATCCTTATTTTGTTGTTCTGCCATATTTTTTGGCATCATTTTTGTTTTATTTTTGTTTAACTTAAAGCCTGCTACTTGACCAAACTCCAAAATTTATGCAATTGGTATACTTACCAATGGGTCACCCATTTGAAACGTTTCTATCCCCCACCCTTTTCCCCATAAGATCAAGGCAACTTGCAGCCCACTCTTTAGTAAGAACATAAGAAGAGTCTGCTGGGTTAGGCCAGCATCCTGTTCTCTCAGTGGCCCAGCAGATGCCCCAATGGGAAACCAGCAAGCAGGATTCAAGCACAAGACCCCTCTCCCCTCCTTCAGTTTCCAGAAACTGGTGTTCAGAACCATCCAGCCTCCGACTGGAAGCCGTGACAAAATACTGGTGTGATAAGTTTATATCTGCCAGCTCTCATTAATCTCCTCATTACAATTTGTATTGTAAACCGCCCTGTGATCTTTGGATGAAGGGCGGTACAGAAATTTAATAATTTTTTTAAAAAGAAAAGGAATAATAGTCCATCTATACCTCGAGTGACAGTGCTGGATCTAAGGGTACTGCCAAACTCTGAATCTGTTCCTTTTACAGGGAGTGCAATCTGATCCAAAACAGTCTAAAACCACCTAACTGGGTAGACGAACAAACCAGAAACTGTACCTCCATCTTGTCTGATTGAACTTCTGTATATTGGCCCTCATGTAGTCCATTATTTTTATTTATTTATTTCATAAGATTTGTACACTGTTTGATTTTTACAAAAGGAAAAAAAAACCTCAAAGCTGTTTACAAAGAAATAAAACAATAAAGTGGAGAAAAATTCACAACCATACTTTAAAACACAAAAGTTAAAATACTAAACCAGATTAAAACCCCATCATTATGAGCTTTAAGCACTGGTTTAGAATGCTTACTGGCTCCACCTGGGATGCATGAAAAGGAAATGTAGAGCTGGGTGTCATTGCATATTGACAGCGCCTGGATAGTGTCCCCCAGTGGCTTCGTATGGACCTTAAGAAGCATAACGGATAAAACAACCCTGTTGGACAACGTATCCTCGATGCCATGAGGCAGAGCAATAGTCACCACTTTCTGGAACGGCTTTCCAAGTAGGAGTAGACTCACAATTCAGACCCTCAACTCAAGAGAGCCTGTCCAGAAGGATGCCACAGTCAGTAAATTGGGGCCTGTTTTTCCACTTGGAAAATTATCCTGTGAAAAGTTCCCACTCATATTGGGCTCTTCGCCACCACCTTCCTTGAAAGGCTCCTTAACTGGTGTGGTGACTTGACATCCCAATACACGCAGCGCTGCTGTCCAAGTGGAATTGTGGTATGAGAGTTTCCAACTGCTTTGAGGTTGCCAACATAATGTCAGGAATGAAGATGCTCAGGAATAAAACTGACATATCTAGACACTTTTTCTGTATTTAACTGAGGCGACTTTCCTGCATACTGTGTTAACATTGTGTTTACAGTACATGCTTCAAACAGTTATGTTTCTGAACAAGAAATGTTTTGAATTATCAGGGGCAAATAATCCCCCCCCCCAAAAGCAATGTTTATTCAGAAGAATGCTGAAGCATAAGTTCAAGAATTCAAAAAAACTGAATAGTGTAATACAGAGCATTTTTATTGTTCAAAGTGCTTTGCATATGTTATCTGATGTAATTCTCCTACGTGAATCCTGCAAAATAGGTTAATTTTATTCCCTACTGCAGTTGGGGTGGAGGAAAGAGGCCAAGAGGGTGGCTTGCCTCTTGACCGACATGAGGGAGTCACTACTAGTAGCTTCCTAATTCAGAGCTATGCTAAGCAGCTTCTAGCTCTTACATCGATAGGCACTTGGAGGTTAAATCCAATGCTGGTCAGTGGCGTCCGGTATGGCATGGAAGGGGCACCCTCCCAACCACAGTGTGACTGGGGTGGGAAGACCAGGGCTGCACGGTCACACTGGCGAACCAGCCTGGTGCCTGGCTTATCTGCAGCCTTCTGCCTTGCAGCATGGAGGGCTTCTGTTCAGGGTTCCAGCCATTCCATTCTTGTGTACCACCACCCCTCTCTTCTGGTGCCCCCACTGCTCCCCCAGTCAGCATTTCTTGTGGGATGGGCGCTGCAGGGCCCAGTCACAGCTGCATTAAAGGCTTGGATTTCTTGAGCAGCTCTCACATCGATGATGTGAATGGAGTCAGCAAACTGTCAGTTGGCCAGTTTTCACTCAGGCTGTTCCATACTTTGGTTTTCTTTTAAAATGGAAGTCTCTCACTCTTGTAGAGCTAGACAAAAGCAAGCCAATGTTCAGCCAGTGAGTGATGGGAGCACTGGCAGCCATAGTGCTTGGTTTGTTCATTGTAGTTTCAAGTGAAGAGTGTCTCACCCACTATCTGGAGAAGGGACTTCCAGGTTCATTTTGAATCCGTGTTTTGAAAGAGAAGTGATTGCTACTGCTCGTGAGAAATCTAGAGTTTTAATGTAGCTGTGCTTGGACAGTAACCTATCTACCCTGAAACAAAATGTTCCAGCAAAAACAGGAGTTCATACTTATTATAAGCTTGGGCCTTATTTCATTGGGGGAGAGGAGGCAATTTCATTCCCCCAGCCTTGAGTTAGAAATGTTTTTATTCTTTTGCTTTTAACCTGAATTCTTATGTTCTCATTTTGTATTTTTGTGTTGTGAACTGTGATATTCGGACGAATGGCTGTATACACATTAAATAATAACAAGGAGGCTAAATTTTGGACAACTGCATATAGTCTGTAAGCCTATATTTGACCTTTGTTTTAACCTATCTTCCTGGTGGCAAGTGCCTAATGTTTGTTAATTGTCAATCTTCATTCTTGTCCTGTAACCTAAAGCAGATCACGCAGTTGGGTCAGTTTTGCAAGAAAGGTCCTATAAATATGCCAACTAGTATTTTGATAAGGGTTTTCAGCTGGAGGGAAATGCTGATAGGATTTCTGGATCCATGCTGCATCATTTGCAGGGAAGACAGTGAGAAAACCCCTCTTGTGACTTTCCAAATTTGGTTGCCCAGATTTGGGAGAACATGGAATATGGCAACTAAAGTGGAAAATGCTTGAAATGACCTATCCAGACAATGACTTGACTTGTTTTTCTAGATACCCTATTGCGCTCCCCCTCTCACTTCAGCAGCCAGCATTCTGTAGCCATTGATCGCCCTCTGTTCTCGCTGGGCTGCTTTTAGGAGTGTTTCTCCCTAACGGCCAGGTTGGCTTATACCGTCATGCGTGGTTTGTTGATAGTTTGGCTGCATAAGCCTGTGAACTGAAAAATGGGATCACTATGAGTATACAGATGACATGAATTAGTAAATGTGAAACGATAATCCTCTTAAAATACTCAAATTCATCCATGTGCTCCTGTGGCAAACAACTCCTAGGTCTCCTTAGACATCCTTAGGCATCCTCATCTCCTTAAAATCATTTTTTACACTGAAGGGTTGGCTTCCATCTGTCCATCCTTAAGTGACCTATTTCTTTTCTATTTTGTGATCTTCAAATCATACTGAGCAAAACTGTGTACCTGTTAATATGCCACAATGCGGCACGTTGGAGTAGAGGACCCCCCCCCCAAAGGCAAGGAAGCGGAAACAGGGGCAGCTGTTAGCAGCTTGAGTTGAAGTGTTTGTCGTGGCTCATTACCAAAGAAATATGGTAATCTTTTCCCACTCTTGTTCCATGTTGAACATTCATTTAAATACTAGTGTATTACAAAAAATCTGAGCTGGTAACAGATTGGCTTTACACAGAGACAAATGTTGAAAGATGTGCTTTTCTTCCTTCTCTTTTATAGTGGCATTCCTGACCCTTCCCACTCAGTATATTTTAAAGACTTTTTTTTTAGTGTCCTTGCTTCCTTGGAAGCTACTGACCATAGTTTCCCAGTTCAGATACAGTAGGAAGCTGGGGCTTCTGGGATTGTTTCTTTGCTTGTGCAAAGCGACTCATTTATATTTCTGCTTTTTAAGCTGTGATGGTCATCTGAATCCAGCCACTATCATAACTAAACATTCATAACAGGACTGTCAAACACCAGCCCTTTTTTATTATAACAGTTTCATGCAGAGCTGTAAGCTATAGGTCAGGGATCCTCAAACTACGGTCCGCGGGCCAGATGCGGTGCGCCAGGGTCCTGAACCCGGTCCGCTCGGCAGTTGCAGAACCCACCGCTGTCTAACGGGTCTTGGCCCAAAACTTTAGCTGCACAGGAACATGGTGGGTGGCGCCAGGGAACATGCGGATCCAGAGGGCCAGGGAAGGCGAAGCCTCGTCGGCCGGGAGAGAGGCTGCTCTAGCTTGACGAGGTACGGAGGAGCCCCAGGAGCGGCGAGGCTGTTGTGGACTGAACCCCAAGGTTTTCTCTCACTCCACGCTCCTTTCTTCCTGTCGCCTTGCTAAGCGACTTCTTTTCCCTGGTTCGCTTGGCTTTCCTGCCCTCCCTGCTTTGTTTCCTGGCAGTTTCAACCGAAAAGCCGCTCCTCTCGCTTCCCTTTCTTTCCCCATTTTCCTTTCCTTCGTCTTTCTTGTGCAGAGGCAGTTTCTTACTCAACTATTCCCTCAACAGTCATTTGGCTTCGAGCGCCACATTTTGCTTTTCATTCTCCCGTTCCCTGTCAAATCGCAGGAACAGGAGAGAAGGGGAGTCGTTATGCCGTCACACTCTCCTGTGCATTTACAGCCTGCCTTAAGAGAGAGACGATTACCTGGAGACCCGCTTCCTTTCCTGCAAATCCCCAAGCCAAAGTCGCCTGGACTCTGAGGGTGGTGGTGGCAGCTGAGGGAAATCAATACGCCGAGCCTTAACCTGGGAGTTGCCCCTGCTTGCGCTGAGGGGGAAGAGACCTGCGCTGGCCATCGCCCGCCTCCGGCAGAGCTGAGGCCTCCATGGCAAGAGCCAGCGCTGCCAGAGCCACCATGGTTTCTCTGCAGGATCCCAGCGAGGGCTGCTACTTCCATTGTAGCTTCCCCTTCTGGTCGGCAGCGCTTGCAGTCTTCACCTTTGCTCATGGCCAGAGGGCAGGGAGATCCCCTTAACCGGTCACTTCCCTCGCCTCCCAACAGTCGGGGTTTCAGAAATCTCCAAGAGCCTCTCCCTTTAAGTGGACCCCACCCCAATCGCCACATACTTCCAAGCCCATGGATAGAACACGCACACAGCACCAAGTTAACTGGAAGTTGCTGGATTGGACCAATTCATGGAGGAGAAAGCTCTCAACAGCTCTGCCTGTGCTGCCTCTTCCAATGTCTTCACTCTTAGAGCAACTGCACTGCATTTAATCCAAATATATCTTCTTGAAAATGTTCACATTCTGCAGAAGGAGATCCTTACATTTCTGGCAAAACAGAGCAAATTGGCTAGTGCCCATAATCTCACCATGTGCAATGCCCTTAAAGTATATTGTAAATATTGTATTGTTTTTCCTGTTTTTGTGCACCACAAATAAAATATGTGCAGTGTGCATAGGAATTCATATTTTCCCCCAAACTATAGTCTGGCCCCCAGCAGTGTCTGAGGGACAGTGGACTGGCCCCCTGTTTAAAAAGTTTGAGGACCCCTGCTATAGGTAGTGAGTGCCCTGGTGCAGGGTTACATTGTGTCAGAATCTGCCTCTCCAGGGCCACTGCCATCCATTTCCAGAATTGGAGAACCGCTAGCTCATTGGTACAGCAAATGCTTTGCATCCAGAAGGTCCTAAGTTCACCTCAAGTTTAAAAGTATTGGGAAGGACCATGAAACCCTGGAGAACTGCATCTAGTTAGAGGAGTCAGTGGGCAAAAAATGTGTTCTCTTGCTGTGTTGCTCATTTCAGGTTACATTGACAAAGTGTTTGTCTAGTGCTTAGGATTATAAGTGGAGGAGCTGCTGCCAGAGTGCTGTGATGGATCACATTTTGACTTGTACAAAGCTCAGTGGTTGCCTGAAGCTGGCTGCTGCCTCTCAGCCTAACCTACCTTACTGGATCATTGTTTGAGGATTCAAAGGTGTGTGGAGAGCTCCTGGGGGAAGAACGGAATAAAAATATTACTGCAGTTTAGCTCTCCCTTTTAATCTATGCTGTAAGATGGAACCGGGCTCGACCTCAGTGGCAGAGGGCTGGCTTTGCAAGCAGACTGTCCCCGGTTCAATCCCTGGCATCTACAGGTAGAAACTGGATGGTTTCCTGGTCTGAAGTCCTGGAGAGCCAGTCAGTGTAGACAGTACTGAGCTAGACGGACCCCAGAGTCTGACCATGTGTGAGGCATGTTTGTATGTTCTTGTGCCATCCATAAATACAGCTGTTGCCAAGGGGTGAGCTATTATACAGAGCCTTGCCAAGGGGTCCAGGCAGCTTTCCCTCTACACACCACAGACTTGTGGTGCTGTGGAGAAAATCTCGCTTTAGTGTTTTCTGAGCCACTGCAGATAAACAACCTTTGTACTGTGACAGGATGCGGGTGGCGCTGTGGGTTAAACCACAGAGCCTAGGACTTGCTGATCAGAAGGTCGGTGGTTTGAATCCCCGCGATGGGGTGAGCTCCCGTTCCTCGGTCCCTGCTCTTGCCAACCTAGCAGTTCAAAAGCACGTTAAAGTGGAAGTAGATAAATAGGTACCGCTCCGGCAGGAAGGTAAACGGCATTTCCATTCGCTGCTTTGGTTTTGCCAGAAGCGGCTTAGTCATGCTGGCCACATGACTTGGAAGCTGTACATCAGCTCCCTTGGCCAATAAAGCAAGATGAGTGTGCAATCCCAGAGTCGGTCACGACTGGACCTAGTGGTCAGGGGTCCCTTTACCTTGACCTTACTGTGGCAGGATTGGCCGCCTTATGTGGCATGTGCTTTTTTAAAATGTTTCTTTGTGGCACCCATAGCATGCTGACCAGCCCTTTTGTGTGAATCATTGTTTTGCCTGTATCAGTATTCTCTCCTACATTTTAAACCAAGTAGCATGATTTATGTGTGGTTGAACACAGGCATGTCACTCAAGAACTGATTTAAGGGCGGTGGGAGGTAAATATAATACTTTCAGCTGCGGGCTGCATTTTTCACTTCAGGAACATGTCTGATATTTGGCGAGCTTAACCTCTTGACCATCTCTCTGTTGTTCATAGTTTCCCCCTCCCTTAGATTTACTGTCGCCACATGGACAACTTCAACCAGTTGTGATGTGTCTGTCATGTTTTAGCTTTTGGTCTTTGCAGCCAGGAGGATGCCCTCTTGACTGTTTTGTGGTGGCATGTTGTTGGTTTTTAACCTCAGACTCTATTCTAATTCATGGGCATTATTTAAAGTTTCATTTGAATGAATGCTCCTTTGCCCCAAAGTGGATTGATTCTGCAGAAGTGCAGCCCATCCTTGGGAAATCTCAGCTGGCCACCTCTTTCTTCAATGCCAACAGAATATTTTTCTTCTTGAAAATGTTTGCTGTAGTTTGATAGTGGCTGGTGACTCTTTTAAATTTGTACTTTTCTGCTGTTTTGCTGTTAAATGTGTTTAGATAATACAAGCTTTTTAAATATTTATATATAACTTCGCACACTTCTGATGAATGGCAAACATGACTCTATGTAAGGAAACAATAAATTAAGGTTTTTCCAGGCACTTCTGGCTCTAAAGCATCTTTTATCATTGGCAATACAAACCTGTGCCAGTTCCATTACTGCTGTCAATTTTTTTTTAAAAAACCTGTCCCAGTCAGATTGAAATTAAAATGTTATATTCTATAATCTCTGTAAAGACATGCATCTCTGCCCTCTGCTGTCCATTCTGGGAAATTTATAGGAAAAGTCAAGAGTTAAAAAGCAGAGTTGTACAGTGGTACCTCGGGTTACATACGCTTCAGGTTACATACGCTTCAGGTTACAGACTCCGCTAACCCAGAAATAGTACCTCAGGTTAAGAACTTTGCTTCAGGATGAGAAGAGAAATCGTGCTCTGTCAGCGTGGCGGCAGCAGGAGGCCCCATTAGCTAAAGTGGTGCTTCAGGTTAAGAACAGTTTCAGGTTAAGAACGGACCTCTGGAATGAATTAAGTTCTTAACCCGAGGTACCACTCATGAAAATGGTATGAAATGTAGAGAAAAGACAAAAGCAATAATGTAGTGCTAGTAAGATCATTTACAGAACCCAAGTAGTTGCTCAGTTTAAATGTAAAACGTCTTGTCAAGAAGCTGTGAATTTAGAAAATGGAAACAGCAGTGCTGCTAACCGTAGTGGGGCGGCTCAGTTGGTGGAACATGAGACTCTTAATCATGGGTCATGGGTTTGAGATCCAGGTTGGGCAAATAGATTCCTGCATTGCAGGGGGTTGGACTAGATGACCCCCAGGGTCCCTTCCAACTTCAGGTTAAGAACAGTTTCAGGTTAAGAACAAACCTCCGGAACGAATTAAGTTCTCCACCCGAGGTACCACTGTACAGTTCAAAAAGGATGCCATACAACTGGAAAAAGTTCTGAATGAGCAAAATTTGGGCCCCAGGAATAGAAGAGCAGTTTTCTTGGAAGGAACACTGAAGTGGGAAAAGTAGAAGGCTAAGAGGAAAATATATATTAATACCATGCATAAAGTGGAGAAAATGGATAAAGAAATGACTGTTCCTCCTTTTCCCATAACAATGATTTTGTTTTGGGGTTAGATTCATTATTTTTTATGGTAATTGGGAACTGGTGTTTGTGTTTTGTTGTCAGGACTTATTAATGTGAATTGTTTGAGGGTTGGTCAGTCTCGGTGCAATTTGATATTTGGTGTGTTTGGTCTGATGTGTTGACTATATAGACTTCCTTAAGGTTTTCCTTCATATCTTGTATAGTTTGGGCTGATACATTTTGCCGTTACTGTGGATTTTGACTCAGTATTGTTATTGCTAGGGTTTAATTCAAATTATTAAATGAAGTGTTCAGACTTCAGAGCAGTTCTCACCTTGTCCAGAGACTATTAGAGCAGGTGAGTCTCCTTCACACCTGAATCCCTGCTGGCTTCTGCCAGGGGTGGCTGGCATACCACTTTTTTTATGATGGCTCATACCACTTTTTTTGGGGTCCCTTCCAACCCTACAATTCTATGATTTTCATAACACAGCACATCTGTAGTGGCATTTAGAACCTTTTAAAAGAAGATTTTTCTGTATGGTGATGTTACTCCCTTTGTTTCAGTTTCCCTCTAATGGGGAAATCTGTGGCCCGTTAGATGTTACTGGACTCCATCCGCCTAAGCCAGCCTGGCTGATGGTCAGAGATGGTGGGTGTTGGAGTTTTAGCATCTCTACCCGTGGTGTGATGTAGAGATGGGCAACAGACTAGCACAGCTCTCCCTCTGAAAAGGAATAGTATTTTTATATGGAAGCTTTGATTTGCCAGGTGTCCAGTTCTGTTCTACTTGCGGAGCAAATACAAAGAAATAAAAGAAAACAGAGAGATACAGGTATTCATCATTCCAGTAAGAGTTGGTTTATTATTATTATTATTATTACTATTACTATTATTATTATTATTTCACAAAATTTATATACCGCTTGATTGTAAAATGGCTGACCAAAAGGTAAAACAACACAATTAATAAAAATTTGCAACCATACTTAAAAACATACGAAAATTAAAATACTAAAAGATTAAAATTACCTCAACCTTATAAGCATCTAGGTAGGCTTGTCTAAACAAGAATTTCACCTGTAATGTAAAATGTACCCAGAGATTCATACTTACTCTTTGTATTGTATAGGTTGACCAAACAGAAAATATGAATATTCAGAGGATACTTTTCAAATGAGATTCCTTCTGCTTATACAGACAGCTGTACAGTTTCTGTCCTGTTACTCTTTACCTATCTTCCTTTTTTTCCTGTCGCTTTTCTTCCCTTCTTCCCCCTGTTTTTCTTTCTTCAGATCTAACTGGCTTAAGCCGTGCTGTGGGAGACGAGCTGCTGTGTGGCAGGTATTTTTGCTCAGTGCAAGTCTCAACAGTTTCCTGGTAGCCTGTGTAGTATTGGTGGTGATCCTGCTGACTCTGGAACTCCTAATAGATATAAAGCTTCTCCAGTGTGAGTAGCAGGTTTTTCTTTTTCCTGAAACTTTTGGCAATTATATTGAGGCTAATGCACTATGGGTTGCAGGTGGGTGGGTGGAAATAGCTTGGGAATAGTGTCTAACCCAGGCTTCCTCAACCTCGGCCCTCCAGACGTTTTTGGCCTGCAACTCCCATGATCCCTAGCTAGCAGGACCAGTGGTCAGGGATGATGGGAACTGTAGTCTCAAAACATCTGGAGGGCCGAGGTTGGGGAAGCCTGCTCTAGACTGTATGAGGTGTGAAGTGTATGGAATTTTGTGAACCTCTGATGTGCTGATATTCCTTTGGGGCTCATCCCAGACCTAACATTACCCAATGTCTCCCCACCTGTCCCATTCAGATGTACATTTGAATTCTTTCCCCCCCCACCGGCAGCACTATGGGGTTGGTTGGTCTTCCAGAGTAATTAATAGGGCTGGGTAATATCTGATTTTCAACACTGCAATATATCACCAGCTAAACATTGCAGTATTTCAATATACTGTATCAAGTTGTCTGAAATGAGGCTGGAGCTTATAATAATCTGGGGAAATACTGAATTTTATTTTATTTTATTTGATGTGTATAATTAAATGAAATTTTACTCTGATTGCATGCTTGACTAAACCATTAAAGATTTCTGGAGAATATATTACTGTTCTGTTATGGGCTTTATATGTCCATAGTAACACCTTGAACTTGACCTGGTAACAAATTGGGAACTGGTGCAGATCGGTGTTAGAAACTCAGTTAGACAATCTAGGTGCCACATGGTGCCTGAAAACTAGGTTACAGGTGCAATAACAGGATGTCTAGGCCATTTTTATGTATAACAAGATTACAAAGCTGAAAATGAATGAACTCTAGCTAAAATCTTATGTTCATTTTTAATATGGTCTTGTCCTCATTGGAAGACAAAGTCATGCTTACCCTGCCCGCCCCCTAATATTCTTTTTTAAAATAATGGTTTTTATTAGTTTTCAATTATTAAACTCCAATAACAGCCACATTTTATCAATATCATATTACAATATCATTCCCATCCAAATATAGATCAATTATACAGCCAATTATAAATTTTGAGTGACTTCCTGTGTGCTGGGTTTTGGGATGCAAAGTTCTTATTTTCCCCTGCTTCCAAAATCTTAGTTAATCCAGTTGCATTAAGTCCTGATCTTGGTCCTTTATCCATAGCTACAGAGTTCTTGACTTCCATTCGTGTTGAGATATTTAATAAAAAGATTTTTTCCCCGCAAGGAGAGTTCTGTATCCTGTAAATTCTCTGTGTGAGATGTTTATTTTCCCATTTGCTTCTTCATTGTTCTAATCATGTCCTGCAGCAGCATCTCTTCTTCCGCTTTTCCAATCTTTCTCTTCTTCTGCTGAAATTCTAGCTGCGTCATTATGCCATCTTTGTTGTTGGTGTCTGAGTAAGGGAGTAATCTGGTTTCCCGCTGTAGCTCTGGGCGAAATTCCAGTTCTCCTCCCAATTCTTAGATTTCTTAACAATCTGGCGCCGCGCCAGGTCCGAATTGCCGTCCAGTGGAAGTTAGATGCTTTAAATCATTTCAGTGTTCTCACACAGTTCTATTTTTATATTAATACATAAATATAATTCTCTTCTCTTTTTCTCTTCTTGCTTTTTATCAATTTGTTATCGTTTAGGGGGAGGTTTGCCAAATCATTTATATAGAAAATATAGTATATGTAAAAAAGGGTAAAAAACCCCCTCCTCCCTCACGTACCGTATTTTTCAGTGAAGGAAATTTTTCCAGTTCAAAATGTTGCAGCCCAGTAATGGGATTCACTTGGCAGTTTATAATCTTGTCCTCTTCATTCTGCACCTGTCTGTAAATTAGAGCCAATTTCATCCTAATAAACAGAAGCACCTCTGCTTTTCATGGCTGCGTGGGGGGGGGGGGTTACTGTTATGCGAAGCGCTTTTACACTCAGCTTCTACTGCCTCTTGGGTTCCATACCAGAGCGAGAGCCACTTATCAAGACGATCTACAAGTGAAGCTCACTCCCCCCGGGCCCTGGGGGAGCTTGCAAGGACAATTACTCCCAAATCATCCTTGTTTTCTTCCGCAAATGATCTCTGCTAGCATGGGAGCTGCATCCATTAAGGCAGGAAGCACCGGAAGTCTGCCCCCCTAATATTCTTAAGAGGGTCCCTTCTCCAGTCTTCAAAGAGTGACTGGAAGTGGGGAAGCAGAAAAATTCTTCCTACATCCCCTTTCCTTCATATTAATACTGTATTTACTCGAGTCTAATGTGCCATTGAATCTAATGTGCACCTCAGTTTTAGGAACATTGAAACAAAAAATATTTGCTGGTGACTGTAAAAGTAAAGGGACCCCTGACCATTAGGTCTAGTCGTGGCCGACTCTGGGGTTGCGGCACTCATCTCGCTTTATTGGCCAAGGGAGCCGGCGTACAGCTTCCGGGTCATGTGGCCAGCATGACTAAGCCGCTTCTGGCAAACCAGAGCAGCACACAGAAATGCCGTTTACCTTCCCGCCGGAGCAGTACCTATTTATCTACTTGCACTTTGAATTGCTTTCGAACTGCTAGGTCAGCAGGAGCAGGGACCGAGCAATGGGAGCTCACCCCACCACGGGGATTTGAACCGCCGACCTTCTGATCAGCAAGTCCTAGGCTCTGTGGTTTAACTCACAGCGCCACCCGCATCCCTTGGTGACTGTAAATGTGCCATCAAATCTAACGTGCACCTTGATTTTCACAACATAATTTGGCCAAAATGGTGAGCATTAGATTTGAGTAAATATAGTATATCTTTCTAGCACAACAACTAACACATATTACAGGCCTACACAACTGACAGCAGAGACACCCACCTTAAGTGTACAGTTTGCACAACCCAAGACTTCAGTGCCCCTCAGTGACCCCAACCCAACACTGCTTTAGATTTTAAGCACCGCTGTGAGAGTGAATTAGGCAACACTTTAAAATGTGCTGCATTTCCCCCCAAGAAAAATTCACTCCCATCCTTTATTTAAAACTTACAAAAGTTAGAATACTGAAACAGCTTAAAATTACCTCAATTCAAAGTGTGTGTTGTGGATGTATATATATTCTGTACCCCATCTTGTATGAACGGGCAGGATACAGACATTATTACTTTTTAAGAATTGTTCTATTAAAGATTTTATTGGATTACAAAAGAACATACGTCACCTCTGTTTTCAGATCATAAAGTCCTTTCTATAGATCATAGATTCCCTGGAAAAGACCTGATGTTGGGAAAGATGGAGGGCGCAAGGAGAAGGGGACGACAGAGGATGAGATGGTGGGACAGTGTTCTCGAAGCTACCAGCATTAGTCTGACCAAACTGCAGGAGGCAGTGGAAGACAGGAGTGCCTGACGTGCTCTGGTCCATGGGGTCACGAAGAGGCGGACACGACTAAATGACTAAACAACAACATAGATCAGTTATATTCGACGTGAGACTTTAATGTGGTATACAGTATAAGGTTGGGGGAGGAGAGAGAAGGGAGGTGGATAGTAAACTTTCATTCTTTATATCCATTTATTAATTTTCATTGGCATTGAGAGAGGCTGGGGGCCCCAGAGCGTGGTGGCCTGCCTTCAGTTGACTGCAGTGGGATCTGTTTGTGTGTATGAGGGTGTGTGGGGTTCTTGGGTCAAGTTAGCCATATTGATTCATATGCTGTTGGTGGGTTCTTCTTCTTGTCCTGTTGGGCTGTGTGTGTAATAAAAGGGAGCCACACCGGGGTGAAAGCGTCCTCTACTTCGTTGTTTAGTCGTATCTGACTCTTAGTGACCCCATGGACCAGAGCATGCCAGGCACTCCTGTCTTCCACTGCCTCCTGCGGTTTGGTCAAACTCATGCTGGTAGCTACGAGAACACTGTCCAACCATCTCGTCCTCTGTCGTCCCCTTCTCCTTGCGCCCTCCATCTTTCCCAACACTAGGGTCTTTTCCAGGGAGTCTTCTCTTCTCATGAGGTGGCCAAAGTAATGGAGCCTCAGCTTCAAGATCTGCCCTTCCAGTGAGCACTCAGGGCTGATTTCCTTCAGAATGGATAGGTTTGATCTTCTTGCAGTCCATGGGACTCTCAAGAGTCTCCTCCAGCACCATAATTCAAAAGGATCAATTCTTCGGCGATCAACCTTCTTTATGGTCCAGCGCTCACTTCCATACATCACTACAGTGGTACCTTGGGTTAAGTACTTAATTCGTTCCAGAGGTCCGTACTTAACCTGAAACTGTTCTTAACCTGAAGCACCACTTTAGCTAATGGGGCGTCCTGCTGCCACCACGCCGTCGGAGCATGATTTCTGTTCTCATCCTGAAGCAAAGTTCTTAACCTGAAGCACTATTTCTGGGTTAGCGGAGTCTGTAACCTGAAGCGTATGTAACCTGAAGCGTATGTAACCCGAGGTACCACTGTACTGGGAAAACCGTAGCTGTAAGTATACGGACCTTTGTCCGCAAGGTGATGTCTCTGCTTTTTAAGATGCTGTCTAGGTTTGTCATAGCTTTTGTCCCACGAAGCAGGCATCTTTTAATTTCGCGACTGCTGTCACCATCTGCAGTGATCATGGAGCCCAAGAAAGTAAAATCTCTCACTGCCTCCATTTCTTCCCCTTCTACTTAAACCACCATAAACTTGCTGGCGGGAGGGCCCAAGAGCCCTCCCACCACCTTCTCAAAGCCTGAGAAGCCCCTCCCCATCCACCCTCACAAGCCACTGCCTGCTAGTATATTTCAAATTAAAAGCATATCACACATTAAAAGTACATTAAACAAGGCAACTAAAACCTAAACCCAACGTCTTTGTATTCTGGACAGCACAAGCTCAGGGAAGGAATTTTAATCTCCAAATACCTCGATAGACACTATCTGATATTGCAACAACTTTTTGGACTCGCCAGCCGTCCTAACACTGGGATGTTACTGCCAAATACAGCCTGACTCCCCCACTACACGCACAGCTCTCCCTAAGTGCCACCTAACCCCTAAGTCCACTCTTAACTCTTTCTTCTGCCAGAAGACCTTTAGATAAACTCTTACCTGCTTCCCACCCAAATAAGACTCAAAACAACCATCATGCCCACCCATTCAAACGTTCCCTTTCTCCTCCCCAAGCCAACTTTCATCGCCCTTCCTGCTCCTTCTGTGTCTCCTTGGCACTTGTAATAGTTGCTAGCTTGAAGAGCCCACCCCACTGCCCCATGCATTCGTAGGAACACAGAGCCTGCGGGGAATGCCAGCCTTCAGAGCTGACATGACGAGAGACATGGTGGGGGAGCCACACGCAGAGAGAGACGGGCAGAAGTGAGGAAGGAGGTTAAACATGCTGCCTGCATTACAGAGGAAAGTTCCTGTAGGTGTCTGTGCTCTTCGGAAAGTTCCCAGGCAGACTGGTGGCTTTCGTCAGCCACCTGCCCTTGTGGTTTGCTGCTGCCTGCAGGAGGCAGGGGAGAGCTGAGCCAGCCGCAGAAATCTTGAGCGACGAGACACATCATGATTAGTGATACATTTCCAGGGTATTATTATGAAACTGGTTATCACGATGTGAGTTTCATATTGGGTTTTGGACAAGTGTATCAATGCACATTGGCCAGCCCTAGTAATGAAAGCACCTGGTTTGAAAGCTGGGACTAAAGCCATTGATGCTGTTGTTTGGGAAAGGGTGTTGCTTCTATACCTTTTCCAAAAAAGGTTTTGCTCTGTTTGAACTTGGAAATTCAAGAAATATGTGTGGAAAGAAATGCACATGGGAAACCTGCGACAGTGGAATAAAGGGATTTTTTTCAATGGAGGACGGGAGCCTTTGGATCCAGTCTCCCATTCCTAGATCTGGAAGGATAGGGATGCTCACATGACATCTCATGGGAACTTGGATGGCCCTGCGAGATTTCACGACAGCATCCCAGAACCATCATGCTGAGAGGGAAAGCCCAGCATTAAAAGAAATGTTAAGCTCTCTGCTTTGCTTGCATTAGCCTGCAGAATTTCAACCAGCTGTCCTTCAACTGCATAGGGTCACTCTTTCACACAGCACACTGAAAGTAGAATAGATTTTTTCTCCATTTACCGGTATTCTATTTTTCTAAGTGCAGGGAGCTTTATGTGGAAAGAGCATTTCTTTTTCTGGAATTTTCTGGCACTCAAGATTTTTGCCCATCAGAGAATGTTGCAGACGAAGACCTTAAAAAAAATCCCAGGCCGTATAAATCTCGCTGTAGTTTTTAAATTAGTTCCAGCCTTTTGTGTTATTATTTGCGCTTTACTTTTAATCTTAATATTCATTTTTAGTCAGTTTTTAATGCTACACCACTTTTTATTTTATTAGTCCCTTTATTTATTTATTAAACTTTTTTGTTTTTATTCTGTAAGCTGCCCAGAGAACACTTGTTACAGGGCAGCCTATAAATGTCAAAAATAGAATGAATAAGTAAATAATGCAACTGATGATCTTTTCATTGTATGGCTCTTTAGAATACCCATTAGCATTCACAGTCAATACTGGCTTGGAGTAGGGGGGTGCAATAAAAATATTTTATTGTCTTGCATGTTGTCCATTCTGCACATCTTTAGTTGAACACAAGAGGGCAGACAGAATGTTGCACATTCCTTTATTCCTTCCAATATATGGGTTGCTGCCTTGTTGATAGCATTTTCCCATTTCCCTTTATTGCAGCCATCAGGACGTTGCTGAAAATGAACAATGTAGCTGAGGTTTTTTCCTTCTTTCTCTTAGCATTTCACAATATGGAGACAGGGCTATAAATGTGTCAGTGCAACATTGCATAGGTAGTGGAGTTACAGGATTTAAAAAATAAAACAAACCTAAAAGTGAAATACTGTGTTTCACTCAAACAGATTAATATTCTGCTACAGTTTTGCATTTTTCTGTGCCTGCACACAACCCTGAAAACTTGAAGTTTTTTTCCTTCTTGAGAAGAAAACAAAACTCGTATGTATTCCCAAAGTTATTTTAACACTTTACTACACATGAAACATTTTCAACATAAAGAGGGGAAATTGGTCTCCCTAAAGGCTCCTGAGAGAGACTTGCATCACAGGAAGAGTCCAGGGTGTTTTCTAAGGTCTGCTTTGTGCTGGCAGGTGGCTAACTTGGAGTTTTCCTTTCATGCATCCAGATACAGCGATACCTCGGGTTACATATGCTTCAGGTTACTGACTCCGCTATCCCAGAAATATTACCTCGGGTTAAGAACTTTGCTTCAGGATGAGAACAGAAATCGTGCTCCGGCGGCAGCGGGAGGCCTATTAGCTAAAGTGGTGCTTCAGGTTAAGAATGGACCTCTGGAACGAATTAAGTTCTTAATCCGAGGTACCACTATGTAAGGCCAACATCTTTTCTCTCATGAGATGTATTGCACTGTGATCATGGTAAATAATGATAAACTGTGCTTATTTTTGCTTTCCTGAGTCCTCCCTCCAAGCTACTAATCCATCACACGCAGGCACTGATCGGGTTCCCAGGCTTTTTGGCTTCTTCTCTGGCACCAGATACAGAACCTCAAAACATGGCGTGTTCTCTTCCTCCCCCACCTACATCCAGAATTAGACATGGTTGTTTAGTAATATGCCTTTCCTACACTCTACATGAGGACAAAGGAAGGCTTAATGCAGGTCAGATTGAAGATCAGTCTCATGGCATGTGGCCTGGTTCACACATCATGTAATGACACAAGCATGCTGGCTTCCAAAGAGGAGCACGTCTCCACTTTATTACTGACTACAAATCATGGTTATGGAGACTACAAATCATGGTTAAGGAGATTAACCACAATCCTGAGTTCCAACCCTAAACCAGAGCTTTCTGTGCTGAGGTGAAGGACCATGGATGAACATAGCAACCGCAGTCTTCTTCCTGCATCATTCAAACTAAACCATCATTTGGCCTAGCATTACATGCAGTCATAGGCGTTGAGTGACTTTAATTCATTCTTGGCTCTTATCTTCTACTTTTGGTACCTTTTGAATCCTGAATCTTGGACTTGTTACTGAAAGAAGCCAAACCTGGAACCATCGTTTATAAACCTGATTTGTTTCAATGAACCATAGTTCAGATTAACCACAGTTTGGTTTGGACAATAATGCTAATTGCAGCTAATTGAAAACGGAGGTGAAATGTCTGATCCTGTGCCAGTAGGGGAGAATATGTGTTGGAGGCTCAGAGATGGGAGAGTTGAGAAGATGGAAAATGGAAGCAGACAAGTAACTGTAAATCATGTTAAGCTTTAGTGAAGCTTAAACCAAGGTGGGCATTCTAAATGATTGTTAATAAAAACCACAATTGGTGTTATGTCTTGACTGAGCCTATATCTCTAATGTTGTGTACTAGCTGTGAATATTTACCAGTGTTTCTGCAATTGGTGGGGAGTTCACTTCTTACATCATTTTGTCCCTTCTCTCCCAACCCAGATTTGGCCCACAGTCTCCTGGGGGGTCAGCCTTAATCAAGGCAGGCTTCAGAATGTTTGGTTCATTATGTATTGTGCAACTTGCATGCTGGGAAACCAAAATGATGCTTCATAATAATCTTTATTTAATTTCAGTTTCAAATGCATCACAGTTTGCTGGAGTTATTCACTGGATCAGTCTAGTTATCCTCTCTGTGTTCTTTTCAGAGGTAAGTGACATGTGAAAGTAAGTGACAAAGGACAATATGACTGAAAAACTGGTTACTTCCTTAGGAAATGTGTTCAGTTGTATATCTAGGCACCTAAATTGCCTTAGTTACCTCAGAACTGCAATACCTCAAGGACTGCATCTTTCCAAATGAACCTACACAAACCCTGAAATCATCTTCTAAGGCCCTTCTTCATGTTTCGCCTCCTTGAGAGGTCCAGAGGGTGGCAACATGAGAATGGGCCTTTCTGCAGTGGCTCCCCATCTGTGGAATGCTCTCCCCAGGGAAGTTTGACTGGTGCCTTCTCAGGAAATCTGGCTACTTGTTTATAACTGCATTGAAGGCCCTACTTTAGAGTCCTTCATCACAGATGTGGCAGAAGGTTATTCAAAGGATGCCCTTTTTCACAGTGGCATCTATGTTTTGAAACTTCTTCACAGGAGAAGGATGATCTGCCCCCTTGCTAGTAGCCTCTTGACAGCAAGTCTTATTCCAGAGGGCATTTGGAACCCTCTAAGCTGTTTTTAGCAGATTTGTGGGGGCTGTTGGTAAGACTGGGTTTTAATTAATATTTTCTGCAATGCTATTTAACATGTTTGCTACTTGATGATGAGCCTCCTCAAGATGGACAGATGTGAGGATAAATGAATATTAAATTCTTCTTAATATTTCCAATTATGTATCTCTCTACATTGGGGAATTCAGAAGGTTGCAGCCATAAGAATTTGTAGACCATGTCCTAGAACAAAGGCTTTCTGGTGTGGTCACATTCTAATTATGCTATACAGTGGTACCTCGGGTTACAGACACTTCAGGTTACAGACTCCGCTAACCCAGAAATAGTACCTCAGGTTAAGAACTTTGCTTCAGGATGAGAAGAGAAATCGTGCTCTGTCGGCGTGGTGGCAGCAGGAGGCCCCATTAGCTAAAGTGGTGCTTCAGGTTAAGAACAGTTTCAGGTTAAGAACAAACCTCCAGAACGAATTAAGTTCTCCACCCGAGGTACCACTGTACAGTTCAAAAAGGATGCCATACAACTGGAAAAAGTTCTGAATGAGCAAAATTTGGGCCCCAGGAATGGAAGAGCAGTTTTCTTGGAAGGAACACTAAAGTGGGAAAAGTAGAAGGCTAAGAGGAAAATATATATTAATACCATGCATAAAGTGGAGAAAATGGATAAAGAAATGACTGTTCCTCCTTTTCCCATAACAATGATTTTGATTTGGGGTTAGATTCATTATTTTTTATGGTAATTGGGAACCTGTTGTTTGTGTTTTGTTGTCAGGACTTATTAATGTGAATTGTTTGAGGGTTGGTCAGTCTCAGTGCAATTTGATATTTGGTGTGTTTGGTCTGATGTGTTGACTATAGACTTATTTAAGGTTTTCCTTCATATCTTGTATAGTTTGGGCTGATACATTTTGCCGTTACTGTGGATTTTGACTCAGTATTGTTATTGCTAGGGTTTAATTCAAATTATTAAATGAAGTGTTCAGACTTCAGAGCAGTTCTCACCTTGTCCAGAGACTATTAGAGCAGGTGAGTCTCCTTCACACCTGAATCCCTGCTGGCTTCTGCCAGGGGTGGCTGTGCTGGCTCCATGCAGTAGAGGGGTCTTGATTGGGCCCCTCACCTGGCAGGGGATCACCATTGATTTAAGTAGATCCTTAACTGGCTCAGCTATGCCCCATACTTTAGTGTATTATTGGATTTAGTTTATTAATGTTAAAAGAGGTGTAGAATATCCTGGGTGTGTTTGTGTGTTTCTACACTAGTAGCCAAAATTGTGGAAACCTTTTGGAGAAAGTGGATTTCCGAGGTTTGATGGCTCATACCACTTTTTTGGGGGAGTAGTACCATAACATTATGCATCAATGGAAAGATAATTTAATAAAGAATGTAATGCAACAAAGTTTATTCAATTATCCGTATTCTATCAAAAATTATAGCCAAATAACCAGAAAAAGGAGTGTTTAGAGAGCCAATCAGGTGTCATCTTGTTTTGGCAATGATGGCTTATAACACCACTTTTTTTTGGAGTAATACCATAAAATTATATATCAATGGGAAGATAATTTAATGAAGAATGTAATGCAATAACTTTTATGAAGGATTATTTATTACAACAGCAGTCAAAAAGAAGAAACATGAAACACATAGAAAAAAATGAGATATACAAAAATTCTCCCTATGTCAGTTAATACTTAGTTGGGCAACCTTTAGCCTTCCCATGGAGTGAACCAAATTTTTTAGTTTTGCATCAGTAAAAATGTGAAATCAAAATTGAATTATTGCCTCTATTAATTGGGTTTTATTGCTGGGTTGCTTCTGACTAACAAGTTTCTTTAGTCGGCTCCATACATTTTTGATTGGGTTAAAGTCTGGGATATGTATTTGGGGGCATGTACATTCCCATTAATGACGCAAATTCTGCCCACACCTTTTGCTGTCATATGACCCCAGATCGTAACACTAACTGGGTGTTTCATAGTAGGTGTAATGCAAGTAGGATGTAAATCATCTCCAATTCTTCTCACATATTTCATGCCATCACTACCAAGCAAGAAGATTTTGGTGTCATCACTCCAAATAAAACTGTCCCATTGTTCCGCTGTCCAGTTAGCATGGGTTTTAGCCCAGTTTAATCTTTTAAACCTTTGTTTGAGAGATAACAATGACATTTTCCTTGGAATTCTGGCATTTAGACCATATTCCTGCAGTCTGCACCGAACAGTCCTTACACTCAACTTCACATTACATTGTACCATGTCATCTTGTATACACCCAGATGATTTTTTCTGTCATGTAGGCACAGTCTCTCAATTCTTCTATCATCACTTGCTGTTGTGCACCTTTTCCTGCCCTTACCAGTCTGATTTTGTAGTGACCGAGTCTCCTTATATCTTTTCAAAAATTTAGAAATGCCACCTTTGGTTAAGTTTCCCCAATTTTTCTTCTATTTTCTTCATAACTGTAGCCATGTTTGCTTAATAGTACTATTTTACATGGCTTTCTGGGTGACCAGTCAACTCTTTGCAGCATTTCTTTAATTTTATTACATTTTACAAGCTTACCAAATGAAAGAACACAAAAACCCCAACCAACTTGATAGCAATCACATAACACACTGACAAATGCCCTCCTCTCAGCTCCAGTACATAACATCAATAGCTGAATCTTACTGTGACCTGATTGGATCATTGCCAAAACAAGATGACACCCGATTGGCTCTCTACACCCTCCTGCTCATTGGCTACATTCAAATGAAGGAAAGCTACTGCATATCAACCTAAGCAAGTTGTGCTTCCTTTTTCTGGTTATTTGGCTATAAACTTTGATAGAATACAGAAAATTGAACGAACTTTGTTGCATTACAGTATTCATTAAAGTATCTTTCCATTGATATATAATTTTATGGTATTACTCCAAAAAAAGGTTGCCACAATTTTGGCCACTCATATCTGTGACAACAGCAGGTTTTTGAGATACTATGGAACATCTTGATAATGGAAAAACTGAGGTTCAAATTGCCTCTCAGCCTAACTGATATCACAGGGTTCCTCCTGTCCTGATTGAGGCTTAAGATGCACGTGGTTTCAGAGCAGGATCTCCCTAAATGTGCTGAGGGGGAGGGGAACAAATTGCACAGATGAACTTAAGAGGATGCCCTGGTGAGTCTCTATAGATTACACAGAGAAGGTCATAAATAGCCACATTTATTGACAGAGATTTCCTTTTTTCCCATTATTACTCGAAGTGTTGGAAATGGGTGGTTTGGTCAATCAAGACCAGAATTATAGGCCTCTGGAGCATACTGAAGTGCTTACTTATGACACTTCAGGTGCTTAGTTGGGTGTATTATTCTCCTGTGATCCTCCAACTTCTTCCCCACTCCTCACCTTGCTGTCAGAATTTATTTTGTAAGCTGCTTGGGGCAAAGACCTGCTCTCTTCTGTTCAGTTGGAAGCACAATACATATCAGAGGTGCAGTATAGAATCTGTGGATTCTAATATTACTATAATGTTCAAGGATTATTATCTCAATATGTAATGAGTGATGCCTGAGTAGAAGTGCCATAAAATTCTTGCATTTGCTCCTTGGTTGATGCTGAACTCACCAGAAACCCTTCTGCGCTAGGAGAAAAGGCAGAGGAATGTGTGGGGTGGCTGAAAACACCCTGCGTCAGTTCTGACAGGATCCCCGTCTCAGTGTGCCTTACACTTTCCCTACCTCTATTTTTACAATAGCGCAAAAGCCAGCAAAGATACCAGTTTACATAGATAAAACAAGAGAAGAGAGAAACCAGTTATAATTGAAAACACTATTGTAACTGAAAATATAGATATATAAAACATGTCTGTATTTGAGCATGTAAACCAATCTCTTATAACATTAAAAAGCCACGTTTTGATAAAGTATCAAATTTTCTCTGCAGTATTCAGTAAATAGTTTCCAATTTGCTAAAAAGTTACTTTACAGTTAGCTCCCCCCCCTTACTCTCCTCTTCCTCCAAGGAGCTCAGGGAAGCGTTGTGTAGTGGTTAGGAGCGGTGGACTCGTTATCTGGGCAACCAGGTTTGCGTCTCCGCTCCTCCACCTGCAGCTGCTGGGTGACCTTGGGCCAGTCACACTTCTCTGAAGTCTCTCAGCCCCACTCACCTCACAGAGTGTTTGTTGTGGGGGAGGAAGGGAAAGGAGAAGGTTAGCCGCTTTGAGACTCCTTCGGGTAGTGATAAAGCGGGATATCAAATCCAAACTCCTCTTCTTCTTCCTCTTCTTCTTCTTCTTCTTCTTCTTCTTCTTCTTCCCCCTCTTCATTTTATCTCTACAACCTTCCCATGCGGTTGGCTAGAGTGAGAGATAGAGTGGGTGACCCAAGGTCAGCCCAGCAAGTTTATGAGGATTTGGACCTGGATTTTCCCTGTCCTCTGTGATCCCTCTAACCACTACTCCATGCTGGTTCTGCAGAATGGCCTCCGTCCAGAAGGCTTACATTTAACATTAGGCAGAGAAGATCACTTTTTATTGAATACTGCAGAGAAAGTTCTATATTTGCTCAATCAAAATGTGGTTTTGTATATTAAAACTATTGTAAATCAATAAAATATCTGGGTTGGGGTCACCAGATAAAAGCAGCTGCAACTGTCTTCTATTACTGGCATTTTTGTGTGAAGGGAATGTGTGCTAAATCCTGATATTGTTCAAATTCACTTGCTTCTTTCACTGACCGTTGCATGACGGATTGAAACAGCAATCCCAGTGAATCGTTTTCCCCCCAATTTTCTACAGCTCTAGTACTTGATGCTCTTCTGTCAGCAGCAGATATGTACTATGAAGAGGCCAGCCATCTGTGAAGTGTTTCGCATGAAAGATGCTTGATAATCCTGTCTATTGTATAAAGAAAATATTACCAACAGCAAAATCATTTTCTCACATCAGTTCAGCTATCTGTAGCCTTTTTTCACATAGGAGAGGAGAGGAGAAAAGGGAATATCCCTGTTGTCCTGTGTCTGTTCAGGGTTTGGAAAAATGTTATATTCTACCCTTCAACTATTATTTATTCATGACATTTATATCCCAAGGAGCTCAAGGGGGCCTATATGGGCCTCCCCATTCTTCACTTACAACAACCCTGTGAGGGTAGGCTGATACCACAGATGCATTTGCCTAAGCAATGGCTAAAGGAAATTCACAGGTAGCAAAAGAGGTATAACCAGCATAACACATGAAGAAACTGTACATCTGCTATTTTTGAAGACATTGTTTGATCCGTTATAACGAAAGTAGTACCAGCCTTCAGGCACTTGGCATCAAGCACTCTCAGTCTGTTGTTTTAGAAAGCTGTTGTGGTGATTTGAGATGTTCTGATGTCATGAAACGTTCATCAAATTTCTAGTTCATGTGGCATAAGAGCAAGGTCTGATCTATACATTCAGCAGAATGACATGATAAACAGCTTCTTCTTCATTGCCCTGGAGACCCCCCAAAAGATCAAGAAAACGTGTATTCCTGTACATGCACCACAACTAATAACAACTGATGACATCCGTAGAACATATTATTAAGTGATCCACAGGTCACTTAATGAGTGAACTCTGGAGAGTTTGTAAAGTTATGGAGTGGTAGAACGAACTGTACTGATTTGGACTGTAGATGGGGGGTGCCACTTTTAAATGCTCTCTTTCATGTTAAAAAGAAATCCTTGCAAGTAAAATAACAGTACTAGCCCACAGGGAGCTGGCTGTCGTGCTTCCTCCTCCTCCTGTTTTACATAGAGCAAGGTAGAACCGAGAGATGGAGACAAGGAGAAATGTGGAAAGAATATGAATTGACACCCCCCCATGTTCCTCATTCCTTTCCTCCATTGTCTTCCATGTTGTACTTTGGATTCTACGGGCCTTGTCCACATGTGCTTTGTGAAGCACTGCTCACCTTCATGCTCTTACAGTATATCAATAATTATGCTACAAGTGTGCAAGATTCTTAATTTTACACTTTTTCTTACACCTGCTGCCTCTTTCTGTCAACAGTGTTGACTCCATCCCTGTTTCTACTTTCTCCCAGAATGGAGAATATTTTGACATAACTTGCAACTTTTTCACATTTTAGGGTCAACAGGGAAACCTACATTTACCTGATACACTTACAATGTGACAATGAACTTATAAAACACACTTCCCACAGAAAAGTTAAGCATTTGAAATTTTTAAAAAAACTTTTCTGCTCCACAGGACTGATTTTCTCCATTTTGTTACAAAAAGTTATTAATGATTAACAATGCTAATGATTTATGATTTTCTCTGTCTTCCCTCTTCCCACATATCTTTTTATTAGACTGTTTTGAGAATAGTGGTTCTTGGTATATGGGACTACATTGAAAATAAAATAGAGGTAAGCAAAACCTCTGTTTTTATATTTAATAGCACCTCCATCCTTTGCAACACACTGTGCTGTGTTACTGTTTTCATTAATTTACTCAACGTATATTCTGCCTTTCCTCTCGAAGAAGCCCAGGGAGGCAAATACATCAGTACTAAAAACAGTTTAAAAGGCTTCTAAAAACAGTTAAAAACATTCTCCCAGCCAGTGATATATCAAGTTTGCCAAGAAGAGTATCTTTCAGCCATCTGGGTGAAGAGGAATATTTTTAGCTTCCTTAATTAGCAATTAAAGAACACTGGAAAATGATTAGTTGTACTTAACCTTATTGTAGTACTTTTGGAGACTTATTGGTAGCAAGGAATGCTAAAGTTCTGTTCCATGTATGAAGCTGCCTTGTGTCATGTCCTGTTACTTGTCCATCCAGCCCAGGAGTGGCTCTCCAGAGTCTTGGGTCATCTCATTTGCCACCTGATCCTTTCACCTGGAGAGCCCTTGGTCCCTCCTCAACTCTAGTGATTGCCGCAATAGGACTAGATTCTGTAGCCCACTAAGAAAGTCCTCTGTCACTAACTAACTAACTAACTAACTAGGATTGTTTCGTCTTTCTTCTAGTCACTCCTCTCTCAGCCGAGCTTAATTTCAGATGCCCTAGATGCTGACTTCTGATATTTGTGCAGTTTATTATTAATTTTAATGAGTATAGTTCATACACTGGTAATTAGTGGCTGCATTTGCTCATCTTACTAAGCCATCGTGTGATTTTGATAAACCATAGTTTGCTTTCATCTAGATCTGGAGATCTTAACTACGGCTAGTTTAAATCAGGAGTGGGGAGCATGTAGATGTTGTTGAACTCTCAGCCCCCGTCATCCCCAGCCAGCATGGTCAAGGAGAATGGGTTGCAGTCCAGCAGCAGCTGGAGGGGCCACAGTCCTGATTTAAACAGCCTAGTTTCAGTAATTATGGGTTGAAATTGGCTTGTTTAAAACTCACCGTAGTTAATGTTAACCACAGTTCGTCTGTCCAAACAACATGACAAGCTACAGTGAAATAAAGTGGTAGTGAAAGCTTCTGGATTGCTCCTCCCAGCTGTGGAACAGGGAGAGCCGCACTATGTGCAAACATGGCTCATGTGGGGTGCCTTTGTTTAATGGGTGGAGAGCTGCTTTGGCCCCAGAAACTGAGCATGACTTGACCTTGAATCAATAACCCTCTGAATGGCTTGGGACAAGTGCTGAATGCCACTAAGACACGCAAACCATTCTAAGTACCACAGTATGATGCATTGCTGCATAGTTCTCCAGTGCAATGGCCCATTTCAGGAGGGAAACTGTTAAGTCTTATTAATACAATAAAACTCATTTAGCTGATCCTCGATTAGTATCTTACTGAGATTCAGGTGCTACTGCAGATGTTTGACAAAAAGCTTATCTGATGCATCCAAACGTTTATCCCCAGTTAAAAATGAGACAGTAATAATATCCGTGACATCAATAGAAAAGAAAGAAGCCAGAAGGAGGAGTGGTTTGACTCGGACTTGTGTTTGCTTTGGTGAATGCATTTTGATATTTGCGTTCGAAAAAGGAGAGAGTAAAATGCTGTTTGTGAAATCCTTTTCCTATTAGGTATTTGATGGTGCTGTGATCATCTTATCCTTGGCTCCAATGGTGGCTTCTACAGTGGCGAATGGACCAAGCAGTCCTTGGGATGCTATTAGCCTTATTATCACACTGAGAATTTGGAGAGTGAAGAGAATTATTGATGGCAAGTTATCATTAACTTTTGTAAAGATTTGTGGAGGTGTAGGAATTACTTTTTAAAATAGTCAGTACCTCTTTTCAAGTAGGAAGCCAGATTTTAGCTGGATAACCCTCATTGATCAGATGGGGAAATTACCAGTGTTCCTATGGCAACTTTTTTTATATTGTTCACCAGTTTCCTAGTAGCTGTGGGTTGAGTGGGAACTCTGCACTAAAATAATCCCTAATTTAGTTAGCAGGAACATTGTGTTGATTTTTGCAGAGTGTGAAAATAAAATGTGTTCATGTGTATGTTTTGAAATTGGGATAGAGAATTTTGGGGAAATATGCAGGGGAGGGACTAGGGAAGTGTGGGAATTGTGCTTAACTGTGAAATCTCAAAAGTAAACCCTGCTGAGTGAAACAGGAATTACTACTAGGTAAATAAGTGCAGGGTTGCAGAATACTATATGAATATTATGTAACCATAGTTATTATCTTTAATGTCCAGTTGATTTAAAGTAAAGCAAATCAAGCCCATTATTGGATTTCTCCAACTGAAACTAATAAGACATAAAAGTGACCGTTTCAGAAACTTAACTTCTGTTGAATAGTAGTTGCATTTATTAGATGCCTGACCATCTTTTCAAATAAACTCAGAGATCCCTTTGTTGTGGTTTCTAGCCTACGTATTACCAGTTAAGGTGGAAATGGAGATGGTGATTCAACAGTATGAGAAGGCAAAGGTCATTCAAGATGAGCAACTGGAAAGACTAACCCAAATCTGCCAAGAGCAGGGAGTAAGTCAAAACTATATTTTCATTTTATAAATGTGTGTCTGTTACGGATTTTAATTTGTATGCTACTTTGCCACAACATTTTTCACCCAGAAGTGGCTTGCAACACTTCAGATTATGCTAGACTCCAACTTTCTCCAACCAACATGACCAAGGGTTAGAGATGATGGGAGTTGTAGTCTGGCAGCATCCAAAAGACTACAGGTTCCACTATACATACTATGGGGGTTGGGCCAGAGGATTCAGCACATGTTTTTCATACCTGAGATCTCAGGTGGGATAGCTGCTATCTCCAGGTACTCCAGACTTCAGAGGACCCAGAATAACCTCTGCTAGTCCATGCAAGCAATACTGAATTGGATGAAGCAGTCGTCTGGGTCAGTGCAAGGCAGTGTCTCCTGCGTTCCTATGAGGTTTTGCAGAGGGATCCGAAGGATAAGAGTGTGAGGCATCTATGCCATTGAATTGCTGCCTCATACAGATAGGATGAGGGTGAACAATAAAAGGTGATTGCAAAGCATTCAGAGTTAACAGAGCTGTGTAGATTATTAATGACCACCCTTCCTCTCCCCTTCAGTTAATTCAGGTAGCTTTGTGGTTTTTATCCTTTTTAAAAATCAAACCGTAACACTGGAAGTTGAAGAATTCTTGTTTCCTTTCAACATGGTAGATAATTTGTGAAACGGATTTTGGTTCCAATGACTATACATTTTCCACTGGCAGCATTTTTGTTCTGCTTCTTTTTATTCTTCTTCCCCTTCTTCTGCTTCTACTTGCAATAATGTTAATTTATTCCTAACAACCAATCATTTGCCTGTTTGTTGGAAAGCAGCCCAAATCACCCTGCCTTTTATTCTAGTCTAGTTCGCAACTGTCTCTTGGTTTGTGTGGTGTTTGTTTGTTTTTTAAAGAAATAATGTTAGCAACAAAGGCCCAAATTAATGGAAGTAAACATTGGATGGTATCCCAGCGGCAGATGAGCATTCGGGCATTCCCTCCCAAGAGCACTCACAGAACAGAGCAAAAGGATGACTGTTGCATTAGAGAAGAGCAAGCTTCTGCTTTAAAGCTTTCATTGATCTCTCCAAGGCTGCGCCAGACATCCTCTGCCACTGGCTATTTAAGAGAACTCTATGATTCACAGAGAGTTCCATTCCTCTATATATTTAGTAAAACACTAGACAAGATGGGGTGGCCCTTTTTATATGTCTAGTCATAAAAGGCTGGTGTTCCCTTGGGTCCCATACTGGTCCCTGTCCTTTTATGGGTGTTTATAAATAATTACTTAATGCAACGCACTGCTGAGGGGGATTTATTATAGTGTATTTAGTTCTTTGTCTGAGAGGGACTGAAAGCTGCTTCAGAAAAAGGTTTGGGGGATTTTTGTGTGTGTTTTCTTATTTATTTAATTTAACTGGATTTATAAACCAATCAATCATCCATAACCTGTAGGCAAAGGGAATACAGTGGTGCCCCGCAAGACGAATGCCTCGCAAGACGGAAAACTCGCTAGACGAAAGAGTTTTCCGTTTTGGAGGTGCTTCGCAAAACGAATCTCCTATGGGCTTGCTTCGCAAGACGAAAATGTCTTGCGAGTTCCTGTAGTTTTTTTCCCCTTTCCCCCCCTTTTTCTAAGCCGCTTATCTGCTTATCCGATAAGCTGATAAGCCGCTAAAAGCCGCTAATAGCGCTAATAGCGCTAATCCGCTAATCCGTCAATGGGCTTGCTTCGCAAGACGAAAAAAACGCTAGACGAAGAGACTCACAGAACGGATTCTTTTCGTCTTGCAAGGCACCACTGTAATAATAATAATAATAATAATAATAATAATAATAATTTATTATTATTATTTATACCTCGCCCATCAGGCTGGGTTTCCCCAGCCACTCTGGGCGGCTTCCAACAAAATATTAAAATACAATAGTCTGTCAAACATTAAAAGTTTCCCTAAACAGGGCTGCCTTCAGATGTCTTCTAAAAGTCTGGTAGTAGTTTTTCTCTTTGACATCTGATTGGAGGGCGTTCCACGGGGGGGTGCCACTACCGAGAAGGCCCTCTGCCTGGTTCCCTGTAACTTGGCTTCTCTCAGGGCAGCCCAGAAGGCCCTCGGCGCTGGACCTCAGTGTCTGGGTTGAACGATGGGGATGGAGACGCTCCTTTAGGTATACTGAACCAAGGCCGTTTGGGGCTTTAAAGGTCAGCACCAACACTTTGAATTGTGCTCGGAATCGTAGAATATAAAATGCTCATTTTAAAATACTAGTAAAACAGCAAGTTATCTTAAAATTCAGCAAAATATAAGTAAAATCAGCAGTTATTAAAATATACATTGTAGGATAAAATTGCATATTAAAAATATGTGTCTGGATAGGCTTGCTTAAACATAAAAGTGTTTAGCAAGGGCCAAAAGCAATGCAAATATACACACTGCATATTAGAAAAAATGAAAAGTAAAGCAAGCTTGGTTGCATTTTTGTCTGTTGGTCATAGGAGGGCAGCAAAAGCACTATGTTTGTTTCTATGTGTTAATCAGCTCACTATTTTTTATACGGCTTGTTGTCTCTGACATGCCAGTGTCTCTAGCACCTGTCAGAATCGCACATCTAGTTCATTGTATCAGAGGTCTGGATTTGCAAAAGCAAAAAGCAAATCATTGTTTTCTGGAAGAACTCGGGGGGCATGGCTTGGTAAAACCTGGTTTCAAAGAAACCAGGATCAAGTGTGTGTAAGTGTGTGCACAAGTGTGTTGACAACATGGAGCAGACCCCGCTCAGCCACTGTAACTTGTTGACTGGTTTTAAACCTGTCTAAACAGACATGGAATATTCCTGTGCCTGAGGTGGAAAATCCAGGAGTGGTGAGCATCTTCTACTGGGCAGCTCACTTGAACAGTCCCCATGTGTATACGCATACAGTAGAACCTCTACTCACGACCACAGTCTGTTCTGGAGGCCCGTCCGGAAGTCGAAACGGGTCGCGGGGAGAGGCGCCGTTGTGCGCAGGCGTGGGCGGCAATTCCCTGTTCCTGCGCATGCACGAACAGCGGCAAATCCGCTGTTACTTCTGGGTTTGCCACGGACACGAGTGGAGGTGGACGTAAGAAGAGGTTTGACTGTACTTGAATGTGCCTAGCACAGGAGAATTTTCCATTTACATAGCTCCGTCCTGCTCTGCCTCTTGATAGTGCCACAGATCCATCCCATAAGGCAGCTGTCTCACTTTCCTTAGGGGAGGCTCACCTTGGGAAATTGCATGGGAATGGGAGCAGCCTCTGCAGTGTAATGGCTGAAGTGCTGGCTTAGAATGCGGAGGCCCCTGTCAACCCTGAAGCTTTGGACAACTTACTTTGGAGGGTCATGGGGAAGAGAAAATGGTTTGGTGGGAACAGTATACCGCCCTGAACTCCTTGGAGGGTAAATGGGGTAAAAATACAGTTAGCAGTGAATTTCTGAGTGTAATTAAGTTTAATAGAGCTTAAAGGGCGTAGGATTCCAAGCCCCAAAGCGCCTTTTTAAAAAAAAAAAGTCAGCATAATCTGTTATAAATGTTGGAAGTAAGGAAAACCCCTCTTCCTGGAGGACATAGACTAGGTGAGCGTAAATGTTTCATTTGCCTTTTGACACATTAAATAGTTTTATTTTTTCAAATGTCCCATCTTGCTCTGTCCTGAATTGGGATTAAATAATGCTTTAAATTTAACAAATTTAAAATCAAATGAATGTTTTCAGGCAGCTGTGGCAGGCGTGATTTTGGAATACACGTTCAAACTTGAAAGTTTATCCAATCTCAAATTTGCTGTGCATGCATGGCACATCAGATTACAGCTTTCAAACCACACAAAGTGTTTGTTTGAATTTGTATTCTGCCCTCGATCCACAGATCTCAGGTTGGTTCACAACAGTGAGATTATTGGTTTAGTTTTGTTCTTAATTTTCTTATGTATTTTGTGGTTTTTATATAGTAAATTTATGTTGTGAACTGCCCTGAGATCTTTGGGTATGAGGCAGTATGCAGTCGCCAGGATTGGTGTAATAGGCTCAAACCATCTTGCCCTAGTGAGCAACCTGGCTGCTGAATTCTGCACCAGCTGAAGTTTCCGAACTGTCTTCAGAGGCAGCCCCACGTAGAACACACTGCAGTAATCTAATGTAAAGGTGATGGCTTTCGGTTTGTAACATATTGCTGTTAGATTTTGTCTACAGGTAATGCAGCTGTAAAAAAATGTTCCTTTTTCTTTTGAATGATAGTACCTAGAAATTCAGCCATCATTCTGTGGACACCTGCAGTTTCACATTGTTCCCCTTGCATTGCATGGCTTTTTGGTCCCAGTATTCAGTTTCCCGCCTCTGTACATGTGTGTGCATGTGCTTGGGTACGCATGCACACATGTAGTTGTAAATATACATCTTCCGACTGAGGGTATCATTCATGCATCTGATGAAATGGACTTCAAAGTCTGCAAAAGCTTATGTTCTTAACATTGCACATTACCGGTTGCTGTGTTTGCCGCAGTGAAACCTAACACCCTGGGCTCTCCACTTGACAGTACAGTCTCTGCCACACACAGATGTCAAGCTCAAAGCCGATAGCATTTGAAATGTGCATAAATCAAGTTGATATAACTGCTGTTACACAGATTATTATTTTTATGAATTGCAAACAGTGGGTTTTTGGATGCCTCTCTGTGAACATTGCCCAAGCACTAATAATTCAGAAAGTGTTTTTCCCCAAGCGCAATATGCCTCTGTATCCACCCTTCCTCATTTTTTGTCTTCCTCGTTCCTTCCTCCCTTTGGCCTCAGTTTGAAATTAGGCAGCTGCGGGCTCACCTGGCTCAGCAAGATCTGGACCTTGCTGCTGAGAGGGAGGCTGCATTGCAGGTCCCACACATGCTGAACAAGCAGAGCAGCAACCGATACAAAGTTGTGGCGGCTGGAGGGGATTCCGACGACGAGGCAACTGAAAACATCTCAGAATTGCGGCCGCCTCGGGGTGAGTAGTAGAGCCAGCTGCTTAATGCCACTGAACACGGTCCAGCTGAACACTGGTGCTATGCAGTCTTCGTTCATTTTAGTGGGACGTGTAGAATCTCCAGGGTCTGGGGGGGTGGATAAGCAGTTGTGGTTTGCCAAGATGAAGCTGCCAGGAAATTCATAGCATCCTAGAACTGTAGACTTGGAAGGTGTCCCCAGGGTCATCTAGTCCAGCCCCCTGCAATGCAGGAAGCACAGCTAAATAATCCTTGACATATGGCCATCCAACTTCTGTTTAAAAACCTCCAATGCAGGGGATTCCACTACATTCTGAGGAATAATAATAATAATAATAAATTTATTGTACCCCACCCATCTGACTGGGTTGCCTCAGCCACTCTGGGCAGCTTCCAACAAAGTATAAAGGAACACACCAAAACATCAAACATTAAAAGCTACCTCAAACAGGGCTGCCTTCAGATGTCTGTGAAAAGTCATATGATTATTTACCTCTTTGACACCTGATGGGAGGGTGTTCCACAGGGTGGGCACAACTGCTGAGAAGGCCTTCTGCCTGCTTCCACGCAACTTCACGTCTTGCAATGAAGGAACCGCCAGAAGTAGCCCATTCCACTGTTGAACACAACTTAATGTCAGAAAGTTCTTCCTAATGTTTAGTTAGAATCTCCTTTCTTGTAACTTGAATCCATTGGTTTGGATTGGTTTGGACCCTCTGGAGCAGCAGAAAACAAGCTTGCTCTGTCTTCCGTGTGGGAGCCCTTCAAGCATTTGAAGATGGCCATCATATCACCTCTCAATCTTCTGTTCTCCAGACTAGACAGACCCAACTCCATTCCTCATAAGGCTCTGTTTCCAGATGACCCCAGGTCATCTTGGTCTCCCTCCTCTGCACACCTTCCAGCTTCCCAATATCCTTAAACTGTGGCGCCCAGAACTGGATGCAGCACGCCAGGTGGGAATTGGGAACCGGGTTTGCTCTCTCAGCAGCTTTGTTTCCAGATAAGTCTCTCTGAAATTTTGGGCTGGAACTCCTACCACGAGCTTCTCCTGGTGAGCAGGGAAAGTGTTCCCCCAGGAAAGATTACAGTTATCTTGTTAAAGCACCCATAGGTGTACTGTCTTCTTTGGACAGCCTGACATATATCTCCCCGGAAGGTTCCTTGGGGAACCTATAACACTTCATTTATTTTTACCTTTTGGTAAAAATAGGTATTTTGCTATACCTGTATTGCTGCCCACATAATTAGCATTTTATTCGAGAGCTGCAGGAGTTAAAGTGGGTGCAACCTGGTCATGACCCAAAACCTCACATTTTATTTTTATTTCCAGGGGGTATTTTTTTAATTGACTGGCGTTGAGAACGAAATTCAACTGAGTGAAATGGCAGTATAGTAAAATGTTGGAAAGCGTGGCCCTAGTGCTAGAGCAGGCCAGCTGCCCAACATGGTGCCCACTGGAAGTTCTTGGACTCTAACTCCCATCACTTACAGGTCAGGGCTGATGGGGGTTGTAGTCCAAAGGGCGCCACATTGGCTACTTCTGTGCTAAAGTGTGTGATCAAGATCAGCCACTTTTCGCAAACATTTGTTTCAGTAAAGGAAGATTCTCAGCAAAGACTTTCTCTCTCCCTCATGATAGCAAAATGACCCCCATTTTTTTTGGAGTCCATGACAAAATATCCATGCCAAATCAATAGGCGTTTTCTGGCTTTGTTTGTATTTGGCCCTGTGGCTTTTAAGAGTAAGACTTTGCTTTTCCTGGAGCAAAGAAAACTTGCCACCCTTGTTACAGTATGTACGTCAGGGATGGGAAACCTGTGACTTACTAGATGCTGCTGGACTCACAACTCCCATCAGTCGCAGCCGGGATTGCCAGAGGTCAGAGGAGATGGGAGCTAGAGTCCAGCAACCTGTGGAAGGTCTCAGGTTCCCCACCCCAATATAAGTGAGCATTTCAAAATTGAAAAGTCTGCAGGAAGTGATGTGAATTTTGTGAATTTTGTACAATAAATAATTCCTATTTGTTTTGCTGCCTGCACACCCCCCTCCCATGACAAAGGGCGATTGGAAGATTTCTCAGCCTACCAGTAAACTGTTGCACTAGTTGGCAGCAGGGAGGTGAACGTGGATGGGATGGAGTCCCTCCTGGTCCTATAAGTATTTCTGGCACAAAGAAATTCATGGTCAGTTTTGTTGTGCTGTATGATCAAATCCCATTTACCGCAGGCATGCCACTTTCCAAACTGGGTTTGCATCCAGCCTCCTTAATCCATTTACCCCTTTTTAATAAGATTTCTTAGTACCTTCCTCATGAGGATACTTTATAATTTATGCATGTTTTCCTCGAGGGTTACATTAGGAATGGACGAGAGTGGTTCACAATTCTAAGTAGGTCTGCTGAATTTATTGTGCTTCTGAGAGTCAGCCTTAAACTTTTGTACTTTCTAGACTTTGTTTTCAGGTTGCCACAAGCACATAGTGTTCAAAGGCTTGGTCATGCATAAAACATAGCCAGATAAATCATTCTTGAATGTTGGTACATTACATTAGTACACTTAAGCGTGCAGAAGATTCACAGCCCGCTTGGAAGCAAGTCTGACTAAAATCAATTGGACTTAATTTTCAAATGTGTGCCTTTTAGAGATGGAAAAGCAGAATGCAGCATGTAACAATAGGGAGTTTTTCTTTGATGTAATATGGACAGTATGTCTTCTGAAGTCTCTAATGGTATTGTGCATATATCTAGTGTATGCATGCTTTGTGAAAGTTTTCATACACTAGAGATAGATTCCATAACATCTCTCCTATTCTACATTTGAATTGGATCTTTTTTGGAAGTATAAATATTGTGCTTTTAGCATAGTTGAATATATTGAGACAGCATCAATTAGCTAAAATAACTGTCGTAGAATGAAGTAGAAATGGGGCCTCTCGTGGGTTTTATGTCAGCAACACAAAGAAACATCAGAATATAGTATGAACTATTTTATTTTTAATTCATTGAAATATTTATTTCCTGATTTTTACACCAAACTCCTTCCTAGGGCACTAACCGTCTGCGACAACTTGGGACTAGAGAGGTAGTGTGGAGTATTACCCTAGATTTGTTTTGTTCATCTCAAGAAAACCTGGTAAATAAAATGAATCTTTATGCACGGAGGGCAATGTCAGATTTTAGTTCCGTGCTTGCCGCATATCCCCACACGAATTTCACCACCAATAATTGCCAAGCTTCTGGAATTTTTCCCTGGGCATCTATGTTGCATTCCTCTTTCACTGTGACATGTTGATGTTGCAGTCTGTGGGCAGATCCACACCATGCTTTTAAAGTCCATCCATCACACAATGGCAGCGTGTAACTTCCCACCAAAGAATCCTGGGAACTGTAGTTTGTTAAAGGTGCTAGGAATGGTAGCTCTGCGAGGGAAACTGCCTTTTGCCAGAGGGAAATGGCCTGACACGGAGCCACCAATTGCATTTGGCCATTCAGGCGTGGGTCACAGCATCAGAAAACTCTGAACCCTTCATCAGTGTGCCTAGAGAGGCAGAGGCATAAACCAGGCTGGGCAGTCATTTCCTGTGCAAAACCTGCCTTCAGGTCTCCTCAAAATCTTGCAGGTTTAGAGACCTTCAATTCTGCCTTGAACAATGGGCTTTTAGTGAGCTGAATTACCTAATTCATGAGAAACAGGATATTCCCTCTAAAGCTAATTATATCTCCCCCACCCATAAGGAACAATGGAAACATTCAGCGTGGGCTACTTGACCATGAAGGGCCGCAAAATTCCAAGAGAAACGTTAGACTTTTGCTGATTTCTCCTCCCCTCCCTTCATAATGATATTTTTATGGAGCAGTCCATAAGTTAAAGCTCCTTGGAGAGCAGCTGAAAATTTCGCTGGTGTATTTACCTGGGACTTTGTGCAATGTTGAAAGTCCTCAAAGCCACAGGATCATGTTCTGTGTGCTACAGACATCAGCGATGCAAGCTGTACTTAACTCTTAAACAGTGAAGTATCCAGATAACTTTTCAATGATTACAGACAGTTTGCAGTTAGTTCTTAACCCACATATTTATTCTTACCTACACAGGTGATTGACAATTGGGCAACTCTGTCTGCCTGTCAAAGTTGGTCCATGGGGGTGGGCAGGGGGGGATCTGGCCCACCAGCCAGATCACGTCCTCCCTCTAGCATGCTGGGAGCCAGAGCACTTGTGTAAAACTCAGACCCAATTCACAGCCTCATAGCTATGTTGGGCCTTCCTGCATCTTCCCCGCCATCATCCAAAGTGCCTTATTTGAATGGTACACCCATGCATAGGTGCCTAGTGACATAGGCAGTGGGACAAGAGCAGCGGGGAGTGACAGCATCCGATCTGGAGGTGTGTTTGTGATCAGAGAGAGGGGGCGGCGGGTTGTGGTGGTGGCAAATTACTTAAATTTCATTTCTCCAGTTACAGAATGACCAAAATGGGGCTTTTCGGGGTGTTCATAGGAATTATGTCAAAAATACTTAAATATAAAGAAGATGCCCAGTCTTTTCTGCTAGGTATGAAGAATCTCGTTCTGGCAACCAGGCAGGGATGTTCTTTGCACATCTGAGTAGAGTTGGTTTTCATTTTCAGACTGTTAATTGTGTTGGAAATGACTTGTGAAGGTTTTGACTAATGAAGAATGGGAATGCTAAAACTTTATCTAGCATTTGGATGGAGTATTCACATCTTTGTAAAATGTTACCTATTCGCATATTGCTAGCAGAATGTTCTGCAGATGCCAAAGAAAGTCTTTGACCAGTGCAGTATATGGCAGTCATACCAGTATCAACCTTTTTTTCTGTTGAGTTTGCTCCTGTAAAAATCCTTTTAAAACTTGGAGATAAAAGCCCCAGTCTTCATGGCATGCCAAGATCACAATGGTAACTCATAGTATTTCCTTTTCAATCCATTAATCTTTTTCTTAATACATTATTAGAAATACACATTTCTTTTAACCTTTGCAAGCATGCAGTTGTTTCCATATTAAGGCACACATCCTGAAGACCATTTTTGGACAGGTGAAGAAAAGGGATTGTAACATGTTTTAAGCATTCCTAACCAACTACTTCGTTTTTTTAATGGAGTTAGTTGTGATCTTGGGGTAGCAGATTCATTCTGGTGGTGCCCCGTTTCTCTCCCACTTTTTCCCTTGTGTTAATTCCTGCAGCCATATAGCATTGTCTCATCTTCCATTAAAACAATTAATGCTTTGTAGGAAGCCCTTGGAACCTCAGAGCGTGTGTTTGTTATGCTGTCCCCAGAGATAGCTAGTTAGCTTATTAAATGAAGTTGCAATAAGGCAGCCAAAGTGAGGAGGCAATAATGACATTAGACTGTCTTTTATCTGAAGCTGATCCATCAGTGACGACTCTTTGCTTAATAAAAGGCAGCCTGTTTGTTTTGTCATATGCTGGCAAAGTTAAATTGGGTTTAACTAAGATGAATGCACTTGCATTAAAAATGTTTAATCATTCTTGATCATAGATTGAAATAATGCAAAAAAAAAGTTACTTTACAGGATAGAAATAATGCAAAAACACTTATCTTAAATAAGCTAGAAATAGAACTAATAGCAAAAAAGCTTACCTTATGGTAAATGGTAATAAAAATCTAATTAATTAATTAATAAGCTAAGTTAGTGCAGACAAAGCTATTAATCACTAGGGTAGTGAATTAAAAATCTGTTATGAAAAAGAGCAGATAAGATATTGGTCAAAATAATGGTCAAAAAACGTGTGTGTGTGTGAGAAGGGGAATCCCTCTTTGCTGATGTCAAGCATCTTAAATTTTTATAAGTACTTTAAAAATTAAAGCTGTCTAATTAATCAGGGCACTTCGTTATGTGGTCACAAGATTAATCCTATCATTAGATTATTCCAAGTGTTGCACGTGCCCAGTTGCCGAAAGCTCCGTGGGGGAGGGGCATGTGCTCTGCATGCAAAACATAGGATCCGTCTTTTGGATTTCTAGATGGGCAAAGACTTAATATGGTGTTAGGTAGATGGACCAGTTGGTATAAGGCAGCTAAAGGGAATAATGCTACTTAATAATATCTTCTTTTTTAAATAACAACACCAGACAAACCCACTAGTGATGTTAGGTGGTGCTGGAATTGGAGCACTTACGTTTGCTTAGCTATAAACCTAATAAAGCTATCGTCTCTTCCAGTAATATTGCTCTGAACAAAGAATAACTTTATTGAGAGAATTGAGTCCCAGCAGGCAGAATTCAGTAGGAGCAATGGAAACTTAAAAAAAGGAATCACAAATGCTGTTAGCCATAAGCTTCCAGCTGTGTTCTCTTAAAAACAAAGTCACGAAGTTGCACTGAGTGGTGCCCTGTGGTGGAAGTGCAAAGTATCGCCAATGAAACTGTTAAATATCCATCATAATGAAGTGGACGAAACTGCCTCTCTCAAAACATACTGAAGTGTGTTCATCTTTTGTGGCCAGCAGTAAAAGGATAAAATTTATATCTCCAGGCTTGCAAGAGAATTTACTATTCAAGACCAGGGAGAAGGGTCGATGGAAGAAGATTGGAAAAAATTCAAAATATATCTTCAAAAATATTGCAATATAAAAGAATGTTAGAAAGAGGTTGGAAAAAGAATATTAGGTCGTTCTGGTAGATATGATATAATGGACTAAGCAAAAATGAGTTGATGAAATTGATGAAATAGAGGAGGTTTAATTACATTATTTTAATTTTAAAATACGTAAATGAAAATAAGGTTAGAAGGATTTGCTGGAAACACGATCTGAACTAGAATACAAAATCGGGAGGTGAGAGGAGGTCATGGAAATAAGTAAAGGAAAAGGCTATGTAAAGGTTTAATCTGTTTTTGTTTTATTTTAATTTAATGTATTTTTATATTTTTGTTAAGTCTTCTTTTTATTCTATCTCATTGTTCTTTTTTACTTGTTCATTTTTTGCTTTGTTATGGCTAAAGTTTTCTTTGTATTTTGTATGGTTTTTCTATTTCTTTTTTGTAACTTTAAATTTGGAATAATTTTTTTTTTTTAAAAAAAGAGAATTTACTATTCATTTCCCAAATTTCATATTCCCCTGAGCATAAACATATAACTTTGCATGCCTGTACCCGAACATATGGTACTCAGAATCTTGTGTGCTTGTTTGCAAAGCCTATGACTTGAGCATAGATGCTTTCAACTTGTAGAAACACGAGCATTAGCTAAAAAGACAAAAATGAACAAGATGGATATCGGTCATGTATGATCTAAGTGAGATTCCTGCATTGCAGGGGGTTGGACTAGAAGACCCTGAGAATCCCTTCCAACTCTACATTTCTATAATTCTATTATCCGAGTCTAATAAGACTTGTGTTTCTCATACAGGAGAAGTTGCCTAGTCCAGGATCAAATGAGGACAGTTTGTTGTCTCTAAATGCCCCAATCCCTTACATTAGGAGATGCAGTGGAAGAGTCATACTGTTTATCACTTCCTAGAATCATAGAATCATAGAGTTGGAAGAGACCACAAGGGCCATCGAGTCCAACCCCCTGCCAAGCAGGAAACACCATCAGAGCACTCCTGACATATGGTTGTCAAGCCTCTGCTTAAAGACCTCCAAAGAAGGAGACTCCACCACACTCCTTGGCAGCAAATTCCACTGTCGAACAGCTCTCACTGTCAGGAAGTTCTTCTGTTGTTTACAGTGTTGGCCTTGGCTGGTACACAGCTTCCATTTCTCCCCTCCTTGAATGCATGTACAAAGAAATCCCCCCCACCCCTTAAAATCAGTTTAATTCTTATAATTCTTCCTTCAAAGGACTTTGGGTACAGTGATTTCCCCCCTGATGTAGAACACTCATTTCTAAAGATCCTTCATCCCCATTTACAGTCCAGCAGTGCCAAGGGGTTCTTCTGGTGAAGCCATCACAGCCTTGAAAATGGATTATATTAATAGACTTCTAGTATAGACTTAAGTACAGTATCACATCAGTATACATCGTGGTTAAGGCTACTAGTCATACTTTTGCATTCCGTATACCTCTGAATGCCAGTTGCTGGAGATCTTGAGGGTGAAAGCGCTGTTGAGCTCATGTCCTACCTGTGGGCGCCTGGCTGGGAGCTCTGAGAACAGCATGTTGGACCAGGCGGGTCTTGGATCTGATGCAGCCAGGCCGCTCTTGGGTCCTTACGAATGTTGGCATATTGTATGAGTATTTGTATGAGTCTTGGGCAGTGAATCTATTAGAGGGTTTCCCCTAGTCCTGCTTTCCAGTGCTGCATTCTGAATAATGGCTCACAGGGATTTCCATCCAGCCGTGCGTTGCAGGTTGCCAACCCTTCCAAAAATGTTTCTGCTCCCTGGTACCTGCAGCACCTTCAGTGTTAGCACGCAGAAGGGTCCTTCACAGCCTCTGAGCATCCCTGCCCTCCGAAGCAACGTCGACCTAGCTGTGTACGCCATTATGGCTACATGGCATTTATAGTATCAATTATGGATGACTGAAATGAAGTGTCTTTTAACAGCAGATAGCTGAAAAGCCTTGCAGTGTATTCCTAATCTGGTGGTATTGCCTTGAGCTACACTGAGGCTTCTTTTTAAACTCAGACATTATCAGAAAGCACACCTCTGACTGCAGGCATTTAAAGATCAACAGAGGCCAAAAAAGCTTTTAAAGAGCCAATGAAACCAGGAAGGCATCCATGTTCCCTTTCAGTGTCAAGTTTGATTGCCGTCTTAGGAGTGCAGCTATTTTCAGGTACCAAGCGCTTAGTGGTTTGGGCCTTGTTGGGTGGAGAAAATGTGCCACGGAAAACATCTGTTCCTTTCACCTGCAAACCACAATGTGCTGTGAAAAAGGCAAGGCTGCAGCCACAGAAACCCAGGGGGCCGTGGAGGATCTGGCTCAAAGGAATGAGCATAAATTTGTTCTCCCCCCCCCCCGCCCTCCTCCTGAAATGCAGTATCAAAAAGAGCACTTAAAAGGAGAGGATGCTTTTAAAGCATGTGATATGCCTCAAAGTGGGCAGATCAAGTTGCTTTTCTGCTTGGGTGTTCTTGCACTTAAAAAACACACGTCATTTTCATATCTCCACAGCAGTGTTTTTCATCTCAGCATCGTGCAGTATCTCTCAGCATCTTACATTTATGTTGCTGAAAAATTGTAGAATTAACTCTGTTTTCCTACTGGAAAATAATGTTTTTCAAGGAAGCTAAAGGGCTAATCTCTCCAAAAACTGCCCTCTGCAAAGGTTCCACAGAAAAGAGAAAAAAGTTGGCATAGAAATCCAAATTCCATGAAGCTTTGCACCTCCCCCCATTCAATATATGGGGAAATAAAAACATCTGTAACTTTTCCTTTTCATAGAATTGGATGACATTTGCAGGCATTGTAGCCCTCCTGAATGAAGAAGGCCTGCCAAATGATAAGGGAACAGATGTGTATTTGTGCTGGTCACCGTTTCCATTTTGATTCCCATGCCCCTCCAAAAATGGAATCATCTATACGTAACTTGTTTTCTTTTTGGCAGAACTGGATTAAGCTTGCAGGGAGCCCCTTAGAAGAGCTTGAATGCTGCCACATGGAAGGATGGCTGTCGTGCTTTTCCTATAAGGGCAATCTTTACAGTTTGGCTGTCATTAAAAAGGGATTCACTTAATTTGTAGGCAATTTATATGGATGTAGCATAGAAGAGAGAGGTGCCCCTAGGGAAACAGCCAAATTACAGAGAAATAGGATCAGGGTTTCTTTTTTTCCAAATTTTTTTTCAAAGTTTCAAAAAAAACCAATTTTTTACACATACACACACGTTTACATTAAACCATAATCCATATCAGTACATTTATGGGGTTCCCTGAACCCCTGGACTTCCCCCCACCCCTCCCTTGGCTTCCAGAATTTAACTTCCTTTTTTACTGCATCTAATTACATTTATCTAAATTATTACACTTCAGTTTTATCCTTTGTTGTTTTAAATTACAAGTGCTATGTCAATCCTGTTAACATCTTTAAATGTTTACAGTGTTATTTAATATATTCTACAAAGTTATGCCATTCTTTGTTGAATTTCTTATCCTCTTGGTGCCTGATCTTCCCGGTCAGCCTTGCCATCTCCGCATAGTCCATCATCTTCATTATCCATTCTTCTTTCGATGGGGCTCTTTCTTCTTTCCATCCCTGGGCAAATAACATTCTTGCCGCTGTCGTTGCATACATTAACAGTAGTTTCTTAGCCTTCGGTAATTCTTCTATTATACCTAATAAGAAGGCCTCTGTTTTTTAAACAAAAATTATTTTAAACTTAATGTACCCTCTTTAGCTTTACACTTCCGACATTTGTTGGTTGAATTCTTATACATTTTCGCTAGTCTTGTAGGAGTCAAATACCATCGGTACATCATTTCCATATAATTCTCCTTTAACATATAGCAGGCTGTAAATTTTAAATCCTCATTTCACAACTTCTTCCATGAAGCAAGTTGTATATTATATCCCACATCTTTTGCCCAATGTATCATTACAGATTTTACTTCCTCATCTTTTGTTTCCCATTCCAGCAAATTTTTACATTTTCAACAGAACCTTATCATTGTTTCCCAACAGTTCTTTCTGTAACCTCGAAAAATTCTTTACCAGAACCGTCTCCTTTATCCACCCTAAAGATGTCATTTACCGTATTTTTCAATGTATAAGACGATGCTTTTGGCTAAAAAAAAAAAAATAGGCAAAAATTGGGTGTCGTCTTATACATGGATAGTGAGTGCAGAGGGGGCACGTGTGATTAATGGCAGCAGCAAGCAGGAGATTGGCAGCGGTGATTGGGCGGGTGATTGGTGGCTGCGGCAAGGCCTGCTGGTGATTGGCTGCAGCTGTGGCAATTGGGCAGGCGATTGGCGGCTGTGGCAAGTGGGTGGGTGGGCTGTTGGTGGCTGCGAGCGGGCAGACAATTGGCGGCTGAAGCAAGGTGTGCAATTGGCAGTGGCTGTGGCAAGCGATAAGCAGTGGTAGGCAGGCGGGTGAGCAGTTGGCGGAAGTGACCCCCCCCCCCAAAAGCTAAACAACTTAATTTCTTAATTTTGGGTTAAAAAAAATAGGGGTCGTCTTATACATGGGGGCGTCTTATACACGGAAAAATACAATAATTGGTGATGTTGTAGCCAGTCAGTTAGCAGATGTCTTATGTCTTCAAACTTGGTAAATTTTAATTGGTTTTCCTCCTCGGTTAAGAACTCTATATACGTTGCTCATTCTTTTTCCACATTTATTTTTTTGACTGACAACATTTCTAATGGTGATAACCACCATGGAGTTTTATTCCCTAATAAGTTCTTATATTTTTCTCAAACAGCATAAATTGATTTTCTAACAATACAGTTTAGAAATCCTTATGAACTTTCGATTTTCCATACCAGAAATATGCATGCCACCCAAATCTATTAGCATGGCCTTCCAGATCTAAAATAATCTGGATTCCTCAAAGTCATCCATTCTCATAGCCAGCAAAGACAAGACATCTCAATATAATTTTAAATCCGGAAGGGCGAATCCACCTCTTTCTTTAGCATCTGTTAGTAACTTATACTTAATCCTAGACTTCTTCCCCTGCCAAATAAATTTAGATAGATCTCTTTGCCATTGTTTGAAGTGTCCTGTTCCGTTGACTATCGGTATAGATTGAAATAAAAATAACATTCTTGGCAATACATTCATTTTTATTACCGAGATTCTTCCCCATAACGATAATATCATTCTTCCCTATATTTCCATATATATTTCTCTTAATATCATTCCAAACCTTTATATAATTATCTTTAAATATGTTTATATTTTTTGTTGTCAACCATACCCCTAGATATTTCACCTTCTTTTCTATCCCCAGCTCTGTTATCTGTCTCAACTAATTTTTCTTCTGTTCTGTCATATTTTTTACCACCAGTGCTTTTACCACCAGTTTCTTGTGCTGGGCACCTTTGAAGGTCACAGATAGGGAGTAGGGCTGGGCGATGTTAGGCTTTCAACATGGCGATGTATCACCAGCCAAACGTTGCAAGGTTGAAACGAGCTGCATTGGCCCCGTGAGGCGCAGGTGAAGAAATTGCTGCAGCTCTTGCCATGGCAGCTGAGGCGCTTTCACCCCAGTGCCTCGGGGGGGGGGGGACAGTGCAGCTGCTCAGCTGAGGGGCAGAAATTCTCCCACTCCCCCAGCTGAGCGAGCCCAATGTCTTCATTGAGGGGCAGGCAGCCACGCACCCCTGAACAGAGGTTTAAAGGAGCCCCCACTCCAGCCCCAGCTCACTCAAGCCATAGGCAAAGTCGGGGCGCTGTTACACTTGAGGAAGCCCTGTGAATGCTCCGTTGGCAGGGCTCCCTCAGTCTTTGGGGAGTTGGGGGGCAAGCAAGCTGCCTCTGTAGCTTGTTTTTCCCTCGCTCGCTGTGCACCGGTGGCAGAGGGACTCAGCCGTTTCACCCACAATATACCACCAGGTGAAACTGCCATCGCAGTCTGACCCTCATACCAGTATCGATGCATCACCCAGGCCTAATCGGGAGAATTAAAAGGGATTTGCTTCCTTCCCTGTGGGTTTGGGAGGTGATGAATTTGGTATGAAAATGGCACATATTGGACAGGTGCCCCTGGGAAAGTAACCAGCATAATTTCAGAAGCGTGGGTGTAGGAGCTGGGGTGCTATGATGAATGAAGAGTTATTCTTGTGTTCTGCTCAGTTGGCACCAAAAATTGTGGCCCAGAAGCAGAAGGATTTGCATGTTCGGCATTTTCCAAGGCAGCAGTACTAGCACAACTAGCACAGAGAACGGAACAGACAAGAGCAAGGTGGTGCATTATTGTCAGTTCAGCATCCTTCTTCAAAACACAGTGATTGTAGAAGTCTGATAAAACATTCCCTCTGATTTGACCTGTCAATCATGCAAATGCTCCCCCTCACGCACTGTTTTATTTTCCTCCTTTGTCAAGAAATATTGTTTTGAAGCTGTTTCTCTCGTACACATCTTGCATGGAAGTAATCCTTGTAGTCGAATAGATGCTCACCACCATGTTTGGCACAAGTACTCTTTTGTGTCATATTTCACACATGATTTGTGCCTTTCTGCTCTCTTTTTTTCTTTTTCTTTTGGATAACCAAGTATAGCCCTCAAACATCACATGAGGAACTCACAATTTGGTGTTTTGAAAATGCTGTGTGAAATAGGATTCTGAGTTTCTTCCCATAATGGCATTATGGGTCCATGTGCTGGAGAACTTAATCTAGGACATGATTGGAATTTTTCTGTTGACATTTCCCCCATTTACATTCACAGAGACCATGGTCAAAGACGATATGAACAACTACATCAGTCAGTACTACAATGAGCCCAGTAGTGGTAAGTTTGAATTCTATAAACTAAACAGGCTTGCTGCCATTTCTTAGCAAGTGAGCCAGAGTCAGACCACTGGTCTGTCTGGCTCAGCATTGTTGACGCTGAGAGGTTGGGGGCTCTCCGGGATTTCAGTCTCCCCCAGTGCTTGCTCAATCAGACTTGCTGCCTGCAGAGCAGATGTCCCAGCACTGTGATGTGGTAACTGATGCTGAAGCAGGTTTCAGGTGAATAAGGCTCCAGTGAGAGGCTTAATTCTAAAACTAGACTCTGTCTCCCTTGAGCTGACCTCAGAAGGGCATCACCTGACGTCACCACACAGAATGAGGCAGGTAGCCAAGGGAAAGCGTTCCACATGTTGGCTTCCTACAGTGGTACCTCAGAAGTCGAACGGAATCCATTCCAGAAGTCTGTTCAACTTCCAAAACGTTCGGAAACCAAGGGCAACTTCCGATTCCAAAGAATGTTCGCAAACCGGAACACTCACTTCCGGGTTTGCAGCGTTCAGGAGCTAAAGCATTCGACTTGCAAGGCGTCTGCAACCCAAAGTACGTCTGTATTCTGTGACTGGCCCCTGGAAACTGCAAACTGCTCTTCTTTAAGCCCTGCTGCCGAATCTATTTCTCCTTCTCCTCCCTTCCGGTAGAAACATTCATGTCTGCCCATATTGGGAATGGGAATATGTTAATCAGCTCCCATCAGCCTCAGTCAATATGGCCAGTGGTGGGAATTGGAGTCCTAACTAGTAAAGTGCCACTGAGCAAGCTGTCTGATTCCAGCAGATCTTGCAACCAACTTGACCCAACTGCCCACCCACCTTTCTGTCTAGCAGCTTGGAAGAACAGAAGCCCCGTTAAAATCTGCGCCTCCCTGTGCAATCCACTCTGTTGTATTGGCATAGGAAGGTTTCATACCATGTTGAACCTTTCATCTTCCAGCACATCCTTACGGATGCCCTTTAAACATCTGGTAGCAATTATTATTCAAGGGCTTCAATATTACTGATTTTTTTGTTTTTATATTGTTGTAAACTGCTGTGATATATATTTATGATAAAGCATTATATAAATATTTTTCTAAAGTAATTAATTAAATAATTAAAGCTTCATTTTGGTGACTGCTGGCCATTAGTAGTTTCTTACTCTTTGTTTGCAAATATATTTGTGGGGGCGGGAGACCCAGCAACGTGATTCCACACCCAGACGTGCAAGTCTGTTCTCCATGGAAATCAGTGGAGGCGGTATAATTCTGATTCCTTTCCATGGGGCTTGCAAGGGAAGCTTCCTAGTGTGTCGGAAGCTGACTTACACTTAGTCAGACCATTGGTCCCTGTAGCTCCCTCTTGTGTATCCTGACTAGCAGCGACTCGCTAGGGTTCAAGACTGAGGACACTTACAGCTCTCCTTGGAGATGACAGGATTTGAATCCAAGACCTTCTGCATGCGGAGTAGATGCTCTACCAGTGAACTATGATCCTTCCAGCTTGTTTCTGCCCTGGGCTTCTGGAAGCCTTTAGGCTGGACAGCAGGAGGCCTCCCTTGGAAGCCAACAGTAATGTTTTAAGATTCAGGTGTACTTTGAGGTCTAAATATTTTATTTTTCCATCTCAAATGGAAACGAGGGGAAGCAGCTCCCCCATGGGGAGGAAATGGATGTCCTTCTAAAGGGGTTAAGCTGAATGAGTGAAGGATAAAACTATTTGACCCTAGAGAAGACCAGTGTTAGTCTAGTGGTCACTGGGTCGTGCTTGAAATGGATTTCATTCTGAAACCGCCACACCACTTCATGCACACATAACACTTTATTCATGTTATTAAAAAGTAGAAAGCATATATTCGAAACAGCTTTCCTGATTTGTGGAGCGGGAGTTGGGTGGAACTCCATTTTTAAAAAGCAGAATTTTTAATTTGCAAATTAACATCATAAATACATTTTATTTTACCCTAAATAATAATATATTTTAACAGGCACCTGCACCTATACCTCACAAATGCAGGGCACGGATGCAAGCTACGGAAAAGTTGAGGTGTCTTTTGTGTGTTTTTATTATACTTGGTATCAGATGGAAGGAACCTATAAATCTTGCAACCAAAACCCTCAGATTCTGTTAACTGTGTAAATTAAGAAAGTAAGAGGCAGCCCTCACAGTCACACTCGCCTCTTTGCCAGGACTTTGCTGATCCAAAAATCCCCCCCCCCCCATGTGTAACAACCTGCCTGTGTTTTGAGGTCTCCAGGGCAAGCTCTTGTGCTGAGGTCCTGCTTGCGGCTCCCCATGAGCCGAGGAGGCTGGACTCCCTGCGCCAGTGGCCTGGGTCCAGCCAGGATTTCAGCCAACATTTTATGTAGCTCTTTATAGTAAAAAAATCTCTTTAAGTGGTTTACATGTAAATTTTTAAAAACGTTGTCCTAAAAACTAAAGCAGTGTACAAAATAGAAAATTAAAATGCTAAGAGTTTGAGTTCAGAAAAGCCTGGGCAAACATTTAGGTTTTTAAGAGGTGTTTAAAAGTCATTACTTTAGGAATGGCTGTTTATTGTTTACTGCCCTGATACCTTTTGATGAGGGGTGATTCATAAATATCTTAATACATATAAATAAATAAATTTATAAATCATCCTAATAAAGAAGTGATAACATGTGACTTTTACCTGTTTGTATCTCTGTGAAATCTGCAATTCCAAAAACAACTTCCAAGTTTCACAGATCTTCCCTTAGTGGGTCGTGCAGATGCGCTATTCTGAATAGTGCTTTTTGTAGCATAGAGTTAGGGGCAGTGGGGTGAGTTTGGAGAACCACCACAGGAGGGGGGGGCAGGTGGCCTGAATAAGTTTGAAAGCTGCTGCTGTAACACTTTCCCCCTTCTGCTGTGTGCCTGTAGACAGTGGTGTTCCAGAAGGAGCCATCTGTGTCATTACGACGGCTGCGATTGATGTGCACCACCCCAACATCTCCTCCGACCTCTTCACAGTGGACGTGCCCATGAAGATTATGGGGAGCAACGGGACTTCCGCCAGCGTTGCCTCAGGCAGTGCCTCCAGGTCCACAGACAGCTCCGTCACCCGAGCCCAGAGTGACAGCAGCCAGACCTTTGGCTCTTCCACGGACTGCAGTACAACCCGGGAGGAGTCCTCTGAGTATTGCCCCTTGGAGAGGGCTTGCCATGTAGCCAAACGTGATCAGGTAGATTCTTCTTCCACCCACAGCAGAGTCAACAATGCCGTGGTGCAAGAACTGCTGTCATCCTTGTCTGACGATTCCTGCTTGACACAAAAAGGACTGGATCCGGTCAACCTTAAACTGCCAAGCCCATCAGGGTCTACCAAAGCCAGCCCAGAACTGGAGCACCGGGTGAACATTTACAACAGGAAGAACCAAGAAAGCTTTGGTATGTTTCAGATAAAGCCGGTAATCCACTTTCAGCAGAATACGCCTGTGATCGACAAGTATACGCCTTTGGAATCCAAAGAGCAAAAGTTAAACAGGGTCCCAGATTCATAGTCCTTTTGCTGCCATTGGGGTTATAAAAAAATAAAGGAGATGCTTTGCAAGGGAGACATACTAAAGCTTTAAATGGGGCTGCCGGAACCAACCCCCGGGTGGGTATTTTGCAGGATCGGAATGAGTTAAATATTCTTTTAAATAGGAAAAAAAATGCATGAGTTGTGAGAGAGCCAGCACGGAAAATTTGACATTTCTACCACCTGAAGTTGAAGGGATGGGGGCAGAGACCCATCATGTTAAAACAATGACCTCAAAGATGTATAGATTCTTAATGCGTTTTTTTTAAAGAAGCAGACACAAATCACACAGTTTTTAAGGAATTCTGGACAATCTTCTATCAGGTCAGGTTTCAGCAGGGTATATGATACAAGTGGATGTAAACTTCTCTCCTCCTCTTTCTTACAATCTCCCTTTATATGTGACAACTGCAAACCCCTTTGTATAAAGATGGCAAATATTTTTGTTCTTCCTGAGGAGAAAACAAAAACATTTTTCAGGGAGTACTTTGAATGATGCAGATCAAAGAAATTTTAAAAAAGTGATCTTTTTATTTTTAGCATGAACTTTGGGAAGAAAATATTTTGACAAAATTAAAAGTTGTCGTCTCCAAGACAACAGAGTAAAAAATGGACATTTTACAAATATGGTTTTAATTAAAAAGAATTTTTTTATATTAAAAAATCCTAAATGCATGATGCTTCATTTTTTAAAAAATACTTTAAGCCTACTTTGGTGTGATATGTAGTGGGGTGTGTGGGTGTTGTTTTTTTGTTTTTTAAAGTAGCCGAAAGCAGCGGTGGCTCCCCTGTGGCCCTCACATGATCCTGGGCTACAGTTCCATCATCCCTGCCCCTTGGCCACGCTGCCTGGGCGGAGGGGAGTTTTCTCCCACATCAGCATCTAAAGAGCCACAGGTTGGCCCCTCCTGCGCTACAGCAGGCAATGTCATTTCATGTTAGACATTTGTTTAGCTCTCCTTTCTACATTAGGGGGTGGGGCCTTTTCAGACCGTTTGATGTGGCTTATTCTCATGGAGGGAGGAGTGGTAGCCATGCGAATCTTATGCCTATCCTGTCATGTCTTGGAGGAGAGATCTATCAGCGAGTATTGGCCATGGCTCCTTACTCCCAAGTTCAGAAGTGGTGGGTGCTGACATGACAGAACCAAAATGGGGCCACTGAGCAACAATAGGATTGGTATCTGCATGCTGAGGGTAATCCAGAAATTTGCAGAAATACAGCAATTTTTATTTTTTTAAAGGAGAGAGGGATAACAAAGAAAAAACCCAAACTTCCCAATAAGGAATGCTCAGAAGCCACAGACAGTTGAGTGCTACTTAGAAAAGAAAAATGGAGGCTGGAAGGAATAACTGGGAGGGGGGCATTGCTGGCTAGAACCCTGAACTGGAGCACTCCTATTGAAAGGCAACGATACACCACCACATTTTGTTGCAGGCCCCATTTTTTCCGAATTCCTGCACAGGGATGGCTGGGGGGCAAGAGTGGGGCAGGGTTGTCCCCCTTCCCAGGTGCTTCTGGCTGTCCTGTTGGAAACAGGAAGCTTGAAAGTGAATGCTTGGTCTGATCCAAGGGCACCCTTCTTACGGTGAGAATGTGAACAATTTGTTTTCAAAATATTGGTAGATAAGGAATTATACCCACTTACTCCAGATAGTTACCAAGCCTATGAAGACTACCTAGCTGCTTTTCCCTCTAAATAACACATGGCTAGAAGGATTGATTCCTCTTCTTACAAGGGCAGTAGTATTTGTTTTCTTGGTCTGAAGGTAGATGAGGCCACCAGCTTGCTGAAGCTAAGTCTGTTCTGTGTCTGGATGGCAGCTGTCTCCTTGTGCATTTCTGACACTGTATTTTCAAAATCATTTCATGTGGGTGACCTGCAGATCTCCCACTCATTTCTTTGACCTTTACGTAAACTTCCACAATTGATTGTGTACTATTTGTTTGGGGTGTGTGTGTGAAAAGGGCTTTGCATCTTCTACTTAAGGAACCAAGATGAACCAATATAGGAAAATAGGAAACTATCATAAGTCTACCAAGCTCAGCATTTTCCATACTGAATAGAAGCAGCTCTTTGGGGCTTCAAACGGGGACAATTCCAGATCAGCAAGGATATTGAGCCGACTTGTGCTTCACCACCTCGCACAGAAAGTATGTGATACCCGCAGCTGAATCTAATGGTATTTGCTGTATCTTTGCCTGGAGGTACAAAGTGGTCGTAACTTTGATGGCGGTTATCCCCTTCCTGTGCAAGTGTAGCAGCTCCTTGATAAGACAGATGCTATTTTGAAGATGGGAGTTGCACATGAAGCTGAGAGGTCTTGAGCAAGTCAAAAGCTAGACCGGCAGATGGGCTCAGAGGCTCAGCAGCTGGAGGCAGTATCTGGCAATGCTCCAGTCTGTCCCCTATGGCGGTTATTATTTTTAATACTTCTGTAAAGCAGCTAAAAGGGATCCTGCTTTTCCAGTCACATCAGGACACCAGTAGCTTGTTTTTATGCTGTTGACAGTGATCTGTGCTTAGCATTAGGATGTGCTGAAGTGTGAGTTGGGCTGGGGCTTGCGTGAAGATGGAGGCTGGGGCAAAGCTAGAGCTATCTCTGCTCCTTTGTTATGCTGGAGGACGCAGGTGGTTTTTTGCCAGTTTTTATGAGGAAAAAAATCTGTTCATGCTGGATTCACACAGGAAAAATCTGATTCCTGTGGCTCTTTTGTAAATTACTGTAAATTCCACATACTGTTGTTGTTTTTACAAAACGGACACAAAACGGAAATACACAAAAATCAGTTACTATAAACACAAATCAATAAAAACTTTTTAAAAACAAGCAAATGAAAGACGCAGCAGATCATGCACCACCAAAAGAGGCCACAAATACTAAGAAAAACCCTTCAAACTAAGGGCGAAAAGTCTGGGTAAAAAGGAAAGTTCCTACTTTGCACCTAAAGCAAAATGAAGATGGGCTAGGTGAGCTCTGGAGGGAGCATTCCACAGGCAGGGAGCCAGCGGGGAGAAAAGGTCCATACTTGTGTTGCCACCCTCCAGACCTTCTGAGAATGACCATGCAGAAGGGCCTCAGATGACCCGTACAGGGTCCAGGCTGGTTTGCGTGGCTAGAAGCGACCCTTGAGGTATAGGTCAAAACCAGCACTTTAAATTCATCCCCGAAATGATGCAGTGCAGTCAGGCCAGGATTAGTGAGCAACCTCCTGTCAAAATTCTGCATCAGCTGCAGTTTCCAAGTCATCTTCAACACATTGCTGTAATCTAACCTAGAGGTTACCAGAGCATAGACAACAGAAGTTAGGTTAATCCCTGTCCAGATAGGGGTGTAGATGCCCACCAACCAAAGGCCACGAGCCTCAAGTGATAGTGATTGACCCAGCAGCACACCCTTAGCTACACATCTGCTCCTTCAGAAGGACTTGCAGGCCACATCCCATCCATGCAGTCAAAATAAATTAAAAAATTGTCCAGTAGCACCTTAGAGACCAACTAAGTTTGTTCTGGGTATAAGCTTTCGTGTGTACGGCTACCTACCTGAATCCATCCATGCAATTTAGGGAACCACCCACTGACAGTTCCTCTGCATTTTCTGGATTAAGCTTCAATTTATTAGCTCTCATCCAGTTGAAGACAGACAGGGGACTGCCATTATAAAGGCAGAAAATTCTAAAGAGAGAAGAGAATCATTTTTTCTCCCTTTTAATTTTCAGCTGATGTCTCATGAAGCTGGAAGGAGTTGCTGATATAAACTGGCTGAACACAGATGGAGCATTATATAGCTTTCTATACAGTGGAACCTCCTTGCACAATATCAATGATTCCTTTCATAGCTCACCTACACATTCTGTAACTAAATGCCTCCAATAGCCTACCAGGGAATATTCCTATCTAGCTCCTAGTGGCTTGAATCATTTATCACAGCCAGATACAACTTTGCAGGACCAACACCATTTATTGCAAACCATTCACAAGCTTCCTTTGGGCCTACATGATTGTTTTGTCTGACTCCTTTTTGCTTCTTGTCTCTTTCAACTTTGTGGTTTCTTTATCTTCTGAAGCCTAACCACCACAGACAGGCTGTCTCTAAGGCTTCTGTTCTGGTTATAGCAGCTAACCATCCTCCCCCCACCCCCCACCTCCGTGTTATGTTGGCTGTCTAATCACGTCACAATCAGATTAGATCTGCTAATAGGGTGGAAGTCACAACTCCCAGGATAGGCACCAGATCTGCCCAACTGTCATCTATTTATTAAAGATGCAGATCATGACAGAGCAGGAGATAGGAGCCCAAGGTAAAATAAAACCGAGTGACCATGCAGGCTTGGTGGAGAGGAAAACCAAGGTGACAACATGCTATCCACAGGTTAAGGTTTTTCCCAAGGGCCGACAACAGACCTCTGGGCCTGCAATCCACAGCCTATTGTTAAAGCAGCTGCTGTATTGCGAGATGCACTATTTTAAGGAAGCTAGTGGCTCTAGTGATATTTTATTAAAGGAACCAGGGGAGGCCTATCACTATAAATAAATAAATAAAGCACACACAGTGGTACCTCGGGTTACAGACGCTTCAGGTTACAGACTCCGCTAACCCAGAAATAGTACCTCAGGTTAAGAACTTTGCTTCAGGATGAGAACAGAAATCTTATGGTGGCAGCGGGAGGCCCTATTAGCTAAAGTGGTACCTCAGGTTAAGAACAGTTTCAGGTTAAGAACAGACCTCCAGAACGAATTAAGTTCTTAACCCGAGGTACCACTGTATATATTCTAATTTTTCCAAGTGTTAAGAGCTTCTGTTTCAACAATTGTTGCATTTCCAAACAATATTTGAAGATTAGCAGCTAAGTCTTAGAATTCTAACTACACTGAAAATGCACACAAAGAATGGTGTGAACAAAGCAAATAAACCCAAATGGTGATTTGACTGTACCAGTGCATGCAAGTATATTGTGGTAAATAATTCTAGCTCTTCCCTTCCCCCACCCCCAAAAGGCCCAAATTCAAGAACTGTAAGACATATTGTTTAGAAAGGTAGATTCAACATGCCATGTATATCATAAACAGTCATATCTTCAAACTTATTGGGGGAGGGAACCAGGAGCAAAATCCATTCTGGAAGTGGAAGCTACCTTCGTCTTTAATCTGTTTAGTCTCACGTGCTAGAACTGCAGGACAGTGCAAAATCTGTCTGCATAATTTGTACATTTTGACACAATATAATGTTTTATTATAATCAGTGCATGCAACAAAATGCATTCGCCAAACAAGGTTTCTACATTCTGCTTACACAGGAAATCCCAAAGGGTTACCAACATTAATGTCATTTTAAGACTCGGGTTTGCTCATGTTTTTATGTGTTCAGTCCTTGCCCACTGAACAACCAACAGTTGGTTAGTTGTTCCAGGTTTATGGTTATGAATGAATACAATTATGTTAGTGATCTTACCTTTGTAGTACAGCGATTAAAGCAGACACCCAATGTAAGAGAAGATGGCGCAAGAGGAACTAAGCACGGATCAGTATATTTCAGGGCATAGTAGATACATGTCAAGGCATGGGGAAAAGTGCCAAGTGGGTCCTGCAGGGTTCCCATCCTGGGCCCACTGCTGTCCGACATTTTTATAAACTACTTGGATGAAGGAATTGAGATGCATTCACTTTGCAGATGACACCAAACTGGGAAGGGTAGATAAATATTGCAGAAGACAGAATCAGGATTCAAAATTACCTTAACAGATTGGCAAACTGGGCACAAACCAACAAAATGAATTTCAATAGGGAGAAATGTAATGTTCTGCACTTGGGCAGGAAGAAGCAAATTCACAAATAACGCACTTTTCCGTGTATAAACACCCCCCCCCCATGTATAACACACACACCCCTATTTTGTGGGATTAAAAAGTAAGAAAATGGGTGGAGATTGCCCAGTTGTTGAGCTTTTTTGGGGGGAGGATTGTCGAAAATCACTCACCTGCCTGGCCGACACTTAACACTCGTGCGCGTCGCAACAGGCTCCAAACGTCGTCCCCTCAACGGCAGAAGCAGCCTATTGCCCACCCAGTTGCCGCAGCAACTTCCAATCAACACCACCCCTTGCTGCAGACACCAACAGCACGCTGCAGAACATCTCCGACTTGCATCAATCAATCCCATGCCACCCCTAGCCACTAACCATGTATAAATGACCCCAGATTTTAAACATAATTTTTCTGTTAAAAAACCTAGTCTTATACACAGAAAAGTACAGTATATGAAGGGGGACACCTGGCTTGCCAGCAGTACATATGAAAAGGATCATGGGGGCTTGGTGGACCACAAGCCTAACATGGATCAACAGTGTGATGCAGCAGCTAAAAAAGCTAATGCTATTCTAGGCTGCATCAACAGAAGTCTACTGTCTAGATCAAGGGAAGTAAGATGTCCCACTCTATTCTGCCTTGGTCAGAACATGCCTGGAGTCCAGTGCCCAGTTCTGGGCACCACAATTTAGGAAGGATGTTGACAAGCTGGAACGTGTGCAGAGGAGGGCAACCAAGATGATCAAGGGTCTGGAAACCAATCCGCATGAGGAGTGGTTGATGGTGCTGGGTATGTTTAGCCATACCCAGATATGATAGCCATCTTCAAATATCTCAAGTGCTGTAACATGAAAGATGGAACAAGCTTGTTTTCTTCTGCTCTGGAGGGCAGGACTTGGCTTCAAATTACAAGAAAGGAGATTCCGACTAAACATCAGGAAGAACTTTCTGAGGGTAAGAGCTATTCGACAGTGAAACAGTCTTCTTTGGGAGGTTTTTAAGCAGAGGTTGGATGGCCGTCTGTCATGGATGCGTTAGTTGAGATTCCTGCATTGCAGGTAGCTGGACTAATGACCCTCTAGGTCCCATCCAACTCTGATTCTATGATTCATGGGGATTCCTCTTCACATAAATACAACACAAAATGTATCTGATGCATATTTTATTACAGAATTAGAAAATCTTCATCAAATAGCTTGTAGTCAAATGGGAACTAAAAAGGCCAAAAAAAAAAAGTATATTACAAGGCATTCAGATATCACCTAGAACATACAATTTTGGCAACAGATCACCAGTTATTACATTTTTAGTTTCATTTAAAAATAATTGTTTAAAATGATCATTTCAAAGCTGGTCACATTCATTTCTGCCCAAATACTTGAGGTTTTCACTTTTTCAATGCCGCTGTCAATTCAGGAACAACCTGAAAAAGCCATAAAAGCAGCTAAATTTAAATATGCAAAGAACTGGAACATCTTAGAAGTGTTATGAAAGCTTAAGAAACATGTTTAAGCAGCTAAACTTAAGTACATTTGGATGATCTTAAAAACAAACAAATCAGCATGTGTTGACCAACAGCAAGCACAAAGTTTACATGATATTCAAGGTATTGTATGCTTGTTCTGCCCGTCACAGATGCAAAAGGTGTATGGCTGCTGATTGCGATGCTCAAGATCAGCAGGATGACTGAACATGAAGACTTCTGCACTGAGCTCTAAAGCCTGTCCCAGCTGCAGCCAAGAAAAAAAACCCTTTAGAGCAGGTTGCTAAATCCAGACTCACCTAGTGGCAGTGAGAGTGGCTACTGGGCAGAGATGATGGGAGCAGTAACTGGACAACAACTGGAAGGCCACAGGCTCCCCACTCCCTGCTTTAGCATGCAATGCTGAAGTCTTTGTATTAAAAAAGCCAACAAATTACGGCATAGCCAAACTTTCATTTCAGCTGATTTATAAAGCTCAGAACTGTTGCTGTAGAATGTTGTAACAATTTTATGTGAAAAACAGAGTTCTGGTTTTATTTCTCTAGTTTTGAGAAGCCAAAGAAGCACTAAGCAAGCAGTCCACTTTATTTCAAATGCAACTTTGTGGTGGGATGTGCAAAATCAGGCCATGAAGGCAGACAGAAGAGCTCATTTAACTAAGCCGGTGTTTCAGAGGGACAGGTGCCAGGCCCTTGGCATCTGCAGCAGACCTGTCACTTAACTGAGCTCTGCCCATGCTGCACGGTGATTCTTACTAGTCTTCTGAAGAGCAGCAATCCATGAAAACAGGTGGTGGATGGGCCTACTGACTACACCTGAAATGCTACCTAGTAAATATCAGTTACCTTCTCTTTCCAGGGGCGGTAGGATGCCCTCACTCAGCAAGATCCCAGCTGATGAATAAAGCCTCTCAATTATTTAAGAGATCTACATTTCCATTAGGTGGAAATAATGTGGTCGTACAAAATTTATTAAGGAAATTGTCTACATGTTGTTTCTTCCGAATGTCACTTTGTCTCCAGCTTATTAAAAGGCCCATGTTTACTGCCAAGACGACAGGCATTAGTTCAGGAATAGCATTAAGTGCTGGCAGGGTTTCTGCCGCCGCCTCTCCTCCATCCATATACCACCAGGCACCCATGCCAGGGGCACAGATTACATGCTAGGAGAACCCCAAAGGGGGAGGAGAGAAAAAGACTGAGACGGCAAGCGGCCGTTTCAGCAGCACAAGTAAGCATTTTCAAACACAAAATATAAGATGGCATGAAATAAATGTCAGCACTGTTTTGTTCTGGGAAATTCACACTCTTGTCACTTGACATAACAAACTAAGCCAATCTTAGATTTGGTGTAAGCCATTTCACTCTTCCTTATATATTAGTGTTTACTTTAGTAACATTCTGTAATGGGTGAAGCCAACTGATTAAGATTTAGGAAGACATAACATAGATTGTAAAAAAAATAAAAATGAATGTGATCCACTGAGGCCTAGCATGATATGGGGTTGACCCAATGGGAGTCCTTTGCTTTCCTTACTACTGGAGATGAATTTAGACACCAAGGCACATACCAAACGGAAGCTTCCAGTTTTTGTTATTAACATGTTTGTTATTAACAGAAACCAGAGCACACAGAAATGCTGTTTACCTTCCCGCCGCAGTGGTACCTATTTAGCTACTCGTGCTGGTGTGCTTTCAAAGTGCTAGGTTGGCAGGAGCTGGGACAGAGCAATGGGAGCTCACCCTGTCATGGGGATTCGAACCGCCAACCTTACAATTGGCAAACCCAAGAGGCTCAGTGGTTAAGACCACAGCGCCACCCGCCCAATAATCTAGCCTGATATGGCCCTTCCAGGAGCACATTTAAGAACTAAAGAGGTGGAATTGTTTAACAGAGGGACGAGCCATCACATAGAGACAAAGCCTTAAGATACCTGACTGCCGATTATAGGAGCTGACTCCTATGGGCCGAGGTCCCTTTGGCCCCCCCCAAAAATATTTGAGAGGGCCAGAAACACCCCCCCCAAAATTGATGGACACTGCCACTCAAATGATGTGCTTATGCTGCATCTTGTGATCGATTGGGGTGGGATTTACCTGTGCCCCCCCATATTTTATTCAAGACTGCACCCTTGCTGCCCGTTCCTTCACTGCCACAGTTGCCAAAGAGATTTTGACACTTTTCTCAATTATTGAGGTGGGGTAGCACAATATAGATCCAGGTAAAACAGGTGCCAGTGGAATTTATGTGGTCGGGGCAATAGTGCCAGAAATAATACATACCCTCTGTTTCCAAAGTGCCACATTTGCCCAGTCTAGGGGTGTGGACCTTTTTTGGCTCTGGTTTATCTTGCCTCACCCAACAGGCCAACTTTGACGGGTGGTCAGGGCAACCCACTTGTCAGATACATGATGTCACATGATTTATCATCATCATCATCATCATCATCATCAAGTGAGTTGTCCCACCCACCTGTCAAAATCGCTTGCCCTGCAATCAGAGATTAAAAGGAGTGTGGGAGTGCCTGGGAAACATTTTGCAGTGTTCCTTGAAGCAGCCTTTTCTCCCACTTCCTTTAAAGATGTTTTAAGGCAGGGAGACTGTTGAGAGTGCTGCAATGCACATAACTAGTCCTTCATCACAGAATGATGGGGTAATCAAGGGAAAAAAGCTGACCTTGCATGGGCAGCAAAAGCAAGCAGACTCCATTTATTTGGAAAGCTTGCCTCACACTGGTCCTTTTTGGAGACTGTAGGGATCAGTGGAGGGAGGGCTTTCCATGAAAGTAGGCAAGGTTTGGGCCAAATTGGACCCCTTGACAGGCCCAGAGGTTCCCCATCCTTGGCAGAGTTCTTATTTACATTGGCTTGCTTTATCACAAAAGCCAGCTGAGGAGCTCTAGACCATATTCAGCTTCACCACTGGAAGTCGAGGAAGAGGAGAGAATTGCACTCTGCTTCCTTACTTTGAATGCATTCTTCCCACTGGTCCCTCCAGGGGGCGCTACAGTTATGCAGGGGCATCCTCACCTCTAAGGAAGGTAAGAGGGTACACTGGCACAAAATTAGAGTGTACCTCCTCCTACCATCTTAACCTGTAGCCCTGGAGTGGGAGTAGAGAGAAGCAAATCTCCCTCTGACCTTGGCCAAGCTACTGGGAGACGAAAAGAGAGCATCGGGAGGGGAGGGCTCAAGATGTCGGCCATGGCTGTTGCATGTAAAAGTGCCTCCCAAGTAACAAACCCAATAGGATATTTTAATTGTAATCTGCTAAAATAAAGTTGTACAGCCATTTGCTCTCAAATACAAGCCCTGCTTCAGTTAATGCAGATTGTGGTCAACCCCTTGCCTGCAGAATTTTCATATAGTTCCATTCTGCTAATAAGATAGGAAACATGTTATTAAGTATCATGTAACACATATGGTCAGGGACACGGGTGGCGCTGTGGGTTAAACCACAGAGCCTAGGACTTTCCGATCAGAAGGTTGGCAGTTTGAATCCCCGCAATGGGGTGAGCTCCCGTTGCTCGGTCCCTGCTCCTGCCAACCTAGCAGTTCGAAAGCACGTCAAAGTGCAAGTAGATAAATAGGTACCGCTCCGGCGGGAAGGTAAACAGCGTTTCCATGCACTGCTCTGGTTCACCAGAAGCAGCTTAGTCATGCTGGCCACATGACCCGGAAGCTGTACGCCGGCTCCCTCAGCCAATAAAGTGAGATGAGCGCCACAACCCCAGAGTTGGCCACGACTGGACCTAATGGTCAGGGGTCCCTTTACCTTTACCTTAACACATATGGTCAAGGCTGTATGACCCCATTTGGGAGGCGGTGCTGGCTGCTAAAAGGGGCTACCTAGATATTGGCAGATTCATTGAATATAACCCTTGCCATACGAGGTTTCAAGATCCTAAAGAGCAAGGTCTATGACATAATGACTTTTTGCAGGGCCATCAAAATCAGTGCCCATCCCAAACCGCCTTACTTGGATTGAGGTGGGTGAAGGAAACACTTCTAAAGTTTGAAGTATTGGAGAGTGAAAGGAAAGTGATCAGCACACATTCAATCTCTGTTTACGTCTGTGAGGACGGATAGGCAGCTTTAACCCAACAACTTTTGGAATGTAATCAGGTTGGTTCCCCCACAACAAAACTCACCTTAAACAAGTCGGCTACCAAACCATAATCGGCAACTTGGAATATTGGTGCTTCTGGATCTTTGTTGATAGCTACTATTGTCTGAAAAAAGAAAGTAAACAGGGAGATTACTCATGGAGTACAAGTTATTGATGGCTTTCTCTGTAGTCACAGAATCACAGAGTGGGAGGAGACCCACTTGCCCAACCGCCTGCTCAACGCCCCCAGCCTTGGCTGACCCTGCGGCTCTTCAAGGAGGTTCTTTCTCACTCTTCACAACCAAAATAAAAAACTGAATGTTTACAACCTGTCTTGTGGTGCCTCCATCTTAATCCCCCCCCCCCGAATCTGTTGGCAATGCATGTGTCAAGCCAGACACTGGGCACATGCAATGCCACATAGTGAAATTCTATTTTCCTGCCCAGGATCACACTTTAAATCCAGCCTCCCACCCTTCATCACAAGCAACTCCAAAGGCAAAACACCATCGCCTGCTAGTGCTCTCTCAACTTCTCCATTCTCACTCTAAAGCAGGGCTGGAGCACCACTGGCCCTCCTGGCTGGGGCTGATGGGAGCTGGAGTCCAACAAGACCCATTCCCAGCCTCGAGATAAGCTGAACAACACATCTAAAAAGATGGGCCTGAGAATCAAAGACATGGGATGATAATAATAATAAGCAGAGGCAATGGGTTGATTCCAGTTCTGAGCTGGGGCAACAGGACTTCCAGTTCCCTTCCCCCACTGCCAGATCTACTCTGGAATGTCCCCCAACCCCCCGGAGCCAATTTTGAGGGACTACTGGGGGGGGGCTGGAGGGGACTGGAGAGGAAGAAGCTCCACCCTGCACCTGGAAGTCTGTTGCAGGAGCTGCAGCATTGGATACAGTCCACTGGATTGGAATCACTGCAACAATCTTAGGGCTGTGGGCTAGATAATTAGAAATTGCAGCCATTGTGCAAAGAGCAACCTTCAACATCCCCGAGGGCTTCGAAACACATGGGCAACCCTGCTGGTTCAGACCAAAGGACTATCTAGTCCAGTATTCCATTCTGCATAGCGACCAAGCAGATGCTGTTGGGAAGTCCACAAGGAGGACAGAAAAGTCACAGACCACCTCTGCTGCTGCTCCCCAGCAGCTGAGGTTCAGTGGCACGCTGCCTCTGAACAGGTTCAATAAAGCCATCACAGGCTTCTTGAACCTGCCTAAGGACGTACGGCTCAAGTACCTCCAAAGGGACATTTTACTTTCTCTCTTTCAAATGGTAGCAACACCACTGTCCTGCAATAAACTGTGTTAACGAATCAGCCACTGGCCCAATTAATGCTTAAGCCTCACCTGTTTTTACTTTCAAGTCTTTTATTTAAATATTTAGTTAATTTACTTAAGCAAAAGGTTAACTAACTAACTCAAAGCAGCTTACAGGCAACGAAGAAGCATAACATGAATTTATTTACATGCAGCTGTAAGTCACAATAATATTTATTTGCTAGTTATCAACAGTTTAATTTTAGTGAACTATTTTTCATATAGATATGAAAAATAGTTTTTAAGGGGAGAGAGGAAAGCGGAGAGATTCCATTATTTAAAGATAAATAAATACTGGTTTTCTACCTTGACATAACGACAAATAAATTATACATTTTGCTTGCAAAAAGCTTTGTGGACTACTTTCAGAAACATATTCAAAGTGTGCAAGTTCACAGTGCCAGATAATTGACAGCATGGAGGGTGGAAATCCACTCAGGAGATTGTTGCCATGGTTACAGAAGGGTTTCCCTTGCTTCCACACATTGTTTGAGCAGATACAACCCAACTCCGTCTAGGGTTTGATAAACACACAGAAGTGGGGCACAGTTCAAGTAAAAGTAAAATAAAGTTTAAGCTCTCAAAAATATGTTCTGTGAGTTCAAATATATAACAATATTCAGAAAAGAACCTCTAGCAAAACATATTTGAACATCTTTTTTTAAAAAAATGGCATTTTCAACACCCAAAGCAGTGGACAGAAATAGCACAACTTACTGAAGTGATGAAAGATTTGTTTTATTCAAGTCCAGTGCCAAAGCAATTTACAGCACATTTCTCAGCATGTCTATTCAGAATTCTGTCCCACTGAGCTCAGCATTTGTGTAGACCATTGCAGCCTTAGGGTAGGGCTGGGGGATATATTGATATATCATCCAAAACCAAACAGAAGGCCATATCGTGATATCGTTTTCATAATTTTTGACCTGGCATTATACCGCTATGCAAAAATCACAATGTGGGGGAAACAGTGAGCTCAGCCAGTGCCTCTACATAGCTCCATCCTTATTTCAGACATGGTGATATATTGGTATATCGTGATGTTTAGCTGGTGATATACTGCATGTTGAAAACCAGATATCATCCACCCCTGCCTTAGGGTGCAAACCAGTGGTTCCTGCCAGGAGGGCAGCCCAGGGGCCACAGGAAAGAGTGTATTTCTTCATCTGCCCATGAAAAGGAAGATTCACCTTAGAGATCCCCTTGTGGTCACAGAAAGCTCTGCAGCTGCACCCCCACACACACACACTTATGCCATCTGTGTTCCAATGGCGCAAGGGAGAGAGAGTCCTAAAAGCTCCCTTGTTCTCCGGGGAAACTTCTAAACCAGGAAGAAACATGTGCCAGCCCTGGAGCTGGCAGAGTGAATCTCCCAGCCAAGGGGGAAAAGCTGCCCATCCCACCAGCTTCCAACCCAGCAGGGCTTGGATAGGACAGTTCCTTCACCATCATTACAGAGAGATCATTCTGCTCGAGTATTAGAGGGTGAATATTTTCCCCAGCATTACTGGTGGAATCATCTGTTTGGGTGGTCATGACAAAAAAGATGGTCCAATATAGTCCAAGCCAGTCAGGGAGCAGCACACAAGATTGAACATGAATTGGATGTTCACCTTTCCATATTGACTTTTAATGCCTCCTCCTCACAAAAAGATCATACGGAGCAGGAAACTATCTTAACAACATACAGTTTAAGAATGAAAACTGCAGCATCAACAATCTTCCTCCACCAATTTCACCATTCTGGCAGGAGCATCATTTTGCTAGATTCCTTTCCACCTTAATATTAAACCATAGTTCCTTCATTTTAGAATGCTCATTCTTGCCATTTCTGCCATTTAATTATGTCTCTCAAAGTACTGTTCATGTGAAAGAGGGCAAATTGTTCTCCTGTTCATCTCAGATAAGTCACTTTGTGAATTGTACTGTACTCCTGTGCACATTTGCCCAAAATAAGTTATTCTTCAGATATCTGAAGAAGTGTGCATGCACACGAAAGCTTATACCCAGAACAAACTTAGTTGGTCTCTAAGGTGTTACTGGACAATTAAAAAAAAAAAAATTATTTATTTCGACTGCGTCAGACCAACACCTGAATCTACCTACCTGAATCTGCCCAAAATAAGGTTTTACTGTGTTCAATGGGGTTTCCTCCCCAAGTAACTTTATATAGGGTAATAATCTTAGGGTCACGGCCAATAAAATTAATGGATGAAAGTTCTTCATGCCCATTCGTATCAACGAGTCTGCTCTGAGGAAGAGGAACACTGGATGCAACCTCAATGCACTAACCATCAACAAATATTTCTGAGACTCCAAGCAGGAGGAGGAGTTTTAAAAGGCACATTGCCCAGAGTATCGGCTACATGAGTTGGGCTAAGGAACAGGTAAGAGGCACCTCAGCTGGTGTGTCATATACCACTATGGGCAATTTTTTTCCAGCAGTCTCCACAGTGGGGTGTGTGTGTGTGTGTGTGTGTGTGTGTGAGAGAGAGAGAGAGAGAGAGAGAGAGAGAGAGAGACACTATTCAGGTACTGAAACTATGTCCCAAAAAGGAGTGTAGCATTGTTCTGCCCAGACATATCTATGTGACTACATGGCTCCAATGTCATTAGGATGATTTGTTAATGACAAGAAATAGTCTGACTCTTCACAATTCAAAGAGAAAACAAAGCACATCAGAGAACACAAAAAAGAAAACTGGGACATACAGCGAAGACACAGAATTTTTTTATAGTTTTATAGTTTTCATGCTTCAACATGTGATTTTTCTCACATTAAACTGCCTCTTGAAAAGGCAGGAAAGCTCTTGTTTCAGAGATAATGAAACCCATCTTCCACTGGAGGTACAGAAAGATAATCTGAACAAGTCTTGTGGAAAAACATAGTTGAAAAACATTTCAGCTACTAATGAGTTAAACCTTTTAAAGTTTTATTATCATTTTATAATAGGGTTTCCATTTGAATGGATAAATGATGGAACATTCAAAAAGCGTCTTTTACTTTATGGAATAGTAAGTCCATAATTCAAATTGCACATTGTTATGCATGAATTCATGTGTCAGATTCTGAAATATATGAATATAGGTCTACAGCATAGGATTCTAAACAGAAATTGTTTTGCTTAAGCTATAAATTCAGTCTGCTTCTATAAATGGTCTGTTTCTGTTTATTTTGGAATGTGTACAGTGTTAATGCACTATTGGCAATAATGTTGTGCTATTGACAACTGATTTACTTTCTAGAATGGGATTAATCTATTCTGTTTGTATATTTTACTCAACTGCCACCACCCAAAAGAGGCTTGTCCCTGCTTAGACTATGACCAATAAACTTTTCTATAGTACCTTGCTGTCTTTCATTCCAGCTAGATGCTGAATTGCTCCAGATATTCCAACAGCAATATAAAGTTCCTGAAACAGAAAACAGAATAGAATTGAAATAAAGATTCAAACTAATGGGAAAATGCAATCTGCAAACAATTTTTACCAGTGGGTGACTTAGGTTCAATCTACATTGCTTCTGCTCCTCAATATTTTTTATGGCTTAAGGAGCTTGCTATATCATCTATGTGATCGCTCTTCAGTTATTTGAAAATGGCTATTACATAGATGATGGGGCAAGCTCCTTTTCTTCCACTCCAGAGAGTAGGACCTAAATCAATGGATAGAAATTGCAAGAAATACTGACTAAACATCAGGAAGAATTTTCTGACGATAAGAGATGTTCGACAGTGGAACAGACTCCCTCAAAAAGTGGTGGACTCTCCTTGAATGGCCATGTGGCATAGATTCTTTAGCTATGACTCCTGCACTGCAGGAGGTAGGATAGATGACCCCTGAGGTCCCTTCCAACCCTACAATTTTATGATTCTACTTGCTGTGGGAAGAAACCACATCAGTCACCGCCCGACATGTCAAAACCTAGTGATCCTAAGAAGGGAGAAGCCAGCAATGCAATTCTCAATCTGTCATTTTAGCTGCTCTTTCACTGACACTGAAGCCTTTTAACTCAATGTTTAGGGGAGAAATAGGCATACAGACCATGTAAGATTCAGCAAGCAACTGTACCCCACAGCAAATTTCTTATCCATTGACTTCTCAAAGTATTTCCACGCATGTTTACTCAGCAGTAAAGTCCCAATGACAGGGCTTGCACCCTATTTATTTATAATATTTCTTCCTCCTCTGCCCAGGCTGGGTTACAACAATATAATATACATTTATAAAAATAAATAAAACAATTTCAATTATGAAAGTAAGTAAAAGTAACATTTTTTTACTGAAGCTGTCCATGCTCTGGTGAGATCCCACACGGACTACTACAATGCAATGTATGTGGAGCTGACCTTGAAGACATTCCAGGGACTGCCACTAGTTTAGAATGCAGCTGCTAGGTGGGGCAGCCCCATGAGACCACGTACCACTGGACCTGAAAGCACTGCAACGGTTGCCAGCAAGCAGCATGGCCCAATTCAAGGTGTTAGTACTAGCATACAAAGCTCTAAATGGCTTGGGACCCAAGTGCATCAAAGAGTGGCATCAGCAAGCGATGCTTTGGTGGTTACAACCAAAACAAAATCGTATAGATTCAACAAGAGAGGTGGGTCCCACAAAACAAAACACTTTAAATAGAATCAAGACCCTGACGGGAATTCTGCACTTGTGGATCTTGCTGACAATGCAGTGCTGTGATAAGGCTGCACTAACAGGGCAATGGTGGCCAATAAATGTGTAGAGGTCTGTTTTTGTGAATGAAGAATTTGACATATTAATAGAAAGTTAGGCATTCATATGGATTAGTAAAGAAACAACAGGTGGCAATTTAACAAGTTTCTGAATGCCTTAAGCACATCTAGAATCTGTGTGTGTTTGTGTGTGTGTGTGTGCGCGCGCGCGCCACACACACACACCTATTATGTGGTTCTAAGACCAACCATCACCCAAAACTTTTGTAACAGCATATCTGCCTGTCACAGTAAGCTATCATCCCTGCAGTGGTAGTACAGTGCAATTTGCAATGTGCTATGCTCTCTGGGTTAAATATTTATATTTTCCTTATGAAGGTGCCAACAAATCCACTTGCAAGCTCAACAGGTACCCTGGCCATATAGAGAGCAGAACAGCCAGGAGCACACAGGGAACACCCCAGAGTTCTCAATTGCACTGCAGTTTGGAGAATCTCTTCCAAGCCATATGAGAAATAAATGTGGTTTCTTATCTTTGGAGAAGAATCAGAAGACCACATGCTTTGTATGTAAAAGGTCCAATACTTAATTACCAGATACTCCAGTTAAAAGGCTCAGCAGGTGATGGGAACAGCTCTCTGCCTCAAACCTGGAAGTCTCTGCCAGTCAGAGTCAACAATATTGGACCAAATGCACCTCCCCCCCCCCTCTCTCTCTCTCCAGCTCTCTGCACATGCCAGGCAACCAGGGTGTGTGCGGAATGGAAACTGCAAACAATGGTTGGCTAATAAGTGAAGCCAATATCTGTGGAGCCCTCTAACCACCCCCCATGCAGCCCCGTTGAATCTGCAGAGCGAAGAAGCAGCAATTAAGCAAGGAAAAATGTGGATATTGCATGAGCCCACATTGCACTGGAAAAAACTGCTCAAATCCCAAGCAGTGAAGTAGTTCACATCACTATAGAGCCTGCCAGGTCAAACAATTTCATCCCTTTCTAATCCTTTTCACTTTAAGAACTTATATGGGGCTTTGATCAGCCGGGACACGTGATTACTCTTAAGCGTGCTTAGGGTGTCTGCTTGAGTGCAGGGCCATACAGCGTTTCTTTTTGCTCTCATGGGAAAAGCACATCAATTGCTTTCAGCTAAATGCACTCTCATATGAATATTTTAGTACAATTTAATGTTTCTGCACCAACCCCTGAGGAACAGAGCATCAATTTGAGAACACGGTTCTCTTGGACTTAAAAGCCACACTGGATAATGTAGGATGAAAGGGGCTGTCAGTCTTCAGCTTTTTAGCAAGTCAGAGAAAGAGAACCTGAAAATTCAGTCCCAGCTTGCATACAAACAGCTCTTTGAAGTTTGTGGCTCAAAAAAGCAAGACAACGCTGCTGCGCATTCAGAGGAAATGGGCATTTCCCCCCAAAATCTGTTAACAGCACTGACTTAACCTTTGCACCATCAACATCACTCCTGGTCCATTAATAAAATACCCAAATTCTCTCCTCCCAAACAGCAAACTGTCAGTTCTGAGAATTTAGTTACCATGTGCATCTTTACGGAAATTTTACAGTAAGGAGCTCCAGAATGTACTCTTTTAAAGTCACAACTTGCTAAGCAGAATGAATGCCAAGATTGTTGAGGTATAAGATAAATATTTAATATTTAAATGATAGACTGGTGTGTATGTACTGCCAAACCACAATACATAATTATGCAAAGAAGCCATCGCAATTCCAAGTGAAGTGTCAGTCATAAACTCTACTCACACAGCCATGAGGACTTCTGTCAAGCTTAACCACAAGAACCAGGGATCTTAAGTTAAAAAAGAAACGCCGGTCAGTTTCAAAATAAGCTTTAAACCAAGAGGGCTTATTATCAAGCTGACCGTGCTGTTTGTTTGTTTAAAAATCGCTGGTTCATTCCCAACACAAGGTTGAGTGCTTCCTCTTCAGGAGTGCTCCAGCTACCACCTTCCTCCAACAGGCCAATTTATTCTCCTACCACTCACCAAGGAACCTCAGTTTTTCTTTTTCGACTAAGACTGCAGCTACTGAACATGTTCCATCCCAGTCCGCTGGAGTGATTTTCTAAATATTTCATCCTCTTTCTGCTAACCTCAGGGTTCCACCAAACATACAGATGTTTCCCTCTTGTTCCTCAGAGGCCCCATCTTGGCTCCATTTCTGTCCACACTTATCACCCAAGTTCACTATTAGAAGGAGAGATACCTTAGGTGCCTGTGAACATGTTGATAGAACAGTTCTCTGGTGGCCAAAAACCCTTCAGGATTATGCAAGATATGACAAAGCCCATTTATTATCTCAGCTCTGCACATTTTGGTGCCAGGAAATAGTTTGGAACGAGGACGACATGGGTGATGGCCAAGATGCCCAACAATGTAGCAATCCATACCACAGCAGTCCCCGGCCATAATGCTGTAGGCTGAGATCTCAAATGGTAGGGACCACTTATTTGCACAGCTCAGACTTTAAGTCCTGCATTATCATGAAACATTTCAGACAACATTCCTACTGAATGGGAAAAAATTTTTCACCCCTCAGTCAACTAAGTACAATCATTTTTAATGTTTTACTTCTAAGAACGTTCCCAAAGGACTATGCTGCTAACTGAGCGCACTTTTAACGTATCTGAACAAACTGTCCATTTGTTCACAGAGCAAGACGAGTGCATTTTGAGAAAGCTTCTACTCCACTTAAAGGAACTCAACAGGCTGCCAAGCTTTCCAGAGTGGTCTGCAACAAACTAGTGTACGTCTGTGGTTAGCACAGGAAGGGTTTTTTTAAAAGGGCCAAAAGCAAAGATATCTCTTGAAATCAGTGAAAGCATAATTAAAGGCAAACAGTTAGAAAAATGTGGCTATCTTCTTTCAAAACCATTCCCTTTGACATCTCCCAACCATTAGCAGAGAAGCAGTGGCATCAGTCAAAATCTCTTCCAACCTGCTGCAAATACACACCCTACTAAATATCAGATGAATTCCCCACTAGGCCAGTTCTGAAGCCTATAAATAGAGTAATAAAAGCATCCATGACAAAATACTCTCCCCCACCATCATGAACAGAAGCACACAAGCGTTTCCCTCACAACTTTACTTGCTCCTTATATCCCTTCCAATCAGATTTCAATTTTCAATCCACTGGAAAAAATGAGATTTACTCCATTAACCTGATGCAATTGTTTAAGACATGCTTGCCGAAAGTAAAATCTCAGCCATGTGACATGCAGATTCTTGTTAAATTTTTGTATACAGTTCATCAACAATCAAGTCAATCCTTTTCATAGGCAAGTTGCTATTTATTGATCTAAATTTAACCTGGAACAGGCACGTCCAACTTTCAAGAGACAGCGATCTACTCCCACTATAAAAAAGTGATCTACCAAAGTTGAGCTTTTTTTAAGGAAACCAAAGTTATTGAGCTTTTTTTTAGGGACCCAAACTAGGCGGGAAGCAGGATCCCACAATCAACCACAGACCCACTGCAATCGACCATTGGATCGTGATCAACCTGTTGGGACATCCCTGGCCTAGAAGATCATACTGCATCACGATATTACTAAGTGCAGTTGTACACAAAACACAACTTATTGCAAAAACAGGAGCTGCCTAAATATGAAATTCCCCATATTGTGGATAACCCCCCCATTTCAGATTCTATACCAGGTAAGTTTAAAATTTTAGTACTCAGAATTCACACAGCATCCTCTAAATGTCCTAAAAGAGGAAGGGGCAGCCATTTCATTAGGCATGCCAAATGTTTATTATAGCAACTAGTTATACTGGAATGATTAAGTCTCCTGTCTCCAGTATTTTTCCTATGCCAGTATTGTGATTTTAAAATCTGCATCTAGGTCCACAAAACCAAAATTCCATTTCCTCTTATGTTATGAGGGCATTCTGTGTTTTGTTCTGAATTAGCCACTGCCTTAAACAGAACCTTGTAGTATCTATTTGCGCCCCTTAAACAAATATGTAACCAGTCAAGTTACTGCAGTCCTGGGGATGCAAGAATGAAAACAAAACAGGCCAGTGATGTTGCATTTAGAGCTGAAACCATGCAAACAAATATATAATTGCAGTCATTCTTGTTACATATCCCGTAAGATTAGGAAATGTATCCTAGCCCTCAGAGCTTTGCATCATTCAGGACAAATAAGGCAGAGCTCTCTAAATACCTTTCTAAAAAATAACTGGCACAGCAAATGCTTGTTTTTGTTAATTATTTTATATGCCTTCTTAGAGGGAAATAAAATGAAGCATTAAAGATTTTGGCATTAGATATGCCCCTTGTTTGGCTGTATTAAGATGCTGAGGCCTAGCTTAGGTTTGTTTGTTTGCTGTAAATTTTATATGACTAAGCTAAGAGGTTACAATAGGTTCCATCACACTCCCTTTTTCCCCTTCATCCCAAGAGGCAAAGCTTCTGTCACTCTGTTCAAATCAGGCCAAGTCTACTTTAGAAAACCACACCCATGTCACCAATGTCACACGCTCTGCGGGTGAGGTCAGTCAGTTATGACAAGCTCGACTCAAACTGCTGCAATGATACCATGCACCAGAAGGGACTCTTTCCCAGGATAAGGCAACACCATGAAGGGAAAAGGGCAGGGTTCTAGGCTGGGAAAGGGGGTGGGGGAGCGGGCAGGCTGTGTGCAAGCCTGGAGACAGCATTACCTACAGCTCCATTAGGAAAAGGCAGTGGTCCTCCAAACTATTCCAGGGAATTTTAACCAGTCTCTTCTGCAAAAATAATTTGAATACTCACTGGTGCTACAATTTTGCCTGTCTGTCCAACCTGCATGTCATTGGGTACAAAGCCTGCATCAACAGCTGCACGAGACGCACCAACTAGAAGCAAAAAAAAGATAGTTATCTCAAGAAACATAGAAGCCAACATTTAATGCTTCATCCTATGTGTCTTCCCATTAATAACAACAATTTCTTTCTTATACCCCGCCCATCTGACTGGGTTCTCCAACGAAAGTGGGGATCCCTGATTTTCCCCAGTTCACCCTTCCAGCTTTAGGCCCCTCAGGAGCTATAGGCCCTCAACCTTCAGGAACAGATGAGGGGGTCATGATGGGAGCTATAAAGAAGCAGCAAGAAAGCCCTATTACACTCCCCTCATGGAAGTTAGGATCCAAGCTAATGTATGCGCAAAAGTCTCCAGCTACAAGCCATTTATCCAAATTTCACACACTTCAAAAGATATACCCATAGGATAGATAGCATCCCTAACTGCTCTAGAACCAAGGAGTAAAAGCAGTTGTTACCTGCAGCATGCAACTCATCCGCAAGCTCATACAGCAGTTTAAAGTTTTCTCCACTCTTCAAGCCCCGTCCTTAAAAGTAAGGTAAGAGGTTAGATATGTTCAAGTGCCTTGAAATCTCTGAGTCAGACTAAATACATGACCGTAATAAAGTGTTGTTGTACGCTCCACCCCACTGTTGATTTTTGCAGTGCATTCTGTCAGGCACACATACACATCCCAGCCAAGGAACAATTCATTTTCCAACTGAACCTTATCAGTTTATCAGTCATATGAGACTCAAGGTCAAAATGCTCAGAGTAGAAGATAAATATCCTGCTACTGAATGGTTCTGTATTCCTTCTATCTTTTCTCTTCAGTACAGTCTGTGGTTTTTGGCTCTGTAACTGGACATGCTCTTCAGAGTGAAGTTCTGCACTTTGCCTGGAGATCCAGCAAGAATATTGGGCTTTGTAACCATTTTATGCTCTAAGAACCTCAGTAAAATTTTACTGAAGAACTTCTGCTTCCTGTGTGTGTGTTTTCTTACACTGGAACTCCACGGGATTTCACGCTACTCTGCTACTTTTGCCCATGCCCTGATGTGCACTTTTCAGGCATGGAGCCAGGGGTGACTGGTTTTTGTCACCAGCCTTAACATGAATGTTGTCTGTTTGAGATTAATGTAATTATTTCTTCAGAATGATAGAGGGTTACACATTTATTTACATATCTACCATAACTGAAAAAAAATGGAGGAATTAGAGCATAGTAACTTGCACTTCACTCCCCCTGCTGGCTTGAGAGTTACAATTGAACGCCTTGTGAGTCAAAGGTTTTTGCTCCCCAACGCCGCAAACCCAGAAATGAGTCTTCCGGTTTGCAAATGTTCTTTGGAACCTGAACGTCCAACGCGGCTTATGCAGCTTCTAACTGGCTGCAGGAGCTTCCTGCCACCAATCAGAAGTCGAGCCTAGGTTTCCGTTCGACTTCCGAGGTACGACTGTAATACGACTGGGCACCACAGTTCAAGAAGGACACTGACAAACTGGAACGTGTCCAGAGGAGGGCAACCAAAATGGTCAAAGGCCTGGAAACGATGCCTTATGAGGAACGGCTAAGGGAGCTGGGCATGTTTAGCCTGGAGAAGAGGAGGTTAAGGGGTGATATGATAGCCATGTTCAAATATATAAAAGGATGTCACATAGAGGAGGGAGAAAGGTTGTTTTCTGCTGCTCCAGAGAAGCGGACACGGAGCAATGGATCCAAACTACAAGAAAGAAGATTCCACCTAAACATTAGGAAGAACCTCCTGACAGTAAGAGCTGTTTGACAGTGGAATTTGCTGCCAATGAGTGTGGTGGAGTCTCCTTCTTTGGAGGTCTTTAAGCAGAGGCTTGACAACCATATGTCAGGAGTGCTCTGATGGTGTTTCCTGCTTGGCAGGGGGTTGGACTCGATGGCCCTTGTGGTCTCTTCCAACTCTATGATTCTATGAAAGTAGAGTACTGTTTTTTGCTATTTTATTTTTTCCTGAGATAGATGTGATAAACTAGTTGTGCTAGTATAGGCATCCCACTTATGCATGTTCAAATCTCACATGACCATGTATATGCGCAGCACCAGTAAATAATTAAATATATAGAATCATAGCAGGAAATGGCAGGAGAGAACTGGAGAGTCCTTGGGGCTTGTGAGGAGACCCCCCCAAAAGCCCAAAGAGGAGGTCCAGTGAGGACAGAGGAAGCCACAAAAAGACTGGAGGCGCAGCGAGGCTTTGATTACGCTGCTCAGTCTCTCTGCCTAATAAATGACAAGTGGGGTAGACAACAGCAGCAGAAGCAACCACTTTTCCACGTGTCCTCCAGGTTCCAGCCAGCCCCAGAGCTCCAACTCTAATGGAAAAAAGAGGTGTGGAGAGGTAGTGGGGGAGAGAGGTGGACAGCAGGCAAATGTGTGCGTTCAGAGGCTTTTTAGAGGCTGCTCATTTTACAGGATTTTACTTATGGGGAGGGGCCTGGAATGTAACCCCTGCAGGGGACACCTGTCATGCATACAAACCGCCTTCACTGTAAAAGCAGATCATTCTTCAAGCTAAGCTTTTCTAGCATTTTTATTATTCATGCTGATTACAAGACAAATGCTGATATTTACAGTTACTTTATTTCATCCAATCCACTTCAATGAATTGTACACGTTCTCATTTTCCAGCTTCCAACTACAAATTACTGGTCAGAATTCTTTAGGTATGGTAGAAGGTACAGTGGTACCTTGGTTCTCAAACACCTTGGTTCCCAAACGCCGAAAACCCAGAAGTGTTCTGGTGGTTTTTGGACATTTTTCAGAAGCCGAACGTCTGATGCAGTTGTCAGCTATTGTTTCTGGGGCACCTGCACCAATTAAAAGCCGCATCTTGGTTTTCAAACATTTCAGAATGGATTAAGTTCGAGAACCAAGGTACCACTGTATTTGGCGCTTTTATTTTTGCTATTTATTTTGCATTTTTGTTTTTGAGGCTTTTTCAGTTAATTTGTTTCTGTGACTGTGTGGAACCCAGTTCAGCTACTGATTGATTGTATGACTGCGGAAATGGATAAAAGCCCCCCATTCAAACAGTGACTATCATCAGTGAACGTAAGGGAAATTTTTTTTTATCTTTATCATCTACAATACTGTTTTATTTATTTTATAGCGTAGTACATTGATTATTGCTTTCATTTTATGGATCAATGGTCTCGTTAGATAGTAAAATTCATGTTAAATTGCTGTCTTAGGGGTTGTTTTTAAAAGTCTGGAAATGATTAATCTGTTTTGCATTACTTTCTATGGGAAAGCGGGCCTTGGTTTTGGAACGCTTTGGTTTTGGAACTGACTTCCGGAATTGATTAAGTTTGAGAACCAAGGTACCACTGTATAACAAAGTTTTCGTTATTTTCTACTTTGCTAGAAATTTCACCACTAGTTCATCACAATTCTAGCCAATTAGCCACTACTTACCACCTGAAACAACCACCTTCGCACTAGTCAGTTCTGGCCGATCACTTTTTGTTAACTTTTGTTCGATCCATTCAGACTGACCAGCTGGTGAAGCTGCAGATACTGTTTATATCAAAAAACAAAACAAAGAAAAGACACTGAGCTTTTGAAAGGTACAAAGTCGTAGCCATAAAAACGACCTCCATGCCCAAACTCTGCAGTATATGTGATATTAAACAAAAATATGTTTAAAGTTATTTACAGTCAAGTCAATAAGAACAGGAGACTCTTAATCCCAGAGTTGCATGTTCTCCACCTCTGGCCAAAGATTCCTGCAGTGCAGGGGGTTGGACTAGATGGCCCTCATGGTCCCTTCCAACTCACTTTTTGTACATTTAATTAATTGGGGGGGGGATTGGCAAACCTCAAGTAATTAAAAAATTTAGCAGACCTAAGCTGCCGCCTTATGCCACGTCAGAGCATTGCTCCATCTATGTCAGTACTATAAACACTAGGAATGAGGAACTTGTGGCCCTCCAGATGTTGTTGGACTCCCAACGCCCATCAGTTACAGAGGACAGGGACAGGGGTCAATGATAATGGGAGCTGTAGTCCAGCAGCGTGTGGAAAGCCAAATGCTCCCTTCCCCAGCCTACACTGATTGGCAGCAGCTCTCTAGCATTTCAGAAAGCAGTCTTTCACAGCTCTTCCTGAAGATGACAGGGTTTGAAGTATCACTGAACTATAGTCCTTCCTCCATTTAAAAAACGCAATAAATAAAAGAAAACATCAATATGGTTATACCTCTGGATGTTAATATGAATTCATTCAAAATATACCAAGACTTAAATGGGATTTTTTATTTATTAAATTTCTATCCCACTGTTCCTCCCAAAAGAGCCCAGGGTGGCAAACAACAAGAGATAAAACAATAAAAACAACTGAAACTGAGATTGCCAGAAGGGAATGTACAGTGAGAAACAGTGAGCATCCAGCATGGTAGTAGTGCATGTAATTGTCCTTTAGATGCAGGTAACTGATCTAGTTTACACACACAAATGCCGCCATACATTTTTGCCCGCCAGAAACATTAGGGCTCATATAGCAAATAAATCAACACGTGAAGTCACTAAGATGTTTGCTCAGAAGTAAGTCTGAATTATTTCACTGGATTATTTCCAAGTATGCATCATGTCTATTATTACATCAAAGCAGCCAAAACTAGGTTTTGAATCAGTTTACAAGTGTTTTATATGTGGTTTAGTAAGTGTTGTCCTTTTACTTCTTTTACAGATAAGCCCCTGAATAAGGCTTACAGATAGGCTTACAGACTGTACAGAGTTATCCACAATTTAGCCTGTTGCAATTGTTGTTGTTATTACAGTGTATGCAGTCCTTCATCTGAAGATCACAGGGTAGTTCACAACACGAAAATACAAAATAAGAACGTAAGAATTCATAATAAAACAAAAACAAGAATACAGACATTTCCAACTCTCCATGGCAGAAATAAATCACATCACCACCACAGAGGAAACAGCAAGGGTGAAACACCACTCAGTTTAAGATATGGTCTTGGTACGGTTATGTGATGCTTTGGCTGGGGCAAAAGTAGTGCATGCCGGTTAATGGAGCATGAGCTGTAGAAGAGACCTGGTGTGATGCATACTTTGGGGGAAGGGGAATTTTACTTTGGCAGGAAATGCATTGGGCTAACATAATAACAAACATGCATCCTTTCCAGCATCTATGGGGAAAGCCTCTCTTTTTTGTTTGAATCAATTGAACCATTCAAAATGGCTTCACAATTTTGATACAGTAGTTTTACATGTAACCCGACCCAAGACGGCTACAAGAAAAGAGATATCCATGTGGAATAATTAGAGGACTCTAGGAGACAAAGAGTGGCAAAGTGTAAAGAGGGAAGAATTCAGTAAATGCAAAGTTGTGCAACTTTGTCTTTTTATTTGACAATGATGTTTTTACTCCAATTTCAACTTGAGAAGGAAAAAAACCCAGACAAACTGAACACTCACCTTTCTCTACTGTAGCACTACCACCACTTATTGATGCAGCCTCAAAGGAAGTACCTCGTACAGAGAACACCTTTATTTTTTCATCACACTTCACAGTGCACAGGGCATTTCCTACAAAAAGACCACACTTTCTGTGAAAATAAAATTGCAAACTCCAATGATCAGCTGCTTTTAGCAGAGGGCAGTAATGCTGTTGCTTAGACAAAACAATCCTTTCAGGCAGGAAAATTTAAGACACTAAAAAATGGACACAGAATAGGTTTACATTTCCTTGGTGTCACAGGAGAATTTTTCAGTAAGACACAGCAAAGGGTTCTGCTTCTACATTCCCCTTCCCTGGTGTCTCAGGCATGTTGGTGTAGTGCACACCTGGCATCTCAACAGTGAACATCGCTGTCGCTTCTGGGGAGGGGGAGGGGGCACGGCACAGGAAGCTCAGCGCAGTGAGGGGCTGGTGCTGCAGCCAATCCAAGGTTCCTGCTGGCACCATGCTGACTTCCCTGCACCTCGTGCCTCCACCTCTTGGTAAGCGGCAGAGACACCATCAGGAAGCCAGGTGTGCAACACCGCCAGGCCCTGGGCACCCCACTAAGAACCACTGGACACATTCAAGTTTTCAGACAACTCATTAATACTACTACTTATTATTATTTATTAAATTTCTGTACCACCCTTCATCAGAAGATCACAGGGTGGTTTACAATATAAAAACACAAAAATACAAAGCATAGTAACAAACAAAACAAAACAAAAACTTCAGTTGTGACCCTGATAGTGGAGAGGAAGAAGTACCAATATTATTATTTTTACAAACGAGTTTAGCCACATCTACTAGACACCAAGTACAGTGGTACCTCTGGTTACAAACTTAATTCGTTCCACAGGTCCGTTCTTAACCTGAAACCGTTCTTAAACTGAGGTACCACTTTAGCTAATGGGGCCTCCAGCTGCTGCCGCGCCATTTCTGTTCTCATCCTGGGGTAAAATTCTTAACCCGAGGTACTACTTCTGGGTTAGCAGAGTCTGTAACCCAAAGTGTTTGTAACACGAGGTGTTTGTAACACGAGGAACCACTGTATCTGAAAAAACATCCATTCCCTCAGCATGAAGGTACCGTAGCCATCCAACCACAAAAAATGTTTTGCACAGCAGATGCATGCAGTTCCTACTTCCATTGTACACCAGACCTCTCCTATGCAGGTTTACTCAGAAATACACCCCACTGAATTCCATGAGACTTAACTCCCAAACGAAATGTGCAAAGGACTGAAGGCTAAGAATGGGAGACTAGTTCTATTTCAGATGTGACATTAGTCAACCAAGACTAAGCCACAGTTTCCCAGATGGAACATTTTTAATACACCGTGGCAGAAACACTGAAGCTGTTCGCAAGGAGAGAAGTGAGCAAGCAAACCCAATGCCTGAGCTTGGGAAAATAAAGCATGGTTTATTAAGTCATTAACATTACCACGTAAACCTGCTCAAAAAAAAATGCTCATGGCCATCCACTGACTCCATGACTAAGAAACATTTGCTCAGAAAGTGGTGGTGAGATATGAACAAACCTGGGCAGCAACACTGAACACGTTCACACAATCCATGCTTAAAGCATGGAGGGAAAAAGCAGGCAAACTATCTCCATCCCCACTAACCCCCTTGCCTATCACCCACTATTCCAACATGCAGCACAAAACCTCCAGATAAAAACCTGGCAAGTCAAAGGCCTACACTGTCTAAAAGATTTCTAACATAACAACAAACCTATACCAACACAAGAAAAACAAGACAAACTAGGGGACAACCTTGGCTAACACATCACCATGCCTTCTTAAACAATCCAACAGTAAAATCAGCAGCCACTAGGCCCTTGGCTAATTTCGAAAACCTTCTCCTGACAGCAGAGGGATACAGTAAAGGGATGTTATCCACATACAAAATACTGCTCCAGAATCCTACAAACCCCCTTGATGCAATCAAAGAACAATGGGAGCACAACATAGGCTATGAAATTAACCCACCCAGTGGACTAGAATGTGGTCTAAACCTCCTTCCAAGTCCATATAAGCTTGCTAGAAAAGCTAACCAATAAACTGAAACTGACATGGGGGCAAATAGAAGAGGACGCCTTCACCCCAGTATGGCTCCCCTTTAACACAGCCAACAAGATAACAACAAGAACACAACAACAACATACAAATCAATCTGGCTTACCTGACCCAACAAGCCCCGTCCCCCCACAAATGCAAACAAACCTCACTGCAGCCAACCTCGGACAACTAACCATACTCTGCCCCCTAATACATCTCACTACCAAGGAAGTGTAATAAATGAATAGTAAGAGAACCTACCATACAAGAGAATATAAGCCTCACCACCCCACCCCACCCCTCCTCTCCCCCCTCTTCTTCCCAAACCCTATACTGTACTCAACACTAATGTCTCACAAGAAATGTAACTGATTTGTAAGAAAGACTGTACAACCTGAAAAAGAGACAAAGCATGTACTTTCGTAAAAGTAAAAAGAAAACATTTAATAAAAATATTTTTAAAGAAACAAACAAACCTGGGCAGACTTTGTAGATGGATGCTCACTATGATTCTCATTCCAAGGAAATGAAGTTATGTTTTCAAAAGAATGTTACAAGCTCAGAAAGTCACAACTGCCATGAAGAAACTACTGACAAATTTGGTTTGCATTTGAAACAAGAAAAGATTAAAAGTGCTGCACTTTTAATTCCTTCAACCATACTTTACAAGTAAGTTATAAAAAGGCAACTCTCAGAAATAATTGATGCTTTTTATGAAGTTGTTGCTTTTTATGTCATACTACACCTATTTGTTCTTCGGAAAGTCTGCCAGTAATAATAATAATAATAATAATTTATTATTTATACCCCGCCCATCTGGCTGGGCTTCCCCAGCCACTCTGGGCGGCTTCCAAAAAAATATTAAAATACTGTGATACATCAAACATTAAAAGCTTCCCTAAACAGTGCTGCCTTCAGATGTCTTCTAAAAGTCTGGTAGTTGTTATTCTCTTTGACATCTGGTGGGAGGGCATTCCACAGGGAGGGCGCTACTACGGAGAAGGCCTACTGCAGTCCTAAACATGTTTCCTTGCAAGTCCCACCTCCTTTTGCGTCCAGGATCCGTTCCGGAGCCCCAGACGCTCAATGAAAAGGACGCTTGACAAAGCACCGCTCTGCGCATGCGCGAAGCATGATTTAGCGCTTCTGCGCGTGCTGCAAACCCAGAAGTAACCTGTTCCGGTACTTTCGGCTTTGCCGCAGACGTTGGATGAAAAGGACCCTAAACAGGGCGGACCCAAAATGAGATATCACTGTAGTATCAAATTATTTCGGTCACAGACCAGCATAAGAAAAAACATACAGATAAATTGAACATATAAGACTTAAAACAGGTAAAGGACTAGTAATTAAAAGGTGATTATATTATGCATAACTTTAAAATATAGAACAAGGATAAACAGTTAAAAGCGATTATAAGGGAGGGAGCGTGAAGGAGCACAGGTCTTGCATTTTGGGCCTAGTTTGTTGTATAAACCATCCTTCGGCGAATATCCATCAAGGCAGCACAAAATCTAGCAACTGAGTATGTAACATCTGGGTAGACCAATCATTAAAAACTGGGCTATTAAGTCTCCAATTAATTCATTATAAACCCAACACATTGTCAGTGTGGTTCTTCTCACTTGTATGTTTACAAGAGATGATGAAAGAGGCAGAAAAAAAGATATGGGGGGCAGACATTGCTAGTAATAGATGAGCACAAATAACTGTAGAAGAAAATTATTAGAAGGTACATCAAAACTTAGAAGCAATCCATCAGTCTTTGAAGGCAAGGGAACATTGACAAAAGAAAGGAAATAAATTCTGCCATAACAAATTTAAAAGCCATAGAAGCTAATGCTTTCATGTCCAAATTAAATTATGAGATCAGACAAGCATGATAAGGCTAGACAAATAAGGGCAGCAAAATAATTAGGGAAAGTTAATTAAATATTACAAATAATCGTATCAATGTCTCACTAACGAAAAAAGATAACCCTATGGATTACTGAAATCAGAACTAATGTAACCCATATTAAATAAAAGGAACTAACTGAATGGCTTACAGTTTGCAAAATCTTATCAGAAATGCATTAACAGGAATACAATACATGTCAGCAGATTCTGTTAATTAAGAAGCTATATCTGGTTTCTCGGGACTTTGAACTACAATCCTGCAGTACTAGGGATGATCCTATTAGTTGTGTCAGAAAAGCCATTTCCACTTTTCCTGTTACCAAAGCGATGTTAGATGGCCTAATGCAAACCTCTATAACAGATTGAGGTTGAATCCTGACAAGACATAAGTACTGTTTTGGGGGGATGGGGTGGGCTGGTGTGGAGGACTCTTTGGTCCTGAATGGGACAGGTGCGCAGCCTGGGAGTCATTTTGGACTTACAACTGTCCATAGAGGCGCAGGTCAATTCTGTGTCCAGGGCAGCTGTCTACCAGCTCCATCTGGTACACAGGCTGAGACCCTACCTGCCCGCAGACTGTCTTGCCAGAGTGGTGCATGCTCTGGTTATCTCCCGCTTGGACTACTGCAATGCGCTCTATGTGGGGCTACCTTTGAAGGTGACCTGGAAACAACAACTAATCCAGAATGCAGCAGCTAGACAGGTGACTGGGAATGGCCGTCGAGACCATATAACACCGGTCCTGAAAAACCTACATTGGCTCCCAGTACATTTCCCAGCACAATTCAAAGTGTTGGTGCTGACCTTTAAAGCCCTAAACAGCTTTGGCCCAGTATACCTGAAGGAGCGTCTTCACCCCATTTTTCAGACCAGACACTGAGGTTCAGCTCTGAGGGCCTTCTGGTGGTTCCCTCACTGCGAGAAGTGAGGATACAGGGAACCAGGCAGGGGCCCTTCTTGGTATTGGCACCCGCCCTGTGGAATGCCTTCCCATCAGATGTCAAGGAAATAAACAACTATCTGATTTTTAGAAGACATCTGAAGGCAGCCCTGTTCAGGGATGTTTTTAATGTCTGATGTTTTATCGCATTATTATTATTATTATTATTATTATTATTATACCATTAATTCTGTTGGTAGCTGCCCAGAGTGGCTGGGGAAACCCAGCCAGATGGGCAGGATATAAATAAATTTATTATTATTATTACTATATATGGTATACAGACTGACAACACTCACCTGCATAAATTGTCCTCACAAATGTGTCAGGGGACTTTATTTCAATTATGTCTGAGACAGGAGCAACATCAAGCTTAGCTGCCACTCTGGGAAGAAGATTCTAAACAAAAGAAACAGATAGAAGCAAATGTTGCTAACAAGTTATAAACCTGCATAATGCTGACTACTACTCTAGTTTTATTGCTAAAAATTACAAATTGAGACAATACACTAAACACGTATCTGGCAAATGAAAGTAATGGAAGCGCTATAGAAGCAGCACACTAAATGTTTTAGAAAAGTCCTGTATATATCAATATGCAATAATTACAAGTCATAATTTATAAATTAGTTTAGGGATCAATCTCTTTGGAACAACAGATTTGTGGTGGATGTCATATATGCTCACCTTCCCAAAAGCAGATGCCCCGGCACAGATGTGGGTGTAATTAAACTGCTTCTGGGCTGCCAGAATCAATGGAGTCAGCTCCTCTAGGGATGAAACATATTGGTCAAAACACCTTATATTTTCCATCACAGTGGTGACTGCAGAGAATCTTAATGACAAGCAAATGAGTCTCACCGGGCAGAAATCCTTTGTATGCATCATGCTGCGAGACAAGAACTTTGACAACCCCTTGCACTTTACTCAGCTCTTGAGCTACCTGCAATGAAAAGGTTTATTATCACTATTTGTGCATGCAAAACCTTACTGCTGTGACCAGATGTTACTGGCAAGAGTGGTAAATAAACAGAAGAGAAGACTCCCTGGGCTGACAGAGCATGAGGGGGGGGGGGGAAGAATGCAGCATTCTGCTTTAACACTCTCACTCTCTCTGAAGTGTCATTCAGACACATGCTTCAACATATACTTTATTTTGGCTGAAACCAGCACCCAAGCACCAAGAGTCGAATTGCATTCCAAATGCGAAATTAGCATAGCACTCAAAAAAATCAACCACATTTTGACTGATATATGCAAGTTTGAGATTCTCTTTGCCAAACTAGATAACCATTTTTACTAGACAAATCCTTAGATTTTGTTTTTTTTGTAATTTTTCAGCTTTATCATGGTGGTTGTAGATAAGAGAAGCTGCTTTTACAATTCCCAAACCCAGCATTTATTTGTATTTAAGCATACATTATAAAAGGACATCAATCCATTATTAGGAGATTTGCATGCCTATAAACAACAGGATATATCAGTCGCTCAGAGCAATAAAAGCCAATGGAACAACTGTCATAAACGTGGTCTCATTTATCATCACTAATAAGGTGCCTATCCTGAAAAGAAAAAAATGATATTTGGGCAGTCTTTTAAAAAAGATCAGGCATGACTATGTTCCACTGATCTGAATCCCCACCCCTCCTTCCCTCAAGGCAGGATACAAATATTTTAAACAAATAACAAGTTCAGAATACAGAAAGCATACTTCCCTTCCTCCTCCCCTTTTCAATGTTTTTACCTTTTCACAATTGGAGCCAGCTACTAAACATGAAACGTCCCCTCCAAGACGCTTTGCCGCAGTGATGGTATTTAATGTAATAGGTGAAACAGCCTCATTTGTGTGTTCAGCTATTACTAGCGTACTCTGAAACCGGTGAAGCAAGGAGACCTTTAAAACAAGAGAAGGGGGAAGAGGGTTTCACAATAACACTTGTAGCTCTTAAATTCAACTAATCTGTTGGTGAAGTTAACATTGCAGGCATATGCACCTTCATATCAGATGTCCTTGCAGAATCTCTGAGTTTTGAATGATATGGTATGAAATCACGTAAGTCAGCAATTTTATCTTGACCAATAGTTTGTTTAGAGAGCAGGTGCATTTTCTGACACTTCTCCCCAATCCCCTCTGTTTAACTAGGATTTTCCATGCCCCAAGGCCCCTTGTAATCCAGATGCTAAGGATATACCAGAAACAGCTGGGGGCAAAACATACTCAGACAGCACAAGCCAGAAGGTGCATGTTCTTACATTAGTTGTTCCAAATCCTCCCTTCAAACCTTTACCCCAATATCTATACAGCACAAAGATGCTCCTCCCCAACTATCTCAGAACTGCTGGAGCTCTAGGGCCAAAGGTTTCCTCCCTAACTTGGTGGGTCTTTCTCCACAACACTCCCCAACCAATGCGCAGATTCCACTCACTATTCTCAAACGACATTTGCAATGCACACTTAGCATACACAGGAGGTGTCACTGAACTCAATTTATGTAGTCATCCAAGACAATTTGTTATATGCAACAATGAATTAGGCTACAATTTGTAACTATGATCAGAAGTGTAAAAGTTCCTGTAAAATTCTTCATGTTCCAACTTAAGTATATTAAATCACATCAAGGAGTCAAGGATTTTTAAATCATTGAGGTGAATTGCCAGTAACAAATTACTTACTGCCAATATATATCAAAAACCATATTTTTGATTATGTTTCATAAATCATTTTTCATAAAAGTTACAAGCATGTATGGACTGTTTGATTAATAAATCCATGCTTTCATGGCAAAAAGCCCACACTTGCTAAAATTTATAGTCCGGTCACAAGCAAAATGTGCAGAACCACTAAAAGATTAGAGTTTAAGATTCCAAAGTAAAATGTATTTTAAAAGAAAATCTGGTGTTTGTTGGAGGGAACATACAGTCAGAGGAATGTTATTGCATATGTGGTTGTTATAGGATAAGCTTCAGTCTTCCTATAACAAGTTTTGTAGCATAGATAATTATCTATTTACCAGAAAAGCATAATGTAAACTTCTTAAAATAAATCCGAAGCAGAAATGCTCTTTATAACTTAGTCATTTAACAGGGTAAAAGGAGGGTTTGATTTATTAATATTTCTGAGATTACATAAAAATAAATCAACGTCTTCACTATTCCTTCATGTGGAACATAACAAGGACTTGGTCTGAGTTAATTTCCTTTCATTCATTATTATCATCGGCTCATGCAAAATGGTTTTTTTTTAAGTGTTCAAAGATTTGAGCCTTCCCTTGGCAAGTGTGCTGTGAACTTCAATTTAAATCTGATGGCATACCTATTTATAGCATGCTCCAAACCCAAGATCTGCCACAATGAGCAAGTTTGGAACAGGCAGATCTACAGCTGAGCCCAGGCTGAAGTTATTCATGTCAGTTCAGCTGGAGATGCAGTGGGGTAAGTCCTCAGCCAAAGCCAGTTGAACCAAAGCCAGGTTAAGTCCCTCAAAAGGATGTCCCAGGAAGAGGAGGGTTGGACAGCGCAGGGACAGACTTGAACCTATTCTAAACCCCTGTGCTGGGTTGCTAGGTCATGTGACTGAGGACCCATTTTCAGGTTGTTCCTTGCTCATAGAATAATGGAACTGCAGAGTTGGAAACAGTGTTAGAAACTCAGATATATAAGCTAGGTGCCAAATGGCTCCTTAAACCAGGATTAGAGTCACCAAAATGGAATGCCTAGTTGCCATTTTGGGGCCAGACGGTTTGAAAGGCATATTTTTCAATACAACTTTTTGTTTCCTGAAATTCATTTTGATTGTGCAAAGAAAATATAATGGATAGAATTCTATAGGGTGTGTCACTAGTGTGTGAAAACAGTCCAGATCCAAGGATCCCTAGGCATGCACCTCCAGATGGTGAAGAGGTCATGCGCCATCCTGGCACCCAGGCATCTTCACTTGGTCACAGGTGGCCAATGGCCAGGTTCAAAATGCACCTGGTGAATTTCCAATGTTGGGTGGAAGGGACCCTGGGGGTCATCTAGCCCAGCCCCCTACAATGCAGGAAAATCAATGGCTCTGTGACAGGTGGTCATCCAACCTCTGCTTTAAAGTTTCCAATGAAAGACAGTCCATAGCTCTATGTTCCCCAGAGCACAGATTGAGACTTCCCTTGCCTCCAGTGTGAACCCTGCCTTGCACTATATTACTCCCTAGTTGGGCATAGCTGCATCATAGAGCACAAACACTGCACAGCCATAAGGCCCACTGGACGACCCTGGGCCTGTCCCTCTCTCTCATCTAACCTACCCTCAGTGGATGGCTGTGAGGATAAGATAGAGCGGGGAAGAATGGGGGAGAGAGAACCATGCATGCTGCCTTGAGCTCATTGGAGAAAAGATGTGATATAAATGTAGAGAACAAATACCGTAGATTCCAGCGTATAAGACGACTTTTTAACCCCGGAAAAGAGGTTAAAAAGTCGGGGGTCGTCTTATACACCGGGTACTACCTCTGAGGCAGCAGTGGGTGCTGGGTGGCTTCCTCTTGGCGCGGAGACCGCCACCCGCTGCTGCTTTGGAGGCTGCCGAAGCTGCCACAGCAGCGGCGGGCGGTGGGCTCCGCACCGCGCCAGGCGGCTTCCTCCTGCCTGGCGTATAAGACTGGGCTTATAAGACAAAACCCCAAATTGGCACTGCCAATTTGGGGGGTCGTCTTATAGGCCCAGTCGCCTAATACGCCGGAATCTACGGTATATAATTTATCCATCAAATTTCCACACTTAGATGATCATATAGAAATAAAATCAAACATTTTAGCTATTCCAATGTCTTTAAACAATTTTTAAAAGCAACAATGCTGTTGTTTCAATGCTGTTCTTCTCCTTAGCTCAGAATCTTTAAATCTTTCTGAATATCTTTCTGGAGATGCCTGAAGTGGAATTTTGGCCAAGCAGCAGTTTGGACATGGTGTACCTGGCACACAGATCCTCGCCGCTTCCTTCTCACTATCTCTTTCCCTGAACATTTTTATTACCTATTGTACCACCTTCATTTTCTACTACATTCCTGTTCCTAGTCTCTCACTTCTCTCACTACCAATACTACTACCACTACAGCTGCACATATACAATGTCCTATAACCATCATTCTTTGCAAGGCGCAGGACAGAGTCATCAGATTCTCCCATTCTACAAATCACTCCATTAATACATACTCTTCCCTCTGTCTAAAGGACATGTAGGAGCATAGGAAGCCACATGCAGCCTTCTCTATCCAGGCTTCAGATCCCCCACTTCACAGGCCACATCCTCACTGCTTCATGCCTCAAGTAATTTTGCCTGACTGGAATGCATCCTGGGATAAAAACTATTGCTACTCTTATTAATAATTATTATTATTATTAATAATGCTTCTTGTAACACTGCATTAAATTCCACAAGATAGACACTGCTGCATTGCTAATATTTGAAACTGCGTTCTGCAAACTTGTGGAAGCCCATTTTGTCAAATGAAACAGACCTCTCTCTTGCTGAAAACCTAGAGCGGCCCTACCAGTCAATGAGCTAGACTAGTATGGTATAGTAAGACTGGCAGGATAAGATCAGAGTGCCACATTAAGGTAACTGTTTTGAGATTTAAGCATTTAGCTACAAAGACATTGCTGCAGAAACAGGATGTGTACAATCTGTCCAGTTTCAGACACTGAACATTTAACCAACTATTGCAAAGATTGTTCGTATTTCACATGACATGTTGAGTGTCATATTTACACATGTACTAACCTTAACCCACAGATGTGAACCAATGGGTCCCACTGCCTATTGATACCAGAGGACCATGAACAGGTTACATTTAGGGCTGGGCAATATATTGCTATAGCATCCAAAAATGAAGTTCATTTCATGATATTGTTTCATAATTTTTGACCTGGCAATATGTTGTGAATCATGGTGCATGTGTGTGCTGTGCAAAAATCACAATGTGGGAAAACCCATGAAAGCCAGTCAATGCCTCTACATAGTTCCATCCTTATTTCAGACATCAGTATCAGACTTATTTCAGATATCTGTAGATCACAATGTTTAGCTGGTGCTATATCACGAAGTTGAAAATCAGCTCCATGGTTATTTCAGACATTGTGATATAGCAGTATATTGCAGTGTTTAGCTGATGATATACTGTGATGTTGAAAACCAGATATCACCCAGCCCTAGTTACACTGGCAGGTTACATTGGCTAAAGAACAAGAACAAATCTCACAGAAGTGTAAAGCATCTATGTACAACTGTACATCAACTGAGAAGGAAAAATTATTTTACTTGTGGGAGGTCCCCATGTGTTTGGTGGAACAGAGGGAATAATGGGGGTGACACTCTTGAGAATAAGACACCTGTGTTTCAGTAATTACTTACACCAGTGGTGGACAGATCTGACTTGGAGGAACTACATTTTTTAAACTACCGGTAGTATAAGGTCTACCAACCATACTCAAGTTAAGGAGACAGAAGACCCACCCCGCAAAGTACAAAGTGCTCGAGTACATGCTCAGTTCAGAAAAAAATTTCAGGACCAGAATTGAGCTCACAGCCCCCGAGTCTTTTAGTAGCTGCTTTTGTGACATAACAGTGAATCAGAAATTGTTGCAGAGCTCCCACAAGCCACCCAGAGATCAACCAATCTACATTCTGTGAACCCCGTTTCCCACAATATTATCATGAAAGCCACTCATGCAGGCGAGTGAGTGGGCTGGGGAAGGAGGAACACTTTATCTGGTTTCTGGGATGCTTTAAACGTCACACACATATGAATGAAACTCATATATATGAAACTCTTGCGAAGAGGTTAGTATCCTGCATTTTCATTCTGATTGCAGAGAGGGGAGTCCACTTTTCTGCAGCCCACATAGAAACAAGACTATTAGCCTCTTTGGTTGCGGGGGGCGGAATGTGCCGGTTCGGAACTTTTGTGGGCTTATTGGCAATGCTGAAATGTAAAAGAAACACACCGAGAAACACCTGGCTTGGGAGACACAGTTACCCTGACATTCATCGCTGAAAGGAGCTCCAGGCGGCACGACCGGTTCTCCTCCTCCTCCTCCTCCCTCTTCTCATTCTCCAGACCCCCCTGCGAGGCGGCCCAGGCCGGGGGAAGCCGCCCAATTCCCACCGGGCCCCCCCCGGCCCTCGCTCCCCGCCGGGATCCTCCCCGACCCTCTGCGACGCCAGAGCCAGGCCGGGGGAACCAGGCCCCGGCGCGACCTTGGCCCCAGGCGGCCCACCCGGCGGGGAGGCTGGGCGGGAGACGGGCGCAAGGCGACGGAGGAGGAAGAGGAGGAGGGCCGCCGCCGCCGCCGCCGCGCAAGGCCCGCCACTCACCGCTCTGCGCGCCAGGCGCTGCGCCCTGAGGAGCCCCGGAAACATGGCGGTGCTGGGAGCTCCGCGTCCTGCGCCTCAGAAGCCCAGAGGAAGCCCCTCCCCGTCGCCCGCTCCGAGGAGAGAAATCTCGCGAGAGCTCGTGGAAGGCGGCGACCAGGGGCGGGCTTGCCGGGTGGGAGGAGGGGCGCCCTGTCTCGGATTGGTCGGCGGCCGGAGGCCCCTCCCTCGGGCGCAGCGCGGCCCTTCGCGGGCGCAGGCGGCGGGCCTCCCTCGCCGGGGCGCTGCATCTGGGCCAGTCCCGCCCGCAGCGCCGGCCCTCCAGGCTGCAGACGGAGCTCCGGCTCCCTGGCTAGAAGCCCGCGGTGGACTTTGAAAGCCGCCCAAGTTAGTGACCAGACTGCACCTTGCGGCCTGTTCTAGAGTTCACGTTGGCGGGGCTCCTTATTATATTAATGTATCATAATAATAATAATAATTTATTATTTATACCCCGCCCATCTGGCTGGGCCTCCCCAGCCACTCTGGGCTGCTTCCATAGAAACCAAAAATACTGTACACTAAAATATCACACGTTAAAAACTTCCCTGAACAGGGCTGCCTTCAGATGTCTTCTGAATGTCAGGTAGTTGTTTATCGCTTTACATCTGCTGGGAGGGCGTTCCACAGGGCGGGCGCCACCACCGAGAAGGCCCTCTGCCTGGTTCCCTGTAACTTGGCTTCTTGCAGTGAGGGAACCGGCAGAAGGCCCTCGGTGCTGGACCTCAGTATCCGGGCTGAACAATGGGGGAGGAGACACTCCTTCAGATATACTGGACCGAGGCCGTTTAGGGCTTTAAAGGTCAGCACCAACACTTTGAATTGTGCTCGGAAACGTACTGGGAGCCAATGTAGGTCTTTCAAGACCGGTGTTATGTGGTCTTGGCGGCCGCTCCCAGTCACCAGTCTAGCTGCCGCGTTCTGGATTAGTTGTAGTTTCCGAGTCACCTTCAAAGGTGAAGTAGAGCGCACGTAGAGCGCATTGCAGGAGTCCAAGCGGGAGATAACCAGAGCATGCAGATAGGGTCTCAGCCTACGTACCAGATGGAGCTGGTAAACAGCTGCCCTGGACACAGATTTGACCTGTGCCTCCATGGACAGCTGTGAGTCCAAAATGACTTCCAGGCTGCGCACCTGGTCCTTCAGGGGCACAGTTACCCCATTCAGGACCAGGGAATCCTCCACACCTGCCCGCCTCCTGTCCCCCAAAAACAGTACTTCTGTCTTGTCAGGATTCAGCCTCAATCTGTTAGCCGCCATCCATCCTCCAACCGCCTCCAGGCACTCACACAGGACCTTCACCGCCTTCACTGGTTCTGATTTTAAAGAGAGGTAGAGCTGGGTATCATCTGCATACTGATGAACATCCAGCCCAAACCTCCTGATGATCTCTCCCAGCGGCTGCATGTAAATGTTGAAAAGCATGGGGGAGAGGACAGAACCCTGAGGCACCCCACAAGTGAGGGCCCAGGGGTCTGAACACTCATCCCCCACACCACTTTCTGAGCACGGCCCAGGAGGAAGGAGCGGAACCACTGTATGACAGTGCCCCCAGCTCCCAGCCCCTCAAGACAGTCCAGAAGGATGTTATGGTCGATGGTGTTAAAGGCCGCTGAGAGATCCAGCAGAACTAGGAAACAGCTCTCACCTTTGTCCCTAGCCCGCCGCAGATCATCAACCAGTGCAACCAAGGCAGTTTCAGTCCCATGATGAGGCCTGAATCCTGACTGGAAGGGATCCAAATGGTATGAACTCAAGGTGGCTTACTATTAAAACAAACAGCTTAGAACATACAAAAATCAATCATTAAAAACGGATTGGTACAATTAAAATACATACATATAAAAAGATCACATACAGGTAGTTACAATAAAAACACAGCACCAGCCCTTTCCTTACACATTGACTGTGATGTAGGCCCAACTGTATTCATCGGATTTCACACATTCTCATTGCCATAGACTTATTTATGCTTTTCAACTTATCAAGAGTATCCAGCTTGTTAATCAAAAGCCTCCCTGGTGCAGCTGGTTGAAGTAAGTGTATGTTGTCATGCACACTGATGGTGCAATAGGATTATTATTTTTTAAGATTTGTGATTCTCTTTAAGACAAGTGATTCTCAAAGTGGCTTACCAAAAAAACAAACATACACAATTCAGCCCAGCAATGCTCTAATCTGCCGGCTGGTGTGTGCCCTGCTTCAGCTCTGCAGGTCAAAAATAGTATTTTTAAAATGATTAAACATTGGCAACCCACACACAAAACAGCCCAGTGAGGACTGGGTATGTACCAGGAGCTACAGGGAAAAAAGGTGGAAACCAAGAGGGGGTGAAGGTGAATTGGGCTGTGTGAGCCCCTAACACCAATAGTATTCCAAAGGAAGGCATGGTTGCCTTGCTGGCTGGAACCCTGAACAGAATGGCTGTTAGGGGCTGAGGACATACTGCTACATTTTGATGCATGTCCTGCTTTTAATGTATATTATTCAGTACAACAATCTTGGAAAGGAAGGTCGTTATTCCCATTGTACAGATTTTAACTAGTTGTAACTAGGAAACCATGTGCTTTAAATGTGCAGGGGTATGGAGGTAACAAATTGTCATGAATGCACAATATAAAGGACATCTGGAGGGGCCCTTAGCAAAAGCCACGTTGTGCACCCAGGGCTAAGCTGAGATTTGGACCCAGATCTCCCATTCGGCACCATATTCATTAAAGACCACATCAGCTATTGCAAACAGAGATTTGGGGAAGAAAAGAAAAGAAAGTTTCAATGTGGCTGATACGGATTGAGCCAAGCCAGTGCTCTGTTGCAAGGAACACATTAAGAACCTCTGAAACCTGATGCAGCTTGAAGGCAGTTTGGGTTGGATGACATGGAGCACAGCTGTGGGCTTGTCAGCCAAGGTCAACACAACTCTGTTGGCCCCGTGGGTGGGGGAACACAAAGGAGTGCCCATTCTCACACCTGGCCAGGGTCCACATGGTTTGTTTCTTGGTTAACCATACTTTCTCAGTCCCCACAAGGCATTCCTGCCTCTTCATAGCCTAGTCAGAAGTATCCTGTATCCCTGAGCAAGGACCCTTCAGGAAGAACACAAGAGCTTTTGTATTCCACTTTCTTGCATGTCTACCCAGAATAAAAAATGCATGGGCCTTTGGTTACCAAATTGAAACGAGGTCTCTCTCCCACCCCCTTCAGCCAATTTCTGGAAGCTGTGCTTGGCATATCTTGCCAAAACCAAGAAACCCAACATTTGTATCTAAGTGGAACATACAGTAAATCTCTCCCATTCCCTCTGCTTGCATCTGCTTGAAACTTGGAGGGGGCCCTCCTGTTCATCTGTGCGTAGGTGGCTGGAACAGGGTCAGAAAGACCAGACGTTAAGCTTCTCCCCCCCTCCTGCCCCGCTACTGCAGGACCTGCCAATTGTCTAAGTGACCCAGCAACTTCAAAGACCAGTCATGCAACACCAGCCTAGTATGGTATCCCCATTTCCAGAGGACAGATTTACTACTCCTTCAGCCGACGCCCCTTCCTCAAGAGCCAGCACAAGCCCCATTAAGTCTGCAGAGCCCATTTCAGATTTGGAGGCTCCTTCATTTGCCTGCGTGATTTATGAGCTTTCAGGAGTTTTTAAGGAATTGAGCGTCTTTAACTTGGGATTTGAATTTCATTGGAAAATATGAAAGTGATTAAGAGGATAGCTCCTTGGAATGTGGCTTGCGTTCCAGTGCATGGAGAAAGCAGATGAGACAGATCAATTCCAAAACCGATGACATGCCTAAATTTACTCATGAAACTCAAGAGAGACAAGAACCGGGCACAACTGCAGCCACATGGGCAGAGCTGTGTGCTGCCACAATGTTAAAGGGCTATGGCAGCTTCCTGAGTTCAAAACCCAGCAGATACGATTGCCACCCTGCCTGTGGCATCGCAGAACAAGCCACAAAGGCCCATCTGCACTATATATTTAAAGCAGTATCATACCACTTTAAATAACCTTGGCTTCCCCCAAATAATCCTTGGAACTATAGTCAGTTAAAGGCGCTGAGAATTGTTTGGAGACCCCAGTCCACCTTACGGAACTACAATTCTCAAAGTGTTTTGACAACCCCTCTCTTTTAGCCCTGTGTGTGGACAGGCCATTTGTAATATAGACAGCTTAGTTTTGGCTACATAATGATGTGGAGCCAATCCAGCCATCCTTTTTGTTGTGCATTTGTGATGATTTGTGCTCACGATGCTGTCAGGGTGGATAGATGTGATCCGGCTTTCAACGCTGTTTGGGCCTGCAAATGTTTCAGGGTGGCCCTGCTGCTTTGCTTCCAGTCTGTGCTTGTTCCATAGCTTTCTGATGAAATCCTGTCACTTTCCAGACCACAAATGTTCTGGAGGGGGGAGGATTGTCTTGTTTTTGCTGCCCCTCCAGACTGCAATAATGTTGTAACACTGGGGCATCACAGAACAACTAATAAAGTTGAATGGGGTGTGGATGGTCCAGTATAAATCCACCACGAATGTGCTATTATTGTGTCAATGACATATTGCAGAAGTGCACCCACAAAAAGGCCCTGTCCTGAGGGGCCCCTGACATTCAGAGAATGAGCGAGCTGCCTTACCGTAGAAGGGGAGTTTTGTTGGGGAAAATTTGTTTTTTAAAAGTGATTGTTTTGTTCATTTGTTTTCTTCTTTTTTAATTAAATTGTTTTGTTTTGTTTTGTTTCATATAGCAATACAGATGTCTGAGAGATACAGAAACTATCAATGGCTTGCCTGTTTGACATCGTACAGTCCACAACTTAAGAAAGAAAATAATGCAGAGTGAAGAAATTGTTATTTCACAGAGATAAAAACAATGCTATGAATAATAAGAGCATGATTCCATGGAAGTACAGCAGAGTCGTCAATAATTAGTCCTGGAATACAATCAAAACTAGATAACACTATACTTTGCAGGAACTAGGTTTTTTTTTAAGACTGAAGGTTCTTTTTTTAAAAAAAACTTTGGATGTGTGTGTGAATGGCCAGTTCAGGGCACAAGGAAAGCGAGCGGCCCAGTTTCCCCCCAACAGCACTTGTTATAGATCCTTGAAAACATTTGAGAGGCACTTAACAGCATGTATCTGTCCTTTAGTTTCAAATCAATTGGATCAATGTGGCGAGCATCATGAGGCCATATGGATTTGTGACATACACCCATAACCCTTGCAAAACAGAAATCAATTAATTACCATCTTCTATCCATAAAATTTCCTTCTTTTGAGACAGATAACACGTTGTGGATGTTCTCCAGATTCATAGAATCATAGAATTGTAGATATTTGCTTTTTGTCAGCAGAGCACAATGTTCAAAATAGAGATAATGAAATAAATTATGGTAAATTGTCTATATTACAAGTGGGCAACCTGTGACTCAGGAAACACATATTCCTCCTATTTTTATTTTATTTTTATTATTATCCTTGGTTCCTCCAAGCAGTTCAAGTTGGTCGCATGGTTCTCCCCACTCTCAATTTTATCCTCAAGGTGGGCTTGATTGAGAGGCAGCAACTGACCCAAGGTCACCATTGACTGAATGAGGATTTGAACCCTAGGGCCGTATCCAATATTAGTCCTGCTCAGAGTAAAGGTAAAGGGACCCCTGACCATTAGGTCCAGTCATGGCCAACTCAGGTTGCGGCGCTCATCTCGCTTTATTGGCCAAGGGAGCTGGCGAACAGCTTCCGGGTCATGTGGCCAGCATGATTAAGCCGCTTCTGGCGAACCAGAGTAGTGCATGGAAACGCCGTTTACCTTCCCGCCAGAGCGGTACCTATTTATCTACTTGCACTTTGACGTGCTTTCGAACTGCTAGGTTGGCAGGAGCAGGGGCCGAGCAATGGGAGCTCACCCCGTCACGGGGATTCAAACCGCCGACCTTCTGATCGGCAAGCCCTAGGCTCTGTGGTTTAACCCACAGTGCCACCCGTGTCCCCCCTACTCAGAGTAGGCTTATTGAAATTAGTGGGCATGACTATCTCAATTCATGTATTGTTTCAGGAAGTGCGATTTAGGTAGGTTCACCTTTAAATAAGAACTGAATCAAATTTCTTCCCTAATAGAGGACACTTTCAACTCCTGCTGTAAACTAAAAAAAGAGAGTAGTAATATGATAGATATGCTGCCTCCTGATTTCAGCCACAAATCCACAGACACACCTTGGTGGATCACCTAAATAAAACTAATGAATCAGATTCCTGGAAATATGCTAATATTACATTGATACCAAGGCAAGATCACAATCCAACTCAGATTGGACTATAGACCCATTTCCTTGATCAACTGTGACTACAAACTGTAGTAATATTAGCTAGGAGACAAATTAGTTTTAAAGGATTAGATACATGAAGATAAAGCTGGATTTCTCCCAAAAAGAGCAATAAAGGACAATGTTAGAACTATATTAGATACTGTAGAATATTTTGAAAAGAGAAATGATAAGCAATTAGATGCAGAGAAGGTGTTCAATAATGTGTTTTTTTGGAGTTTCATGGGGGAAATATTGGATATAATGGGCTGGGGGGAGAAAATTGTGAGAGGGATAAAGGTAATATATACAGAACAAATTGCAAGTATAATAGTAAATGGAGTGGTAACAGAAAAGTACACTATTACAAAGGGCACGAGACAAGGTTGCCCACTATCACCATTATTGTTTATCTTGATACTAGAAGTGCATACAGGAGTACCTGGCATGCTCTGGTCCATGGGGTCACGAAGAGTCGGACACGCCTAAACAACAAGAAGTGTTATGGAGGGAATTAAGGGGAAATAGTGAAATACAAGGTATGCAAGACTGTTGGATCTAGAAGGATATGGGAACAATTTGGGTGGCATGCTTACCTATGGTACGACAAGGTAAAAGGAAATAGGGATTTTTTGAGTCATTGTATAAGGAGAAGCTTATATTGAGTTTGGACTAGATACAGAGATTTATTTGAAAGGAAAACCCCTTTATGGTTATCACCAATAGTAGCTGGTACATCAAAGAAATTAAATATGGTGGAGAAGTGGGGTAAATATAGAGATATAGTGTGGAAATCTCTGTAAATTGAAAAAAGAATATGAAGACACGAGATCTTCATGGAGATCAAATTGGTTATAATATCAAATTAATGAATATTTTTTAAAAGATTTAGTAAAAGGTTTTACGGACCAAGTATCTGATTTTTAAAAGATTTTGCTTGGAGGAAGAAAAAAGCTGATTTCAAAAATGTATAAACTATTATTAGAATGGGAGATGAAAGTTGAAATGGTGAAATAGGTAATGATAAAATGGGCCAAAGATTTAGGACCTAATATAGAAATAAACACGTGGGGAAAGTTGTGGACAGTAGATATGAACTTCACTGCTTGCTATGATTTAAAAGAGAATTATATGAAAATGATGTATAGATGGTATTTAACACCAGATAAATGATGTAAAATGTATAAGAAGGTCTCCAATAACTGCTGGAAGTGTAAGCAAGCAGGTGCTCCTTTTTCATATATGGTGGATTTCCAAAAAAGGGTATTTTGGAATAAGATATACAATGAGATAAAAAAGATGTTTAAAGTGAGTTTACCAAAAAAAAAAAAAAAAAAACCAACCCAAAAACCCCCTGAAGCTTTCCTGCTAGGAATTATGTGGACAGAAATTCCAAAAAAGAATGGTTAATTTGTTTATGTATGTAACTATAGCAGCTAGGCTTCATTATGCTCAGAAATGGAAAGATGAAGAAGTAGCTGCTAAAGAAGGATGGATAAGATTCAGACTGTGCTGAATCAGCAAAGCTAACAGCTATACTAATCCTCTAATGATGATTACCTTTTTGAAGAATGGAAGCCCTTTTCAGATTATTTGAAGAAATATTACAACAAAGAATCCACGACCAGGTTTTGAGCTATGAGCAACAGAAAAAATTAGAGACTATTGTGTTATGATTATGATTAAAAGGGAATGAAGACAGGGGGCAGCAAAACAGAGACAAGGAAAACATCACGGAAGATAGGTTGGGAAGTGAGAAAAGAAATCTCTATTTAAAATGTATTGGAATTTTATCTTTACCATTTTCAGAAATTTAATAAAAATGTTTTTAAAAATGAAACTCGTGAATCACTGGTGGTCCCCAGACCACAGTTTGTGAACACCCTGCCATAAATAATAAATTTCAAAGAGGTAAAACCAATATAACTCTCTTAAAACAACACCATTTGTTTCTCCAACCTCAAGGTGCAATCCTCACAACATTTACTTAATCCTGATCCTGAAAGCCATTGTAATTACTTTAGAGTAAGCAGGCATAGAATCAGGCTGCATGTGAATCTGTGTGTCGAGTAAGGAGGCTTTGAATCCCCTTCATATCCTTTTTCTTCATTAATTACCATGTGTTTACTTATTAAAGGAGTGGAACACACTCCTTTTTAATCCGACTTCAAGCTTCCAAAAAAAAATAAAATCAGCTTCTAGGGTGATGAGGCAGAAGGAATTTTTAGTGGGGTTATCAAGCTGTTAATGAAGAATAGAACAGGTTGGGATTTTTGCCTTCCTTAAATAACAAAACAAGGCTAAACCTTATATGGGAAAGCCTGCCAAGAAAATTAGCTCCTTTGAGCCAATTATGGATCTGTGACTTAGGAGGAGAACAAAGCTGTTCACAGTTAAATGCAGTAAAAAGAAGTAAATACAGGTTCTGATTTTTTTAAAAAAAAGTATGAGAAACAAAAAAATCATGTGAGATATATATTGTAAATTTGTCCACCAGCTATGAAAAGCCCAGTAAATGGTTGCAAGGTAGGTATCTTGAACCTTTTCAGACCCAGGATCCACTTTTAACCCAAGCATGCATTTTGGGACCCATTTCTTAATATTTTGCCATAAATTTGCATGGTGGTAGCGCTCCTGTTGTGACCAACCTTGGTCACTTGTTAAAGACCAGTGATGTCATTCATGCTCCAAAGGGCTCGCAAAACTTGTCTCCCCTTAAAGACTGAGAGACTGAGTACACATTGCCAGCTTAAAACACAGAGGTCATTCTGTTTTTCAGTTTGGATCAAAGCTGGTTTTGGGGGGGCGGTAACATACCAAAATGCAGTATTCAAGAAATGGCGGTTTAGATACAGGACAGATACACATCTTTTTTGTAAACTGCTTTTAGTTTTTTTAGTTTTTTAAATGAAATAAATAGAAATGGCTAACATCTCCATGCACCCACCGCTTCTCAAACCACCAGTGGGAATACTCCAAAATGCAGAATAAATGGGAGCACACACACAGCCTAACAGATTTACTATCCATGCCTAATTACAAGGAAGCCCATTGAGTTCAATGGGATTTACTATGGGAATGGTGCATCCAAAATACTATACGAAAGGCTGATGCTATAGAATAGAATCCTGTGATGCCACAACACAGCAGGCAGGTTTTTTTTCTGTTATCAGCTGAAAAGAGGGAGTTTTAACTGTGGGAGCTGCCGGTGTTGTCTTTTGTGCTGCTGTGTGCCTCAGAATCAGGATGTAAATATTAGTCAGTCTCAGATACATATTCATGTAAATATGTTTCAGTATACCAAGTAAAAGGCATATGTTATTTTTAAACAATGTATCATACATAGTCTTTTCTATGAGAGAAAGAGAGAACTATTAAAAGGGTCAAATGACCCAGGGCAACTTCCGCATAACTCTGTAAAGTATAATTATCACATGAAGGCCATAAGCAGTTGAGCAAGAATCCACTTTAACAGATGCCTCTGAGGGATCTATTGTATTTAAGGGGGTTGGACCAGATGACCCTTGGGAACCCTTCCAACTCTACAATTCTAAGTTGCTAAAAGAATTGTTTTAATTCATAGCAACTCCATCCATTTCTCATTCCCGTTTGTCCGCTGTGGGTTAAACCACAGAGCCTGGGACTTGCCGATCAGAAGGTTGGCGGTTCAAATCCCCGCGATGGGGTGAGCTCCTGTTGCTCAGTCCCTGCTCCTGCCAACCTAGCAGTTCGAAAGCACGTCAAAGTGCAAGTAGATAAATAGGTACCGCTCCAGCGGGAAGGTATACGGTGTTTCTGTGCACTGCTCTGGTTTGCCAGAAGCGGCTTAGTCATGCTGGCCACATGACCCGGAAGCTGTTCGCCGGCTCCCTCGGCCAATAAAGCGAGATGAGCGTGCAACCCCAGAGTCGGCCACGACTGGACCTAATGGTCAGGGGTCCCTTTACCTTTACCAGACTAGGACCCAGCAGACCAGAGTTCAAATCTCCATTGGGTGACCTTGGGCAAGTTGCAGTCTCTCAGCCTAGCCTACCACACAAGGCTGTGGTGAGGATAAAACAGAGTGGGGAACTGTGAGCACCACCTTCAGCTTCTTGCAAGAAAGGTGACATAATGGTGATGATAATGTTATAAAAGTTTAATGATGGTGTTCTGATGTCCTCTAAAAGCCAACAGGAAACAGTTCTTTTATGCAGGTAAAAATTTGTTGCTTTGCACAAGCAACATATACAGTTTTATAACATTTAAAAGTGAACTTCCGGGTTAGCGCCATCGGCGAATGGCGGAGTTCCTCCAACCGGAGGAACTGGCTCCGTGGAAACTGGGTCTTCCCGCCGCGGCGAAGGTGAGGACCCGCTAGAAATCCCAGGTGGAGGAAGCCTGGGAATGTGGGGTTCGGCAGGGCACCAGGAGCGCCTCCCCTACTCACGGGGAACCCCATTTCAGGGTTCCGGAGAGAAGTGGGGTGAGCGGTGCGGTGCTGCGAACTGATTGCTACTTTCACGGAGTGAAGCCGCACAGCCATTGCGCTGACTTTTTCCTGTGGACAATTGGATTTAAAACAAGTACCCGTGAGTAGAAACGGAAAATTGGATCAAGAAATATCCTAATTTGGCACCGAAGCGGGAAGGTTCAAACAGGAAGTCCGCCTTCCGCTTTTTGTACATAGACTGAAGCAAAAACCTTGTAAGCTAAAGTCCGGAAAGTCGTTAAAAAAGTCTAAATTTCCTTCATTTATAACCACTAAAACCCCCTTGGAAGCAGGAGAAAAGGGGGGGGGAATCTTTGTTTAAGCCTGCAGGAGAGGGAGTGAAGAAAGATAAGTTTCCACCGGACTTCCGGGGTGGCGCCTCCGGAAAATGGCGGAATTCCCTTCGGACTGAAGGGAACCCGCTGCACGGAGGTTTGGGTCCTGCCGCTACGGCGCAGCGGGGACCCGCAAAAACCACAGGCGGAAGAAGCCTGTGGACGTGGGACTCGGCGGGCACCGGAGCGCTCTCTCCCCTTGTACAGGAGCCCGGTAACGGGCTCCGGAGTGGGAGGTGCGTGGTGCTGTGAGTCGTCTGCTTCCTCCGTGCAGCAAAGCCGCACTGCCGTTATCGGAGAGCGCTGCCTTTTCCTGGACAATTTGGCATCTAAAACATCTATCCGTGAGTACCTGATCTTGGAAGAGTTGAACCACTTTTAAGACTGGTGAATAAACAAATAATATTGGACTTGAAATTGAACTTAATTGGGACTCGGAATGGGAAGGTCTAAACAGGAAGTCGCCTTCCGTTCTTTTGTTAATGTGAAGAAAGCAAAGACAAAATATACTAAAGCCTGAAAATTAAATTCTAAGAGAACCAGAATTCAACATCTAAGATTTCTGAACCCCCCCTTTGACTGCAGGAGAAAAAGGGGGTTGTATTTGGACTTTTCAATCCTGCGGAAGTGAGTTTAAAATAAAGCAATTTTCCACCGCCCTGAACCAGGAGCGGGCTGTCAGAATTGACGTTCTGAAGTGTATCCAGCTCGACAGTTAATTAAAAGAAGGGTAACATTTTGATTCTACTGTTGCCTCTTGAAGTTGGAAGGGGGGAATTGTGGATAAAGTGTTTCTGGAAAAAGAAAGATTGTTGCTGTTGCTTTTATTCCTTTAAAAAAAAAAATCCATCTAGTGGAATTTAGTGAAATTGCAACGCAGAGAGATTAAAAGAGAAGGACTATTGGACTATTCTCGTGGGAAAGAATTTTCTTTGACCTTGAAGGACAATGCTAGTACAAAGGCTTGAACAATTGTTCCTGGAAGGTTTTTCAAAACTAAGTGCCCAGCTGGACCAGATGCGTCAGGAGACGACCTTGATGATGGAAGTTACCAGAGCACAGCAGCAAACAAATGAAATTCAGTTAAAGGCTATACAAGCATATGAACCTGCTGTAGTGACGGAGGCTTCAGAGATGGAGGGACCTTTGGACGGGCAAGATCAGCCTTTGAACTTGATAAATGAACTTGGGACAAACCAGATTCGGAAAGATGAAATGTGGTCAGATTTGGAAATGGGGGATGGATCGACCCCCCCTCTATATGGTTATTTGGACCTTCCGAGTCTGGTGATGGGCTATCAGAGGATTGGAGTAGCCGAAGTCTCCAAGCTTTGTGGAAATTTGAAGTGGTATTATTTGCTGTCTGGCTTGGGCAATGGGTTTGGGATGGACTTGCTGCAAAGGGTCAAAAGCATTTTCTTGCTGGAGCATCCACGACGGGAAAGGAATCATCAACAAGAGTGGCGAAAGGGGCAAGAAAGAGACTTGAGGGCCTCGGATACGAGACAACCAGGTTAAGGAGCTGGATTACCGAGGTTAAAAGGACTGACAATCCCGGGTTCAGGGGAGGGGAGGTTGGAAGCTGACTGGACTGAATTTGACTTATTATTTTTTCTTTTTTATTTTTTAATATTGGGAATGCTTACAAATGTTTGAAGGATGTTGAATGAAATTACATGGCTTAAGTAAGGATTGGTAAATGATTCGTAAAAAGGTAATGATGCAAGAATTTGGTAAATATTGAATATAAGTTATGAGTTTTAAAGTTTTTATATGACAAGAGGGAAAATAGAATAAGGAAATGTAATGACAGATTGTTATGAAAAAAAAACAGAAAGGATTTGCTGTAAAAATTAAAAATTAAGAAACAAAAGAGGGGAGGAGGAGGAAGTCTAGAAAGGAAGTCAATAGAGATTGCAAAGGACTTTATATTTTTGTTTTTCTGTTTCTCTTTTTTATTCTTTGCGGCTGGGTTTTCTTTTCTTTTTTGTTTATGTACTAATTTTGTTTTTTGTATCCTTAAATTTTTTTTTTTTGGAAATTTTTGTTGTTATTCTTTGAAAATTCAATAAATATCAACTATAAAAAAAAAAAAAGAAAGATAAGTTTCCACCGTCTCAAACCTGGGAACGGGGGTCAGAGACAGAAATTGTTGGAGAGGTTTATTGACTGTGAATGGAATACTTTGACAGATAGCTAAAGAAGAGAAATAAACTGATTCCAATGTTGCCTTTGCATTCTAAAGAAACAAAATATCTGAAAAATGAAAGTAATTTTCCTTTGTTGGACTTGCCTTAAAAAGATGGATACAAATAGAAATTGTCTCCTCTAGAGGGAGCCTGTTAAATTGTTGCTGCAGTCTACTTGAGGACTCTACAGCTGTGAGATTAAGATCGTGGGACCAGTCCTTTTGACCTCGAATAAAAATGAGCTGGGAGGAAGTTTTGGTGCTTGCTTTATGCAAGACAAGTGCTTTGTTGGAACAGATGCATGAGAAGATGGATCTGATGAATGAGAAAACGGATTTGATGACTGTTGTGGTCAATAACTGTGGACAAACAGGGAATATTGATACAGAAACCATTCAGGGACCAACTCAGGAACCTGTATTGATGGGGCAAGCGCAGAAGAAAATGGAGGAGGTTGAGGTTGTACCTCAAATAATACAAATGGAGAGATCCGAGGCCCTGCAGGAGCATAAGCCGCTACTTTTGAAGATTGAAGTTGGAGTGGGCCAGGGGGAGTCTGGAGCTGAGGAGGTCCTTAACTTCGGAGGGACTTTGAAATATGCTCTTAAATATTTTTTGGATTACATTGATGACTGTGGGGAGTGGGACTGTGGGGAATGGGCTGGTTTGATGAAGGGAGATGGAGATAATCTTGGGCTGGAACCTCCCAGAGACCTACTCCTCAATGAGAAAGGAAAGAAATTAAGAAAGAGACTAACAAAAGACAAGGAAAAGTGCAGGTATAAACAAGAAAAAGAAGATCTGCAGAAGGGACATGGAAGAGACTTAAGAGCCTCGGACATAAGATTACCGGGTTGATGGACTAGATGGAATGGACAGTAAGGACTGACATGACCCGAGACCAGGAAGAAGAGACGCTGGATGAAGATTGGAAGAAAATTTATAAAGAAAAATTTTTATTTAGGGAATTAGCATAAAATTAATGAATATTAGGGAAAATGTTGGAATGAAAAAATATGGCTTTAGTAGAAATGATATAAGGATTTATGTATAATTGAGTATTAAGTTTCAAGCTCTAAGGTATTTTACGGTAAGATAAGGTTAAATAAATTAAGGCAATTTGAATAACAGAATATGGGGAAAGATGGAAAGGATTTGTTGAGTTAATTAATAGGTTAAATTGTTAAGATAAATTATTCAATAAAAATTGAGAAAGATGGAAAGAATTTGCTGAAATAACTAATTAAACTAGAATACAAAAAGGGAGGTGTGAGGAGGTCAATGAAACAAGCAAATGGAAGTCAAAGATATGTAACTTGGGATTTGTGTCTTTTTTTTATCTTTTTGCTGTATTGTTGTATTGGCTTTTATGCTTTGTTTTTTTCTCTCTTTTTTATGTATTGTAGTGTTGTTTCCTATTTTTTCTTTTTTTTCTGTAATTCTGAAACTTTTAATAAATATTATTTATAAAAAAAATAAAAGTGTGTTACAATTTTACAAAATTAAGCATGTAGCTGCAAGGCAAGGGAATTCAATAATAACTATATATGTTAGAGTAGATTTAACAAATTTGTTGTTATTACTCCTATTACTATTATTTTCAATTTTTGCCTGGCCTTTTTCATAAGATTCCAGGTTCCAACAATTTAGAAGTACAATATTATTTTGAGTATCTGTTACTGGTTTGTTTTGTTCTTGTTTTTATTATGCATTTTGTGCTGTGAACTGCCCTGAGATAAACAATAAGCTTGGCCCTAAATTTTAGATTTCAGTCTAAAAGGATACATTAGATTTCCTGTATTAGATTTTATGCTTTGAATTTTGACAACCATGGCAGCACTTTGGATATGAATAATCTATGCTAAATCTGGCTTGATGCAGATTAGATCCTGACATACAAAGGGAGTCTTTTATCACTTATGGCTAGTGTTTTAGGAGCTTATAACTGCAATAAGGTAGAGATTATATCAGCATGATCCATAGTATCTGAACCATGACAAATTATTTTTGTTGTTGTTTAATGACCTCCAGTGCAAACTACTTGTGAGCCTATGGCTTTGTTGCTTAAGCACCCTTTGTGAAGTACAGCATGATATTGTAATGAACTTATAGTAAAAAGGAGTAATTAATTAGGGGAAGCACATTCTTATCCAGGATTATATCACTAAGATGTTGCAACAGTTTCTTCATCGAAAGCACATATCCCCTTGGGAACTGCTTTGGGAACTGTAGTTTCCCCTCACAGAGCTGATTCAAGCACCCTCAACACACTGCCGGTTCCAGGATGTGCAGAGGAGGTACATGATCTCACTACAGGCAGGATGGAAGTGTCGTGATTTGATCAATTTGGAAGAAAGGCCCATGTTTTAAAGAATGCAGATGTTTATAAGGGCACAATCAGGCATCCCCAAACTCGGCCCTCCAGCTGTTTTGGGACTACAATTCCCATCATCCCTAGCTAACAAGGATGATGGGAATTGTAGTCCCAAAGCAGCTGGAGGGCCGAGTTTGGGGATGCCTGGTAAGGCAACTTCCTATGCTCTTGCATGAGTCAGGTCTCCCGAGAGCTGCCTGGGCCACCAGAGACCTCCCTGCCAAGGGGAAGGCAGACAAGGCCTCCCCTGGACGACCAGCATGCTTAGTTTGAAAAGTCCAGCCGTATGGACTTCACAGTGCATGCATATCATAGGAAGAACCCAGGAAGCTGCCTTATCCCGAGTCAGACCATCAGTCCTCGCTTATGACTGTCTACTACTGTCTGGCAGCAGCTCTCAAAGGTTTCAGGTAAGAGGTCTTTCCCAACTCTACCTGTAAATGTTGAAGACTGCACCAGGGAGCTCTGCATGCCTCTGTTGAGCTATGGCCCTTTCCTATCAGCCAGGCTTCCTCAAACTCAGCCCTCCAGATGTTTTTGGCCTACAACTCCCATGATCTCAAAACATTTGGAGGGCTGAGTTTGAGGAAGCCTGCTATCAGCAATACAGAAGCTGGAGCACTCTGCATGTAGCGCCTAAGATCCTTGCTTTATTGCTTTTGTCCTATGCTTTCCCTCTTCAGGCATTTATTAGCATTAAAAAACACAGTTCCTGATCACAGGCAAAGGACTTTCTGTGTATGCGGCTGTATACATGAGGCTCCCTACAGCTGTGTAAGACTGGATTTTACTATCTCAATGTCACCCACCCACCCGCCACCAGTACTGGTTCATTGTGCCCAGGCTTCCTCAAACTTGTCTGCCTTCCCCCTGGCAGGGAGGTCTCTGGTGGCCCAGGCCGCTCTCAGCAGACCTGACTCATGCAAGAGCATAGGAAGTTGCCTTACACTGTCAGAACATTGGTTTTTCTGCATTGTCTGCAGTGCTTCCCCGGGATTTCAGACAGGAGGTCTCTCCCAGCCCTGCCTGGAGATTCCAGTGATCATGAAACTGTATTGTTGGAAGGGACCTAAGTGGCCGTCCAGCCCAATCCCCTGCAGTGCAGGATGGAACCTGGGACCTTCTTCAAACAAAGCAGATGCCCTCCCCTGAGCCATGGTCCTTCCCCATATAGCCATAAGTTAGGCCAGCGCTGCCTTTATACATTAGAGGAGTGTCAGTTCCATTGTTAAAAATGCCAGCAGTGCCATAAACTGTCTCTCCATGCCAACTTCTTTCTGCAACCTTCCCACCTTTATACAGCACATTTTTATGGCAGAGCCCCACAGTGAATTGAAAGGATTCACCTGCTTAATCTTCCAAAATCCAGTAATGATTAAAGAATCCCAACCTGCTTTACCACACCACTGGATAATTTAAAAATTGTGAAGGCATCCTTTATTGTTACTTTGCAAAGGATTATTTGGTGGGGAGGTGTGGGAAAAGATCTTATTTACTGGAGAATATTCATACACTGCTTAATATACACCAGCTCTAGGGAAAACACCAGGAGTTCCATGTGGAATTGGCAGCATTTGGACAGTAATTGTAAAATCCTTTTCAAAGATATATGGAAAATGCCAGGAAGCAGCTTTGATCACAACTGTCCCATGAGAATGGTTCAGTCTGGTTATACTTAGGCCAGTGGTAGGGAACCTCAGACCTTTGGCACTCTCCCAGCACTACACACCACTCTGCCAGGACCACGTCTCACCAAGCCTCCTTAAATGTTTTGAAGTGAATGGAATGTGTCCTTCAACTCAAGTAATGCCTCTTGGTTGCCCAGATGGAGAATGGAGAAGGGGGTGGGGGTGAGTAGAAACATGCCTGCTAAAGAAAGGTGAAACTCACATTTGTTGCTCCACCCATTTTGCCTCTAGCCCTGCCCACCACTCACATGTGGAAGGTGGTGCAGAACAAAATGTGGCCCTCAGTGCCGCAGTCCTATTGCCAAGCAACAGTGCGCAGAGCTTGTGGAGTGCGAGAAGAGTCTCTGAGATACACTTGGCAGAGTCAGCATACAAAGTCATGTCCGTTCTGAGGGTCGAGCAAACAGCAATCCATGTAGTCAGGCAACCCAGCAGTCAGGGAATCTGGTGATAACGAAGCCAAGGGTCCCGGCAGAGAGCAGGAAGCAGCAAGGTAGGGTTGGGAACCACAGGCATTCTTTCCAGCATCTGACTGCTGCTGAGAGCTCTGTTTAAGAAGGCTGGAGCCAGCTGGTTCTCATCAGTGCCTTCTCCTCCATGTCCTTGAAGGCTATAATCAGCTGCAGGTGGAGTCACTCCCTCTCCAGCAGGTGAAGCTGACCCCTGGCCAATGACACCTAGACTATAAAACATTCCTCATCACTCACCTGGCCCACAGTGCTCAAATACATGAGCCTGCTTTAGAAATGTACACCACAATTGCACTTTGTGATAGAAAGCATTTTCTGGCTTGCTACTAGTTAAATCTCTCACCCACTTCATCAAGCACAGAGAGAAATTTTGCACTCTGAAACTGATGCAAACCTCCACAGCAGCCTTTCCCAGCCTGGAGGCCTCCAGATGTTTTGGACTACAACTCCCATCCACCTCTGACAGTATGGGCAATGGCCAGGGATGCTGGGAGTTGTAGTCCAAATCAGTTGGAGGGTACCAGATTGTGGAAGACTGAGCCATGGCATAGCTTATCACTAGGCTCCTGAGACTTGGAACTCAGCCTGCTTCCCTTTCCTTCTGGTGTAGGAGAAGGAAATGATTCTCTTCCATGCCTGTGAGCAGGGGCGTCAACTTGAATAAAATATTGGGGGTGGCAGGTAAACCCCACACTGCTTACCGTAATTAATCACATTACGTGGTGCACACACACCATTTGAATGGCAATGTCCATCAACCGGGGGGGCAGCCCCCTCAAATATTTTTGGAGGGGGAACAAAGGGACCTCAGCCCCTAGACATTGGCTCCTATTCCTGTGAGACTGCTCCCTTGCAGCCAAAACCCACCAAAGGCTTCTTCCTTGTCTGTTTGCAGGAGAGATGTGAAGAAATCCACATTTACCATGTCCTATCCACAAGTGAGAACCCACAGAGCAACGGGAGTAGCAGGTGGGTGGATCCAAACAGACTATGTTTTCCAGCCACCAGGGAACTTTAACCTCCTTTTCTTAAATCCCTGACCACACAGGAGTTGCCTAGGGCTGTCCCATTCAAGATGGCCAAAATCACAGAAATACAATAGTGACCCAGTGTTGAAATCATAGCTACCTACATAGCCCGTAAAAGAGCATGGATGAGATGATTAGGATTTGCTTCCCCAATAAGACTGACCATATATCAGATGTGGACTTCCCCCTGCAAAGCTGCCATTCTCATGCCCCCACCTCAAGTAGTGACCAGGACATGGATTGGGAGGAGGAAGTACCCCAAAGTCCTGGGGAGTTCTGGGCCCTGGTGGTGCAGGTGATGAAGGTACCAGTTGTGGACCTCTGATCTTGGTGCGTCTCCTCCCCAGACAGAGGCCCTCAAGCCAGAACATTCACAGGAGCCCCTGCACTTGTCCCCAAGGATCTCCAACCCATACCTGGCACTTATGCCAACACACCATGCTTGAATAAAGTGAACAGCAATGATACTTAAGGCTCCTGGTCTGTGCCTTTAAACCTCTCAACCCATCTCAGGGTGGGGGAAGGGCTGTGATAGGTAGCTGGGTCAGAAAAAGATGTAAGGCAGGGGTGAGGAAAGTGTGGCCCTACAGATGTTGTTGGACTCCAGCCACAGCCAGCAAGACCAATGATCAGGGACTAGGAATTGCAGCCCAGGAACATCTGGAGGCCCATTGGTTTCCCATTCCTGAAATAATTCTCTCTTGGGTTCCTTCCATACCTGACTGGAGCAGGAGCAATTTGTCTTGGAGCTGTCCAAGGTGCTGCCACCCAAGATTGACCTTAGTTGTTAACTTGCCTGTCTGTCTTGGTCTGACTGCCATGGAATTTGGAAGTCGGCCTTTCTAGAAAAGATAGATCAAAAGCACACACTCTAAATCTGTTGGGCTTCTGCCCTGCCTGGGGAAGGTGGCATCCTTAAGCTAGGGATTGGGTTCGGGAAAATAGTTTTTGCAGTGTGAATTTACACAGAGAGAGTGGGTGAATTACTGAAGAATAATCATGTTGGGGTACAGTTGGTCTTGTCAGTATCTGAAGCAGGATCAATTGTTGCTGCCTTCTGTGGGAGTCTATCAGCTTCCAATAGGGCCTGCTTGTATATTTGTAAATATTCATCACTTCAAGTTATAGGTGGGGAGGCTGCCATTTTTGAAAGCTTTCTCGTGTACAAAATGTCTTGGAAGTGAAAATCTAGCCCATCGCGACTAAAGTTTGCAAGCCCAGTCTCTCCTTGGTGTACTAGGTTTGTATGCTTGCAGGGAGCTTTTTACACAAGAGAGCATTTACAAATGTGACCTTCCACCTTTAGTGTGAAGTGGTACCACAACTGCAGAATGTTTATTTGGGGTCTGCTCATAGATTGCAAAGGGCCCAATCAACTGGTAAGTTACCTGGCACAAGTCCCTTTGAAATGAATAGGAGCCACACAGGAACACAGTTTATTCATCCAAACTTTCTTCTGGATTGTCCCCAATGACAAATCCAGCAACAGATTAAGTCCATTATAAAATCAAAACAAATGGAATGCAATTTATTATATACATCATGAAATATCTGCAGGAAGATAAATCCTTACGCAATAATAGTTCTGCTACTGTTGAAAAAAAGTTATTAACTATTGCTTCTTCATTCAGCTTCTTCATGAGCTTCTTCACTCATTGGGATTTTTTTTTGGGGGGGGGAGACTTTATTTCTCTCTGAAGGAAATTGTAATATTTTACTTGGCGAGAATGGTATCTCTTAAGACTTTGTGGAAGCAGAAAGCGTGTAGGTGTAAAGATACAAAGACTCAACAGCATCCCAGAAAAGGGAATGTTTGCCTTTGGGCAGGGCTTGCCTTAAAAGGGCTGCAGTTTCTTTATTTTGTTTTCATGGAGAAACAATTTTCATATGTTGTGGGACTGTGCACAGATACTGAAAATAGATAATTAATGAGATAATTGGATACTGCCTGTTACCTCCTGTCCAATGGGATTATCTGATGGCTAATTATGGACAGATTGTGATTAATGTGATTATGGATGGGATATTAATCTGATTCTGGATTGATCTAGTTATGTTTTAGTCTGCTCCAAATGGTTAATTGGATCTTAGATAATAGAAACGCAGCTTGAAACAGGTTTTGCCACATCACTTGATGGAGGGGGGGGGGTTAACTGGTTGGGCTTGAGAGCGATACATTATTTACAAACATCGAGGAAGCTGTTCATTGAGAGAATATCATTGTTCATTTGGTTTCCAATGTCCTCTGAAATGAAAATCAATAACTATTTTTAAAGCCTCCTTAATGAAAGCAGTGCATATAACACACAAACAAAAGGGAAGGGGTTAAGGAGTTGCCTGCCCACTGCCTGCATTGCCTGACTGCCACGAAGTTCTCCAGCCAAGTAATGTGTATCTTCAAAAGGCATA